TTTACAAAAAATGTGGGCATTTGTATTAGTTTAGGTTTCATCACGGGTTTCATATAGTTTAGGTAAATAAATTTCCACCTTTTTAGCGTTTTTTTATTGAATGCGGTAATTATTTTTCTGATATTATATGTACTTGACATGTGCTATAGGTTCGTCGATACTAGTTTTGTACCTTTTGTTAACATTTTAATACGTTTTTCGTAATTAATTAGTACGATACCGCCCATATACCACCGCATATATACTCTGTTTTTTTTTTTTTTCTCAGGTAAGATTTCGACAGACGATGACAGAAGAAAAGAGATGACGTCCCATACCAATCTATTTATTTTACTAAAAAAAGTTTCTAATAATTTTTAAGTTATCTATGGATGGGTTTAAATATAAATCCGTCATGCGTCGTGTCTTGTTGTTTTTAATCAGTTTTATTGGTTTATTTAAAAAATGACAGATCGTATTTCATTTTTATTGATTTGACGGAACGATGAACGATGAACGGACGCCGATGCGTATGAACTCGCCTTTTAATTTTTGTCATTTTTGACGCTTGTCAAAGTCTTGCCAAATTATAGGTTATAATTTTGTGTCAACTTTTGTTAAATACCCTGCGTTTTGGAAGATGATGCATTTGATTCGTATTATTACGTGTGTTTTGTGTCTTTTGAAGTCAAGTGGAGGAAAAATCGAGTGAAAATTACCTGTAGACCCAGAGCACAGTTTATGGTTAATACTCGCTGCCCAGGCAGAAAGTCTTATACACCAAAGAAGTTGCCATCGTTAAAGTTTGTATACCATCTCGTCGTAGATAAGTGCATCTCGTATGTGGTAGAAGGATCAAACTAAACACATACTAAAAACTGGAGTAGCTGTAAAATATCGACATCACACGATAGGTAAATAATGGATTTTAGTGCTGCAGAAAAATAATGTCAAAAGGTACTGGTTTAAAAAAATTAAGATTAAAGTTAATTAATCAACCTTTAAGATATAAAATTTGGTAGGTGTTATTATTAATAAAATAGTTTGTTTTATTTACCTATGTTGTTTTATTTATTCCTGTGGAATATTACAAATTTGTATTTGTACATAAGTTATATTGATAATAATAATAAATATAATCATAAATGCGGGTAGTTTCATAAAGCTTGAAAGTAAAAAATAGTTCTTTTTTATATTTTTTTTGGTATGTAGTGTCTTGTTCTTGTTTGTTTTGTATTAACACATACCGGTTTTATTAAATAAAATAACTCGATTACATTTTTTCAGTTTTATACAGTTTTTTTCACAATATTTTGAAGTAATCACTTGTCATCTTGTCAATCAAATTTTAAATATTTCCTGCTATGCGTTCCAGTTGTACCAACTTATTTCTTTGTAAAATAAAATAAACTACTTTGAAATTAAAATGACAGACACATCTATCACTGTCAAGGATCTTCTCGTTGGACAGACTATACCATAGGCGTAGTCAAAACATTAATCAAAAATATAAAATATCTCTTCAAGCAGCTAAGTTAAGAAAAATATATGCCACGGCACTGTTTGGAGGTATATGACAACAATTTGGTCTCGGGTGTTATTAGTCTTTAGTTATTGATTGATACTAACCCTCCCAGCCTTAATTGCGCCACAATTAGCAAAAAATTCCATCTAAATATTTATCATACTTAAGTCATCAATATTATTCACTTTGTCATACATAAATAGCGTTTTAACTGAAGTGCAACATATTTACTTAGAATGTAATTTTAGAGGATATCTATTAAAAAATGTTTATCAGATGTAGAAAAAACTAATTTTATGAAACAAATAATAGTTTTCGAAACGTGATTAGCATTTTACACAATATTCCAAATTCCAAAGCATATTTTAGACGACAAAAACAACATTTTCTAAGCAACTGTTCATTATTTATTATTTAATGATGTTCCCTCTTACCCTTATTAGGGAGGGTAAGAGGATACCGGGTGGACAACTCAAAAGATACAAGGATACTTTCCATGAAAACTTAAAGGGGAATACAGGGCACGTAGAATCAGTGGGAGGAAGCAGCCACAATAGAACGGAATGGAGAAGAATTGTAAACTCGGTTAACTATGACAACTAAAAAGTTAGGCGCGTGGTCCTCGTGAAACAAGAAGAAGAAGAAGAAGAAGAAGAAGTAAAAAGTAAAGAGGCAACAAAGTAATGAGATTTTTGAATGTCCCGACCGCGGAAGAGAGATAACATCACGTATCGGTCTTTTCCTTTTCAGTCATAGAAAAGCTCATGAAAGAAAACGCTTTGCTTAACCATCTTCTGATGGCTGTCAAATACTCGTCAGCGACTTCAGCTAGTAATAGCAGTAAGTAAGTAATTTATTGATGTGTTTTTATCAATAATTTTGTTTAGTAAAGTAATTAATGTTACTTAAAAATTTACACATTTAAAAAAAACTTATTAAGGAGAAACCAGTTCAAATAGATTGAAATTGATTTGGCACGTGATTAGTACCAACAACAGATAGTAAAAATTAGTTTTAGTTTTTAATTTACAACATGGAATCAATGTTGTAAAATGCTGTTAAAGATCCACACACTAGGCCTGTTCCAAACACCGGAACACCGTTTTAACACCGGTGTTGGGCTGACACCGGTGGCAAAATATGTGCTATCCGGAGTTCCGGTGTCGACTACAACACCGGTGTTCATCTCGACACCGGTGTTGGTCTAGACACCGGTGTTCATCTCGATACCGGTTTTGAGTACGACACCGGTGTTTGGTAAACGAGTTAAAGAAGAAATAATGTTATTTAATAAGTTCAAAATAAACCCTGATAATAATAATGTCGTATCGGTGCTTATTTTTATCGTTTATTAAAGCGCACAGACTTTAACTTAAAGCCTTCAAATTTAAATATATTTTTTTTGTCAGACTAATTACTAAAATAAAGCGGAAACATCAGATAAATAACTATGAAGTAAAAAATTGTTTAATCAAAAACAAACAGAAAACAAAAAAAAACATAAAGAGACCAAAAATTCGTACTTAGCTGTAAAATAAACTAAAAAATATTACATTAAAAAAACTAAAAAAATATACAAACGGCATCATCGATATCGACACCGAGACCGGTGTTCGTTTCAGATAAACATCGGTGTTCAGATAAACACCGGTGTCGAGGTAAACACCGGTGTTCGAGATGAACACGGGTGCTGAAATGAACACCGGTGTTGACACCGGTACACCGACTGAAACATCGGTGGCCATCAGCACCTAACACCGGTGTTCAAATCTCAACACCGAACAGGTCTACCACACACTTCGCCATGCCTTGCATACAGGGTGTTTCAAAAAACATGTGTCACCTCTCGTGTCATTCTGCTTTGTTTCGTAGCTACAGGGGGTTAAAGTCTTCATCTTTTTTCGATTTATTATAATTTTCTGACAAGTGCTTTTAGTGATTCGAATGAAATTTTGTGGGTAAAAGTTACTAAGAGTGCTACATATTTTAATGCATCAGGAACGTGCATATGGATTATCACTAGCTGATGTCGAGGATGGAGAGCTGGCCCCTGTGGAGCCGTCTCAGATACTGGCTTTTGTAAAAGACTTTTGTTTTGACTGTATGATGAGTTATAACTCGTTATAACTCAAGAAAGGGGAACACACAATAGAGATCTGTAAGGCCGCGGTGTTTTATTCCCCTCCTTAACATTCTACATTCATGGGTGCACTGGAATGTTTTTTCTAAAAAAAAAACATGTGCGCCAGTGACTTTTTTCCTCTTATTAGCAAAAGTGTGTAGGGCATTTAATGGCCATTAAAAGTTGTATATTGATACTTTGCCCATTTCGATCTCCTCAATGAGATAAACGCACTTTTATTAATCACAATTAATAAAATTAATAAATTATGTATTTAATGTAATTTGTTACTAAATTATGTTAAAACTCTTTTTTTACATTTTTTGATGAGGAATCAATGAATACTTATTTAATCTTTTGGCAAGTTAATGACATTAAATTTTTTAAAGGTTGCTATTAGAATTGGATTAAGGCAAATTAATTAATTAAGATTTTAACCTCCTGTAGCTACGAAACTAAGATACCGTATGATCGAATAAAAACGGCGTCAGCGATGGCTATAAAATGAACATCGATGACATTTCCCATATAAATTTACATATAAAATGACAGCGATCTTCATTTCATGGCCATCGCTGACACCGTTTTTATTCGATCACACGGTATTTTTACGTGAGGAATCTCCCCACGAGAGATGGCACATGTTTTTTGAAACACCCTGTATAGAATTTTTACTCATTTCGTTATAGTTTATTTCTGTTCTATACAGGGTGAGTCTTAAATAAGTGCAAATATTTTCAGGGGTGGTATATTTCGACCGAAAAGATATTGAAAATCGTGCATTTTCTTTTAAATTTCCCTGTATAGTTTTCGAAAACTTTTTAGAACTGCCTGTTCACCGCAAATTTTCCCACGGTATAATTTCTTAATCTCTGATATTACCACAGTTACAGCTTTACTCTATGGGTACGGTACTAAAAGGGATACAAATACAGAAAAAAATCCGGTGGCTCTCAAAATTTTTCCAAAAAAAAATCAATTTTTTTTTAATTTTCAAACTTAAATAACTCGGTTATTTTGGACCTATTTGAAAAATGGTAAAGAGAAAATATGTTTCTTTTATCGAGATCTACCAGCCCTGAAATATTTGCACTTATTTAAGACTGACCCTGTATAAATCATGGTGTCGCCTTTGACCATTTTGCTAAGGGTGTCTTTGCTCCCTTTTGACCTGCTAATGGGTGGTGAAACCGGGTGGTCTACCGACAAAAAAAGATGTATTTTCCCAGAAATATTATCGCTTAATAGTTAACTTAAAACTAAATCAGTGAAATAAATTCTTTATCGTATAGTATGATTTTTTCTTGAAAACCATAATTCTATTTAAATTTGTAAATAATTAGTTTTTGGAAAATAAACAAAAAATCAAGTTACCTTAATGACAAAGCATAAATTCACATTAGTTAATATTCCTGTTTTATTTAAATTTTCCACTTATTCCACAAAAAAAAGTATCAATATTCTTGTCTCCACCGCAAATTTCGTACTAAAACATTGTTCGAAATATCACTACATCATCTGAACAATTACATTAAAGTTATACGCTGATTCGACCACTCACTCCACTTATGAATAAATAAATAAAATAGTCTCGGGTTTAATTAAATAACAACCAAAACGAATTGTTTATACCGATAACGAACATGTGTTCGGTACGAGCACGGGGTACGACCACGTCTAGCGACGGTACTGAAAACATGTAGCCGACAAGCAAAATCCAAAGACAAGTATCTTGGGTATAGGACCTGACTTAATAAACAGAACCGGCTTAGAGGAATTTTCTAAAGCCGGGTCTAGACCAAGCAGACAAAACAGCGACAATACAGAAACATTCATGTTTTACGACAAAGTTGTGACAAATCCAATACATTTCTGCGACATTTTTGTCTCATTTTTGTTTTGTTTCCAAATTCGTAGACTTGAATGTCCCGTCTCGAGTCGGTAAAGTTCAAAGAGTCTCTGTTTTGTCGTGTATTTTACGACAAGTTGTCGGTGCAGTGTGGATGTCAAAAGTAGAAAACTAATGGAATCACACAAATTTAGTACTGTGGAGTGCTGGTACTGCTAATATATGACATTAGTATATGGTGGAGTGCTCCATCATTATAAAAAAATGTCAGAAGAAAGTGGAACACGGAAAATGCCTGCAAACTAATAGAGCTTTATAGAGCGCATTTATTATTATGGGAGGGTAAAAACAAGGACTACAAAAAATGTTACAAGAAAGCTGGTGCATTAGAGGAGATTTGTTTAGCATTGAATATAAACTCGGTTTATGATGTTAAGAAGAAAATAAAAAATTTTAATAGCTGCATAATATACGATATGGTACAAAGAAAACTTTGTATCATGGTAAATGAGAAAAAATAAAAACAAAAACATTATTTGGGAATACCGGGGTTTCTTTTTACAACATGGGATGGTGAGTCAAAGACAACACTACTGGCTGCTAGTAATATATTTTATTTTCTTTCTGATAGAAAGGCCACATGATTAATAAAACTGATTCGCATATACTGAACTTTGTTGTACTTTTGTCCTCGCGATATAGACACTTTGTCTCAATTTCTCATTTTTGACGCAGGTTTGTCTTGTTTTTGTTTCAAAATCGTGTTCAATTTCTGTCGCCTTGGTCTGGACCCGGCATAATGATAGTATTTTATTTTAAATGAATAAAAATAGTTCCGGATTTATGAAGGAATAAGGGGTCGTCCATAAAGAGGTGTTTTTGAGAATTTTTTGACCCCCCTCCCCACTGGTAAGATATCGTGACATTTGTTTCACCTCCCTCCCCTCACATCAATCCCACATGAGATCAAATAACAAAGGATTAAAAATAAATGGAGAATACCTTAACGATCTAAAATTCGCTGATTACATTAGTCCTAATTAACATTAGTCCTAATAGTCCTGAAGAACTACAACCACAAATTAAATAACTAGATACGGCCAGCAATAAAGTGGATCTCAAAATGAATTTAGCAAAAACAAAAGTAATATACAACGAACTAGTGGAAAGAAAATACTTTCTGATAAATAACACAACACTAGAAATAGTAGAAGAATTTTTGGGACAACTAATATACAGCTCGGGATCTCTACTACCAGAAATCAACAAAAGAATTAAGTTAGCATTAAGTACTTATAGAAGAAACTCAATTATATTCAAATCTAGAATGCCACGCTATCTAAAGAAGAAAACATTCGGCCGATGTGTACTACCAGTCATGACGTATGCATGCGAAACCTGGACACTCAAAACGGACATTATAAGGAAACTGCAGGTCGCACAACGCTCAATGGAACGAAATATGCTGGGAATAACCAAGAAAGACCGTAAAAGAATAGAGTGGATACGACAAGAGACCCTGGTAACAGATGTCATCCACAGAGTCAAATCCCTCAAGTGGCAATGGGCAGGACACCTGGCGAGAAGGACGGACAACAGATGGACGACAAAAATCACTGCATGGTACCCACGAGGAAATAAGAAACCTAGAGGAAGACCAAATCTGAGATGGGACCATAATATTAGGAAATAAGCAGGGATAACTTGGGCCCGCATAACAATAGACAACCAATGTACCCAACTACAAAGAGAGTATCTAAATATGTGAGGAAGGCTACATCATAATTGGAAATGGTTGAATAAGGTGAAAATGACGATGATGATGAAACCGTTCATACTTGCGCACAGAAGTCGTAAATCATGTCTTGGGAAATTTAAACCGCGGGCCATAATTCTTTAACCAATAATGAATTGAGGACTACATTTTCGATTATCAATACTAAATAACTTACATCTATTCATGGATTTTAATATACAGAAGAATTGTGTCAGATTTGGACATATATTTAAGTCTACAAACATATTTTACTTGAAGTTAATCTGATTTTCTCACATTTTTACTATATTTATGTACCGTAAATTAAAAAAAAATAAAATTGAAGGGGTGGATGCAATAACCAAGCATCTCCATTTTAATAAATTTGTGGGAAATCGAAAAAGAGCTGCTCGGTTCCTGCTGCAAACCCATAGCAAGGCAGCTCTAACTAACGTCGCCATTTATATACTGTTATATTGGGAGAACCGATTGTTGCAGGAAACGATCGACAAGTTTTTTTAAACGGTAATTCGTTAAAAATCTCATATTCGAAAAAAAGTGGAGCTGCCTGGTTATTGCAGCCACCCCTTCAATTGTGATTACAATCAGTGAATTATAATAGGGATACATGGAGCTTTAGAGATGTTTAAAGAAGATACCTTCTGACCGAATATTCAATCAAAAATAATAGTTTAAATCTTGAGAAAGTACGGATCTGTGCACTTATCTTAACTTAGCGCTGGAGACGCACCGCCGTGATAAAAATATACATTAGTCCACACATACATATATTAAGTGAGCAAGAGAGAAGGTCAGAAAGAGAAACAGCAGGCGTCGCAGACTTTAGCAAAATTCCATCATACAAACAAGCCAAAAACAAATCATCCAAACAATAAACAACCGTTCAAAACACGCAATATTGTTTCTTTACTAATGAGAGTGAAAAAAGTATGAGTATGTCGTAAATAATTTGGTACAGTAAAATCTTGACTGTTTAAACTCCGTGATTCATCAGCTGAGTGGAAAATTGAAAAATAACAATGAAAAAAAAATGACTAACCAATATTTATTGTACAGGGTGGGTCAAATTCGACGCTTTTAAATGGAAACACCCTTTTCTATAGGAGATAGACAAAAACTAATATCGGTGTCTGGGGCTCAATTTTTGTCAAAAACATGATGGTGAAAACCGCATATCGATATCTGTTACCGTTTCGGAGTTACGGGGTGTTTTTCAAAAATATGCATTTTTAACAAATTGCTGTAACTTTTTTGCTAAGGAAAATGTTGTATTTTTATGAAAACATTTCCAAGGCACCTTTTTACGTAGAATTTAATGGTTTAAGTATATTTTTTTAAAAATTAATAATTTAAGAATTATCAAGAGAAAATTTGATTTTTTATATGGGACACCCTGTATATTTTTAATTTATTGAAAAGAATTTAAAATTACCTTTCCAAAAATATAACACACTTGATATTTTGCTCGATTCGTCTTCGAGATATAGAGTATATAAAAATTCACCCGCTTTAAATAAGTAGGCTTTGAACGGCACCGGCTGTAATGCAAAAAAATTCTAGCTGTGAGCATCAATTAAAACGAAAATAATATTTGCTATGAGAGATGCAGACTTTATAACAATTTAAATATATATTTAACCAACATCAAACTTTTATAACATTTAAACTATATCTAATAACAATAAAAATAAACCAAGACATGAGATTTTGCTACAGGTGTTTGCTACGACATATCGACCGTCTTCTGTTATGGACAGACGGGGCAGTTTTTGAACATTTTTCGCGGAATTTATTAACTCAGTAGGGGTGAAATACCCCCTCTCATAACTGCTAAGTATTTCTAATTCTTGTCTAGATTATACGGAAGAATAAGGAACCTTTATTTTTCCGCAAATATATCCATAGGATTAGATCCATGGGCACTAAGTCAGGCGGCCTCGACGGCCAATGGCTGGGATCTTGGTTAGCTATTAAATTATTCTTGAACTTGGCTGCAAAAATTTGCTGATAACTTCAGCGTTCAGAGGCGATGCGTGGTCTTACTGGAAAAATATGTTTTCGAGTTCCATTAGAAGCACATCATCAATAAGGGATCGAAAGCCTACTAGTTAAAAGTGGCAAACTTTTAAAAATTCTATATTTCGAAGGGGATTATAACAAAATATCAAGTGTGCTATATTGTTGGAAAGGTAATTTTAAATTCTTTTCAGTTAATTAAAAATATAGAGGGTGTTCCAAATAAAAAATCAATTTTTCTGTTGATAACTCTTAAATTATTAATTTTAAAAAAATTATATTTAAACCATTAAATTCTACGTAAAAAGGTGCTTTGGAAATGTTTTCATAAAAATACAAAATTTTCCATAGCAAAAAAGTTACAGCGATTTGTTAAAAATGTACATTTTTGAAAAACACCCCGTAACTCCGAAACGGTAACAGATATTGATGTGCGGTTTTCACCATCATGTTTTTGATGAAAATTGAGCTCCAGACACCGATATTAGTTTTCGTCTATCTCCTATAGAAAAGGGTGTTTCCATTTAAAAGCGTCGAATTTGACCCACCCCGTACAGAAAGTTTTCCGATAGCTTTTATTGACTTCCGATCAAAGATACCAATTGTTGATCAAAAAAAAGCATTGATGATCATATTTTATAGATGATGTCACCAAGATCTTAATTTTATTATGTCTCGTGTTCACCTTCGACTAGCTTGCGAAAATTTTCTTAAAGCCTATAGTTGACACTAAAGAGTCCGGATGGATATGCATCCACGAACCTTTCTCCGGTGCCATTACTGACTGTGATACTTTTTAATTATTAACTGGGTCTGTCAAATTTGCCCCCCGTACTAGAGGAAACTCAAAAATAGATATACCACTATTTTGCACACATTTTGCACACCATAAATGATATTTTGCACACTTACCTAAGAGAAACCAGAGACGTTTTTTAAAGGGGGGCAAACCCCCCCCCCCCCGTACTACGGATGGATGTCCGTACTACGGATCCGTACTACGGATGGATGCAGATCCTACTTAACATCGACCCCTATCCGCAAAACTGCATTGCTGACGGCTAACAAGCCACGGCAGATAACGAAAACATTAACGATGCGGCGAAATAAATCAGTATTGGAATAAAGAAGGAATTGTAATTGCTGCTGAGTTGTATTTACTGTTTTTTAAGTTTACTTTCTTGGAATCGTAACTATATTCGAAATTATTTTGTATGGATTATTTAAAATTTGTGTTGTGTAGTGTTGTTACTTTATTGATAAATTCAAGAAATTATACAATATCTTATGATTGTACAGGGTGCGTCAAATCCATCAGCAGACAAGGACTACATTCAAATTTAGTTTGTTTTTTTTTGTAAAAATGACATTTTATTTCTTATCTGTTAAACGCCGACCATTTTGCTTCTAGCATGAAGCAATCCCTATGGGGCAGTCTCGACTATCTTTTATTATTTATTTATACTATGTAAAGTTCGTAATGCTTTTCCTCATAGTCATAAATTTGAACCTTAAAGTACCTCTACTAAATAAATAGAACAGCTAATATCATTTAAGGAATTTAGGATAAAGCTTCCCTTTTAACTTTAGAACGCTCATTTAAATTTCTGATCAGTGATATTTTAGTTAGATTGAGATTAACTAGTGGACTAAAACATTATATGAGTTTGATATTAGGCAGAAAGAGATCCTTGATAGTATAAAATTAATGTTATACAATATTTATTTAAACAATTAAATAATATGTTTATAAATATTTTCTTCTTGAACATGTAAACATTTGTCCACTTAATGTAACATTAGTATCAATAAAATTTGTTTATCAAAGGTAAACAAACAAGTTTCCTTCGGCAATTGTTGTAAAGTGTACACTAATCAATTTGACTGAAATAATGTCAAATTTAACGTCATATAAAGTTAATTTTTGTTCTAACGAAAATTTGTGAAGTGATATCAGTTTTAGTGTTTAAAAATCAAAATACTAGTAAGTACCGTTATCTTTCTACAGTATTTTCTTATTTATAAATATAAATATATCGAAAATATATAGTATAAAAATAATCACCTATCAGACACGATCATTAGTGGTTTAACGAGCTTTATATTCGGAATGTATCAATTAGAGTTCGGCACTTCCTTTAATTTTATGGTAATAACAGTAAATAACCATATAGTGATGTCACTGTTAAACTTACCTCTTATAACCATATACGTGGTTATTTTTACTTCCTTTCAAACAACAAATATATTAATAAATAACAATAAGATGCTACTAACAATCATAAAAACGCAAGGCTATTTTTAATTAAACCTAATTTAAAAGATTTGTTATGATACGAAAATAACTTTTTTTTTAATAACCTAAACAATTTTTATACTTATAGTGGACTGCTCTCGGAATTCATTTAATGTGATCGAACTTTTATAAAAAAAATTTGCATTGTATTGTTAATAAGACATATTACAAAGTTTACCCATTTACATTCGTTGCTTTCATACAAGTATGCATACATACAAGATGACTCCGTGTTCCGAAAAAGCTCTGTATCAGGATTCCTATTTGAGATTTTTACTCGAAACCTTTTACAAAATATCTGTTTAATGGTAATTCATATTTCAAAAATATTTTTATAGATATACAGGGCGAGTCAAATATATTTTTACACTTAAGTTTTAGTTTTTCAAATGAAATGCTTTATATTGGTTTAGTTCAGTGAATTTGCTATAAAATTCCGGTTCAAAAAAATACCTTAATACCATAGAGTATACTGATTATATACTTAATTATGACCACGTCCATGAGGACGTCAATCTAGACATCCAGGAACCTTCGTATCAGAACTTCTAATCGAGACGATCGACTTATTGTAAGTTTAAAATCCGCCGATTGCCAGCTTTTCAAATTTATAATGAATTGCACCTAAGGAACGTAGTACATAATTAACTAACGGACTATAAGAAGAAGACTAAATGAAGCAAATTTTATGTCAAGAAGGTCTACTTCAGGACTAGAATTTACTAGATCTGTTACTAGGACCAAAATTGAAGGCATGGTCATGTAAAAATTACGAAAAAATGTTAGCGTCTCCTTCAAAAGCGAATATCTCCAACAAAAATAAAGCTAATGGGATGAACCAAAAAACAAACTATCGAGAAAAGATCGATCTAGATGATAAAATTATTTTTAATTTTCTTGCTGTTTTGATATATTCCACAGGGTGTTTCAAACTTTCACCAAAATATTAACATTTTGTTTTCCCTCGTATAATTAACAGATGGGGAGTTTCATTTTTAATTTAGAAAGAGATACTAAAAATTCCAATAATTTTGGTACATACTGCTTAAAAAATCATCAAAATCGACACACTAGAACAAAATATATTAACTAACTTTAAAATACATCAAAGTTGTGTAGGTGCCCATTTTTCGTGCCGGTGAATGTATTTCAAACACTATAGATTTTAGTCATATACTTTTCTAATGAAACTCGCCTTTATTTTTTTTTACTAGAATCCGAAAATCAATTAATATATAGGGTGTTCCATTACAAAAAAGGCAACCTTGATGTGTAACTTTTTTTGGGGACACCCTGTAGAACTCTATATAATTTTAGGAAATGCTTTAAATTGACTTACATAAGCTCACAAAATTTTACTTCAATACACACTGTTGTTCTTCTTACAAAAACCGCGTCATATATGACGCGCCACCCTATATAATTCGATTTCAATCAAAATTTCAATGATTAGAATATAAGCACAATAGGTATAGCTTATGAATTAGATTCATTTATTTCAATAAATTTACTTAAAAAAAGAAAAAAATTAAGAAGGAAAGAACTAAGAATTACTAAAATAGAAAATTAAAAGCAACGAAAAAAAATGGGTAAACATTTTTGTATTTTATCTATAAAACCCAATACAGAAGGTTTCAGATTAATACATTTACAGTAATTGAATTCCGAGGTAAAAATCTCTGGGCCCTCCACTATTAGTAATAACTGGAAAAATCATTCTATATATTATAAGTCCGGTTCTACAGCGTGATCCGCCTTCCGGTTCCTTGCCGCCATTGCCTTTCTTCTTTTGTTACCCCCTTTAACCATGTCTCTCGGGGACTTCCTCGTTTTCTTTTTCCAGTTGTGATCCATTTCATTATATTCTTTGGTAGCCTTTCTCCTCCCATTCTGTTTACATGCCCATACCAGATTAATTGTTTTTTTTTGGATTTCTTATATGATGGTGATCTCTTTCTTCGTTATTCTTCTTATTTCTTCATTTCGCACTTTTTCCAATTTTGATTTTCTTGCCGATCTTCTGAGGAAGTCCATTTCAGTTGCTAAAAGCTTTCCTTCCATGGACTTGTTCATCTGCCATACTTCAGCGCCATAAGTAAGTGTGCTCTTAACTATAGTGTCATATAATATGTGGGTTTTTGTTGTGGCATTTATATTTTTTTACCAAAAAATAGAATTTAGTGCCCCTGTAATGTTTCTGGCTTTGTTGATTCTATTATTGATGGTATTGTCGCTTTTCCATTATTATGTATGTTAGTACCTAGGTATGTGAATTCTGTACATGATTTTACTTTGTTTCCGTTTTCCATTTCTAGGTCTTGTCCTTTGTTGTCTACGCATAGATATTCTGTCTTTTTAAAATTTATTTGTAAACCCCATCTATCATACTCCTCATTTAATTTTCTAAACATGTACTCAATGTCATCTACATCTCGGGGCAGTATTACTTGATCGTCGGCGTAGTGAATGGTATATATTGTTTTATTTTCGAGTGGTATGCCCATTCCACTACATTTTCGTCTCCATTGTTCCAGTGCCGCATCTAAGTAAATATTGAATAAAATTGGAGATAGACCACATCCTTGTCGCAAGCCCTTACTTATATTAAATGATGTTGTGAGTTCGGCTCCAATTTTAACTCGTGCTAGCGGGTTCTTGTAGATTTCCTTTATTGCTTTTATTAGGGTAATATTTATTGGTGACCGGTCGAGTACGTAAAAAAGTTGTTTATTGGGATAGAATCATACGCTAAAAAATCATTCAACAAGATTAATAGTTTAGAATCTTTATAGGAAATTTGGAAAAATATTTAAGAACTAATTCTTAATTGATCAAATAAATTTGTGTTTCTATAGAACTCCAATATCTAGATTGGGGATTTGGGGATTTTTGCATATCAGTGTCTCAATGATATAAGTTATCAGCGCCTCATTTTTTCTTACAGATCTATATTCTCTGTAAAATTTGATAAGCATTGCTGTCAATTAAAATGAAGCTAATTCTCCGTTTTTATTACGTTCTACGAAATACTGTTTTATAGTTACGAAATAGTATATTAGATACCGAGTAGGTAAGTGTCTCACGTCACTGTAGAGGGATTAATTAGACCAACAATTAAAACTAAAAAGTTTCCTCCGATGTTCGTATACTATTTTATTTACAACCACACATTAAGCAATCTAAATTATTCCCAATAACAAAAGGTCTAAAATTGCCAAAATTGGTATAGGACATAGGATAAAAAAATCCTGATGATTTCGTCCACTTGTGACTTTACCAGTTCAACTGACTTGTGAAAACGCGCCTTCCTTAAGAATCAATTTCACTAGTCCCAAAAATTAGCAAAATAAGCGTTGGGCATTTAACGTTTTATGTAAAACTTGCTAGGTATTTTTACACAAATGAAGAAGGAAATTAAAGATAAAGGATTATACTATATCCGTATTGTAGCACATATTTAGACAACTTCTTTATATTTAAGATTTTGATGGTCAATCATCAACAAAATATTCTTTATGTTTGGACTAAATTTTCTCGAAAATAAAGAAATAATTTAAAATTCCGTTACAGTAAGGAAATAAATTGAACTTTTGTGATTACAGTGATATATAATTTATATGATTTTGTAACAAACTGCTCGCTATTTTATGGCAAATGCTGAAGCTCTGCAAACCTTAATCAAGCCTTAATCAAAGCACGTGTGTTTGGAATTTGGGTGTGACTTAACACGACAGGATCGGGCTAAGCCTTAGGAAAATTTCTGAAATATAATATATATTTCCTTCGACCACACACCCGCTTTACCCGACCCCTGAGAGCAACCAAAAAGTACAGCGTAATAGCACAGATTAAGTATACTATATGTATACAGATAAAAATCTTATCCCTAATTCGTGGTACGAAAATTGTTTTTTATGACGATGTGCAAACGAGTAAAATTTCTTGTGCGCAAAAATAAACTCGCGTAAATAACAATAAACAGCATAATAGAGAGATATCGCTAAACCGAATAGCGTGCATGGACGTTAATAAGGCCAGGTGTTATTTCCTTTACGTGAGGTGGTATTAACTCTCTTCATTTATACTTATCGGATCGGAAAGAATTATGTTGGCGTCGCGTCCGCTATTTAAACTTAACCTAACTTTGAATTTAAAACTTTGAAATTGTTTTGTTTACTAGGTATTTTAAAACTAAAAGGCTAAAGTGCTTATTTCCAGTGCTTTATTGTTCAACGTCTGTCAGTTGGTTTAGGGCAACAAGCAACAAATTCTCTTAGAAGTCGTCATCTGCTGTAAACCTAAGCCTCTTTATAGGTTCATTAATATTGGAAGAGGCGGAATCCATATTTTGGGCCATATTTATTTAATTAAAACTAATCCCAGCTACTTAATCAAATTAACTAATAAAACTAAAGTAATAATTCAAAACAATTCAAACATAACCTAAAATAAAAGATCTCGCTGGCGCGGCCGGCCCCGGTTGTCAAATACCCCCACATACCCATTTAAGCATTTTTAAACGTTATTTAGAAATAGCGCTTGGTGTAATTGATCCGCAAATTACTTCAGGCGGTAACGTTATTAGCGGGCGTTGCGTTAAAAATTGACTCGCGCATATCGTAACTATGAAAAGGTACGCGTAAATACTGCATGACGCTATTCGGTTTTCCGATATCTCTCTAATAACTGTGCCGGTGAGGCGTTGTGCACAATTTTAGAGGCCATAAGTGAGCGTGCTATGTGCGCAAACTAGTAACCTAACTAGTGCCGGATTCCGAAAATTGGAACCACGAAAAACAATAATGAAAAAACAAAGTTTATAATCTGTGGTAATATACTCTTAATGCACTGACATTTTACAAAAAAATAACTCCTATGTTTTTGAGATTTCTCTTCACGATCAACTACCTATGTAAAAATGAATCCGTCACAAAGACGCGTTATTTAATATAACCCTTTTCCTTCTCTTTTCTTTAGATATATACAGGGTGGTCCGAACTGTATTCCGGAAACTTGGGCAGCATATTCTGTAGATAAAAAAAGTAAAACAGTTCGTATAAATAAGTGTCCTAAAATGCTTCGTTTCAGAGATACAGGGTGTAGAAGTTTCATTTTTATTTCAAATAATTTCTGAAGTAACGTCGATCTTTGGAAGAAAATTGGTGTCTGGAGGTTTTTTGACATGGGAAATTTCATTTTGATATCAATATGACTGCTGCTTGTAGAGGGCGCCACATACATGTTTTTTAGCTGGTTTGAATAGTAATAACTTTTCGTCCGTACCTGTGTAAAACTACTGAGTAAAAAATATACACTTACAACGTTTTTTTTTACATAAAAAAGGTCCCTTGATAAAAATCGCTACGAGTAATGGTTCTCGAGATATTTGGAATCGAAATTATCAATACCCTGTCATCATTGGCATAAATTAAACATGTTGACTAAATAGTTATTAGACTGAAATAATAAATAATTTGAAAAATTATTGCGCCAAAAATTTAACAGAAACTGTTTTATCCTCATTTTTTCGAAGAAAAATTTATGATTAACTTAAAAAATAAAAAGTTCCCGAATTTATCATTTAAGTCAATTAATTAACTATCTCTCTACTCATGTTTATTTTTTTCTCAATAATGACACGTATTGACTATTTACATTCTAAATATCTTGAGAGCGGTTGGTCGTAGCGATTTTTACCAAAAGACATTTTTTACGTAAAAAATCAGGGAAATGTACCATTGCGATAAAAAATAGTAGTACAAGAATTAGCAGTCACAGATAGAACTCCTGGTCTATAAGGATATCGAGAAGTGGATATCGTAGTCACTATGAAAACAATACAATTATGCCACTTGACTTGTTAGGCGTTACCATGAATTTGGTAATAATTGGTAGGTATACGTGGCGAAATAAAAGTATAAAAAATTTATCTACCTTTTAAAAATGGGCAATTTTTCAAGTTTTAAAAATATTTTATTATAGACCAGCTAGATTAAATCATATTTTGTTGTACTACTTTTTTTGATCGCAATGGTACATTTTTTCACTCAGCAGTTTTATACAGGTACGGACGAAAAGTTATTACTCTTCAAAACAGTTAAAACATATATAGGTGGCGCCCCCCACAATTAGGAGTCATATTGACATCAAAATCAAATTTCTCATGTCAATACACTCGCAGACACCAAATTTTATCCAAATATTGACGTTACTTCACAAATTATTTGAAAAAAAAATCGAAATCTCCGAAACTAAGCATTTTAGGACATACATTTATATGAACTGTTTAACTTACTTTTATCTGCAGAATATGCTGCCGAAGTTCCCGGAATACAGTTCGGACCACCCTGTATATTGATATCAATTTTATAACAATACTGATTTTACTAGGAAATAAAACATGGAAGAAAAACCAGAAGAAAAGACCGGAACGACTAAAATTATCGAAAATTCCGCGGAACCGATCCAAGTAATCTCCGAACCAATCTCCAAGACCCACTACGACATCAGCGAGGAAAAAATCGAAAAACTCCACGAAATATGCGTATCCAATAACGTTATCCGTTCGGATACGGATAAAGACGTAACGGTTAAAGATGGCGGATCCATTAACGTTATCCGTTCGAATACCGATAAAGATGTGGCCGTTAAAGATGGTGGATCCATTAACGTTATCCGTTCGAATACGGATAAAGACGTAGCGGTTAAAGACGTAACTGTTAAAGATGTAACCGTTAAAAAGGTAACAGGTAAAGGTGTAGCGGATAAAGGCGCAAAGGAAAATATTTCGGAAAAAGTTTTGGAGGTAGAGCCGAAGATAAAGGAAAGTAAGGCGGAAGAAGATTTGGATAAGAGCAATATTAAGCCTGAGGAAGCGACTGAAGCAAACCCTAAAACCGAAACTGTTGAAAAGGAACTGGGAAAAGGCCGAATTTCCGATTCGCTGCCTTGCTGCATAAGCAAACCAAGGTGAATTAATCAAGTTGCATTATTTAGCCATTTAAATACCGTATGATCGAAAAAAAAATAACATCATGTTGCATGGCATGAACGGCATTGTTTTATCAGGAGTAAAAATTGGCACGGGGAGGCACGTATAGCCGCCCATACTAAAATATGATAATAAAAAGCAATTTTTTTATCTCAAAAACTGCGACTTTGACTGATTTTGATGTTATTACAAATTTTGTTGCAAATATTATTCCTAATCTTAAATTGAAAACCGCGTTTCGCTAGCTACTGTAATTTTGGAGTTGGATTTTTTAAAAATTTTAACCCCCTCCCATACCCCCTTACCAATCCCCCACCCCCACCAAAAACTAATAGCCAGATTCTCGGGTGCCACAGTATTTTTGTGCCAAATTTGGTTAAAATCGGTTTAGCGGTTTTTGAGTTATACAGACGGCCAGACAGACAGACATACACCATGAAAATATTTTGTATTTAGGTCCTTTATGACCCAAATAACTCATTTTGAGTGAAATTAAAAAAAAACTTTTTTTTGCCGATCTTAATAGCTTACCATACCTGTCGGTATGGTCGACTAAAAATGATACTTTTTGTGGTGAGGCTGTACAGGGTGATTCAAACTTCCAGCCCTTGGTTTATAACAGGAAAAGGAACACTGCAAATACAAATTTCGAAGACAGGATTTGAATGGCAGTGTGTAAGGTATATTTTATCGTATTTAAACATTTTTCAACTTTTTTCAAAATGGTGGAAATGTCATCATTTTTTTTTCATATTCAAAAAGAACATATTTTTTTTTAAAAAACTTTCATTAAAAAAGTTTTTCTCTATCTGTATTTGGTTACAAGCTATGGGACTCTAAATTAAAAATTTTTTAAATAAATCTCAACTTACCCCGTGGTAAGAATTAAGTCGGCCAGGTAACAAATGAGCGTTTTAAGCTGATCAAACCAAATAATATTTTGTCATTAGTATCTTTTTTTTGGTAAATTAACATTATTAACAATAAATGCGACCTGTCTTCGAAATTTGTATTTGCAGTTTTCCTTTTCCTGTTATAAGCCAAGGGGAAATTTGAATCACCCTGTACGTTTGACAAAAAGTATTTTTTACACCGAATAGAACATGCTATTTTTTTTCAAACGTTAAAAATAATTTTTTAAAGAATTTCAAACGTTACAAATTATATAATAGTATATTGTATTATTAGGAGTAAAAATAACACTTTTTGGGGCGAGTCTGTACGCTTGACATACAGCCGAGGCACAAAAAGTCATTTTAATTCCGAATAGAACATGCTATTTTTTTTCAAACGCCACAAATAATTTTTTAAATAATTTTAAACGTTTCAAATAATATAAAAATATTTATATTTATTTTTTTTATAGAAATATTAAAAGTCATACCTTGTATGTAATTATTACGCTCGTTGAATTTGACACTTTATGCGTCAGTTTAATATTTTCGTACTTTTATGCCTAGGCGTAAAAGCGCTTTACTTTTAATTAAGGGGGGGGCTTTAAAATGACTTTTTTTATATTGTCAATCACGTCGCAAAAATTAATACTTTTGTGACGTTTGAAAAAAAAAGAATATGTTTTAATTCATGTTTCGGCAGGCGTTTTCCTAAATCTTGACGCCGTTTTTTTTTCGATTATTGGGTATTTTACCAATTACCACTATTTGTTCAAGTAATAACAACTATCAAAAAAAATACAAATAAAAAATTCTGGTCCACACATTTCAGACAGAAGATCATAAGGAACCAGAGCGACATATTTTCTTTGCAAGACGCCCCCACCACTTTACAAACATCAATATTTTCCGTCAACGGTTCACCGTCGAGAAGAGTTTTCAGAAAGCAGGAACCCGCAGGACACGTATTCCAAAGGTAAGCAGAAGAATAAGATAAAAATAAGTAAAAAAAATCGTATAAATGTACCTATGTCCTAAAAGTTTCGGAGATAGAGGGTGAAGTTTCATTTTTATTTCGAATTTCCCAAATAACTTCTGAAGTAACGACAAAATTTGGAGGAAAATTGGTGTCTGGGAGTTTTTGACATGAGAAATTTTATTTTGATGTCAATATGATTTCTATTTGTAGGGGGCGCTACCTACATGTGTTTTAACTCTTTTGAAGAGTAATAAATTTTCGTCCGTACCCGTATAAAAAAATACTGAGTAAAAAATATACATTTCCGTGACTTTTTACGTAAAAAACGTCTCTTGGTAAAAATCGCTACGAGCAATAGTTCTCAAGATACTTAGAATGTAAATAGTCAATACATGTCATTATTGACAGAAAATAAACATGTTGAGTTATTTGACTGAAATGATAAATTTGGGAACTTTTTAGACATACAAATATTAACTATAATCAATACTCTTTTATTGATTTATTTTTTTATTCGATTATTGAACTGACAAAAACAATAATTCAGTCAGTCGTAAAAACAAACATTATACCAGGTGCGTCTCAAAAGTGGCTCACCCCTATAACTTTTTTATTTTTTTCAGATAAAAAAATGAGATTTGGTATGTTAGTATATGACATAAATTAGGATTGATTGATGTATTCAGTTGTTTTCTGTCACTTCCTGTTTCACCGGAAATGACTACAACTTTTGATTTTTAAATGGCACCCTCATCATATTTTTTACTTTATTCGATAAAAAATGACATTTTAAATAGAATGACGAATCATATTTTCATATTCTATTTTAAATTTCAATTTAGAGTGCCATGGATGTGTTAAAAATACTAATTTTTTATCAAGGAGCCTTGGAAAAATAGATTTGATCGTCTAATGTTTTTAGTGTATTGTCCTGGCCGGTTAAAAGATGCACAAAATCGTATTTTTGATCATATCACATTTTTTTCAAATGGAACGAGGGTGGCTCATTAGCATATTTCGAAAAGGCATTTTTTTACGAATAATTTGATACCACACACTTGGTATTTCGAGTCAAATTGTGTTATGAACACCACGTTACAATTTCAAATAAACCATATGCGAAAATCTCAAAAGTTGAATGTCATTCTATGCAGAGTGTCATTTTCTATCAAATAAAGTAAAAAAATACCGAGGGTGCCATTTAAAAATCAAAAGTTGTAGTCATTTCCCGTAAAACCGGAAGTGACCGAAAACAATTGAATATGTCAATCAATCCCAATTTATGTCATATACTAACATACCAAATCTCGTTGTTTTATCTGAAAAAATAAAAAAGTTATAAGGGTGAGCCACTTTTAAGACGCACCCGGTATATTACTGTCAATGTTTTATTGCAATATAATTATTAACGTACGTTTCGTAGCGTACAAAATCACACTTTTGGTGTAATATGCCATAACTGCGAAAAATTAGAACCGCAGAATATGAAACAGCCCACTCATTTTTTTTTGCAGTTTAAATTTAAATACTTCCCGTATTTTATAAAGTAAAAGATGCCCACCTTGGTTCAAAAATAGAAATGCACAATATAAACATAACGTGTTTATAGTTTTAGTAGAAGTTATTTTGGAAAATGATATGGTGTAATTTAAATTACCAGCTTTATTGGGTTTTCTTATTACCGATTCTGAACCGTCCTAGAACTAATAAGAGGCAACATTTTATCTGCGCGTGCGCTGTAGAGCTCCAGGACGGTTCGGAATCGGTAATAAGAAGAATCGGTAAGCTATTAAAACTTTTATTATTGCATTTCGATTAGGTGATAATTACCTCGTTTCGAAAAGCGTCTAAAGGCAGGCGGCCACTGCGAGCGTAACTAAACTAAGTTAAAGATATAAAAACAAACGGTAACTAAACGAAAACAAGTTTCATCGGCCACTGGGAACGATTTTCGCTCAGTAGTCAGCTAAGTTAGTTGCGTTTTCGTATTGTATCTGTGCTGTCATAGCCAGTTTGGGTATAGTCTGTGAAACGAATAACTTTGAATTTGACAGTTTCCGCGGGCTTTTCTAGTGTTAATTTTATTAGGTTAGCAACTTGTTAGCAACTTGCGGCCATGCAGGGCCATGCTGACGCAATGCCGTCTCTAATAGAACAGCCTCGGAGGGAGATTTATGACCTCACGCTAACATAATTATTCCTTATATTTGACTATGGCTGAAATCGTACTCCATAGTCAATGTAGATAGTTTTAGTGTTAATAATAATAATTTTAAAAAATATGTGGTCAACTTTTGACAAGTTTATATTAGTTTATTAATTGCAGTAAACATTTATGTGGTTTGTGGTGTGAATATTTTATATGCAATTTTTTGGATTATATTCGACACTATTTTTTTATATGACACAACACTAATGAAGGCTATAATGTTAGCCGAAACGTTTTTTTTAAACAAAAAAAAAAATAATGAAAACTTAATCAGCGTTTTTCCCGAACCTAAATCCCAAGAAAATCAAGAATTTTAGAATAATTTTACATTATAAAATGACAGCGATCTTTATTTCATAGCCATCGCTGACGCATTTTTTCTATGATATTGTATTATTTGCAAATATATTTTTTCGAACATTGATTCTTGCAAAATATATGTACATATAAATTTTGTGAATACAAATAATAATACATCACTATTAGTATATATTGATTGTTTTTTGTTAAATTAGATCGATTTTCAAACCCCAAAATTTAAAATATATTTTACATTTTACCCATTATCTTATGTACCTATTCATTATTTGTATATTGTAAAACATTTGCTGCATTTGTATGGTTCATAGTTATTTGCCAAAGTATTTATTACTATAAATAGGTATATATTATATTTATTAACTGTATATTATGTATATTTCATGTAAACTATATCATTTTTAAAATACAAACCAAAAATACGAGGAATAATTATGTTTTCCATGTATTCTACAACATATTTATTAATCCGTATCTAATTAGCGTGACGTCATAAATCTCGCTCCGAGGCTGTTCTATTACAGACGGAATTGGTCTGATATTTAGAAATGTCAAAAGCTGATGACATTTTACTTTTGACAATTATGCCATTTCGTGTTGATTTTTGCAAGAAGAGGAAGAACTGTCACTTGTTTTATTATTTTCCTTTTCTATTTCACGTAAGTAAAAAGAGTTACCTATCTGATTCGTTCAGGCACTCAATTTAAAGAATACTTAAAGAATATCAGTAACTTTTTTGATAGAGGGATTTTATATTTGCCATGTTGGTAAAAAATAACGGTCAAAATTCAAAGTTATTCATTTTATAGACCATAGTAAAATTAATACAAACTGTTTTAGAAGTGAAGATAGCGATGTAAAATCGGCATTAAAGAGCAGAATAACCAGGGAAAATTACAACGATGAAAAAAGACCCTCAAGCTCTTACAGAAACCCATTAACTGGTACCGGACTGTCTTCCAACGACGAATACAAGAGTAAGGGACTCAAACGAAAAGGTAAGTATACATGGATACCAAAATCATTCATTTATTTTTATTGTTGATTACAACAACTCCAAACTATTTTTGTAATTTTCATTGAAAAGTTGTATACTGATCCCAAAATCATATAGAAGCTATACCAATTAAGCTTTTAGTTACGTAATCGAGGGCGCGATTTTTAAATTCATTGTTGCCAACGGTGGACATATTCGACGTCAGGCTGACTAACTGGAATTTAAATGTCCCGCTGGGATTCAGGCTGTAGCTCTGTTGTAAAAAATGTCAAGTTGCCACATTTATTGATTTATTTCCTGACATTGTCATTCGTTTTGACATTTTAGTCTTGAATTACGAGTTTTTGGTTTAAATTAATTTTGTTTTAATACCTATAAGCTTAAATTTTTTTACTAGCAGACCTTGCAGTCGAACATTGTTCTTTTTAGAACCTCTTTTAGTGCGAAGTGTACAATATAGCTTAATAGCTGTAATAAGGTCATCGCAACTTTTTTAGAATATTTTGAACGGGGAAAGCGGTAGTAATTTTTGCCCCTTATATTTTTTGTTCTTTAAGTGCTGTTAAGAAAGTGAGTTTTGTTGATGTAAATAATAATAACAGTTTATATATTTATAAAATAGGTAAAAGTGAGCAACGCTGTGCCGGTCAAGCTTAATCACGTGACTAAAAGTTTATTTGGTATGTTCTATATTAGGGTTATTTATTAACGCATTAAAATAAACGGTGTTATATTTTTTCTAGATGGAAATCCTCTGTTAGGTCTCGGATATGACGCCGAACTGCCAACGATCAACTCGCAGCACAGAATACCACCTGGTGGACACTCTCACAAATTATGGTGAAACCGATCAAAACGATAATCAAATCATAATTCTACAAAATTATATGTGCAAAAATATTGTAATACAAAAATATATAGCCGACAAAATATTTTACTTATTATAAATACACTTCTAACAAGCAGAAAGTCTGACCAAGGTCCAAGAAAGTATGTTTTAAGGGTCCGCCCTATGCCGAAAACATTGCGAACTGTAACGCCTATTGTGTATATCCTCTTAACAGAAACAGTTAGACAGACTACACAAGTTGTGACACAAGATTGTAGATTTTATCATCATCTACTATAACAACTCATGGGCACCTTAAAATTTTCATGTATTTTAAAGTTTTATATATTGTGTTCTAGTGCGCCGATTTTTATGATTTTTTAAGCAATTTGTAGCTAAATTATTTTACTTTTTAGTATCTCTTTCTAAATTAGAAATGAAAGCTGTGATCTGTCAGTTATACGAGGGAAATCAAAATGTTGATATTTTGGTGAAAGTTTGAAACACACTTTCGAGTACGTTAACAATGCAAGGAATTTAGAAATCATTTTATCATCTAGGTAGATATATTTTTTCTCGATAGTTTGTTTTTTATTCATCACAATAGCTTTATTTTTTGGAGATATTCGCTTTTGAAGAAGACACTAAAAATGTTTTCTTTTTTTTTATATTAAATAACGCCTTTGCCTTTGGTCCTAGTCAACAGCAATTTGGTCCTAGTCATCGCAACCTATAAAATAGTGTTAATGATCATGATTATAATTATTTATTATGTAACATTTCAGACATAATAAAAGACTAAAGACTGAAAATATACCATTTTGATGAGGACAATTACTCAAGGGGAACACTGTATTTTTATATATTGTTTTTATTTAAAATATTTAGGGAAATTCAACTATAATAGTAGACATTTTTAAACCTACTTGTTAAGTAACGAGCAATATCTTTTTATTTATGTCTAAACGATACTAATTTTCCAACTCGTCAACTATGGCGATGGCTTACAAAACTAATTGCTTAATAATCTTTTAGCGACTTAGAAATTTGCGCCTCGTTTCGTAGCTTTAACGTTTTGCACCATTTAAATCAAATCGAAGGTCGTGTAAATGTTACACCGCAATTAAATAAGTTCAGACAAATTAAATAACAATTTTTAAAGTTGTCTGCCTATAATAAGTAGCTAATTTTTATCGAGCGTTGCACAGAACGGTTTCATAATAAACGCATGTCGTCATATATGTTAGAATGCGAATTATTTTTTAGCACTTTCTTCTTTGATAATTCCCGCATTTTTCGATGGATATACCGCAATGTATTTATCTATTTGAAATATATGAAACCACCATTACATTTAGTCTGACTCTCGGTACATACTAGCTCTCTGGTAACTTTATCTTCGTGGTCTGTATTTTAATGCATACGACAGAGATAAATATATACGACCAGTTAACAGACAGAGAGACAAAATAAAAAGCGGCATACACTGTTGCCGGTTCGTACGAGAAATAAAATAATAAACCAAGATAATATATCTAAGATAATATATCTCAATAATGCTCATTTCTGGACATTTTATCAAGAATATATTGCAGCTGTAGTAAAATGAGCAACTAATTGTGAAAAATAAAGTTCCAACCCTAGATGCAACATTTTTCGTAAACACCTACTTGTGCGGTTTGAAATTTTGATGCAAAATCCGGCAATACCGCATAGAAGAAATTTATCAACCTAACTTTTATCTCTTTTTAATACATTTGATTTTTCATTTAAGCTGTCTACATCACTGTCTTACACGTTAAAATCCAGACCACGCCAGCTTCGATGACCAGATCGGTATACCATATTATCTTTATACATCTTTATTATTTTTTATTAGTTCCCTTTGTATAGTTTTTACAGGTAGCCACAGCACAATTTGACATTTTCTATTAATACGAGAGTAGTATACCCCGCTGGCAAACGAACGTTTAGGTCGGCGTTTACATGTATAGGAGTGAGTCGTTATGGCAGTCTAGTAAGTGGGAGTAAGCAAAAATACGAAGTATTTATTACATAACTACTTAATCTGACGATAGATTCCATGCGCTTGGGAAAATACTCGCCTTCTGTATTTATTCAGGACATCTGATTTTACTCAGCGAGTTGGCCGTACTCTTCATACACATGAAAACCGACACCCAAGACCAGAAATGCCGACCCTTAGTATATGTTTATTGACGTTTACTCAAGTAGAGATGGTTTTAAGTTCTGAAGTATTGGCTATTGCTTCTATCGGCTCTTGCGATTGATCATGGTAGAGATGATCAACTTTTGGACATAAAATCATATCTGCTAGAGTAACTGCCAATACAACAGACAATAATAATATGATTTTTTCTAAGACAGTGACATTTACATGTTGACATTAATTAATGTTTATTATGTTTATAATTATTTTACTTGTATCTTATTGAAATTACTTATTGAAGTGAAACTTCTTTACGCGCGCTGGGAGTAAAAATTCAAAGCCGTGACACAACAGGCGAGAGGAAAAGTGATAAGGACAGATGTCGATAGATTGAACCAGGACACATGTCACTGTAACAGTTTCGACGTAAGAAACGTCAAAAGTTGATGTCCGATCGCGCCATCCACACGGCCCCACCCTGCAAAGTACGACGTTTCATTTACATCTTCATCAGGGTGGGGCTAAGGATTTGATATTGAAGAAAAATGTGGGTCGATTTCGACATAATTCTGGACAGGCTACAGGATGACGCCTTCGAAGTTTCGAACCTATACCTCTAAATGGACGAAATCATCAGGATGTTTCTTAATTATGGGTCGATTGCAACCAAACTCGACACCTGGATAGAGGTACCCGAATGGAGTCCTCAGACGGACAGACGGCCATTTTAATACAAATTTTGTAAAAGTGAATTAAATTATTTATTAATTTTTAATTTATTACTTTTTCAAACTACACTTTTTCAAACATGTCCTTCAAATCTGGTAAATTTAATAGGTGTTAGTAAGAAGTTTCTGTTCAAATATACCCACATAGTGCACAACAATTTTTTTTTGGTATTAGTTCTTGTATTATTATATTTTTTAATTTAAACTTCATTATTAACGTACTTGGGAGAATGCAGTAATTTTCTAATTACACAATGTATTTTTACCATATGTGAGGAATAAAAACTATAAATAAAATAAAAAAAAACTTTAAATGCTTTTAAATTCAACATTTCGTATTTTCAATCGATTTTAATGCACACAAGCAGCTCGAAAAAAATCTTTAAAAAGACTTCTTCAAGAACCATTAAAGTTTTTGGTTAATAAGTACCATACGATCGAAAAAAATGCGTTATGACTTTGAAATGAAGATCAATGACATTTTATACGTAAAATTTAATGGAGAATGCCATCGATTATATTGTATCTCAAATAACTTGATTTCTTCATCAATATCATATTATCTTACCTTCTAACTCTACCAATGGAGAAATGGACAACAACACGGTCAAGTGTTTCTTTAATCTCTCTTTTTGATATATTTGATATTTTCGTCTCCTATAGCTGGGTTCACACACATAATCGTCGCAAAACATGTTACCACTATTGCTCACAATTTTATCACTGTTTTTTTTAGAACATCACCAACTTTTATTAAAAATATTTATTTCCGTATAATAATAATATATTCTCACAAATACAAATTCATGTAATTTTCATCAACTATCTTGGGAATCTATATACCAGTACTCAAATAAATTTACAGGCTACTGGTAATTAAGGATCTCTGGAATAGACATCACTATGATTTAATGGTAATAATAACAGAAATTGTCAAGCCTTCAACAATAATAAAAACAGATGTTAGTTTCAGATTTCATTGGACTGTAAATTAATAAATTAGTGTATTGTATATAAATGTATAAACAACACATGTAAGTATGAGAAAATATTTTTAAAATATTTAAATAAAAACTGTTTGAAATTACCGTTCAGTAATATTACTTGATATATCGAGTTATAATTAATTAATATTTTGAGTTAAACCTTGATAGCCTGTCTACTACAATAAATAAAACGTATACATAAAAAATTATACTTATTGTTTGATAATGAAAAATAATATTTCTTTATCTGTAATTGAATATTCCGTAATATATATTTGCAATATATGTAGTTTATTACTGGAAAATATATATTATTCGGTTTTTGTTAGGTACCCAATTATTTGTTTAAACAAATTCACTTTTCACAAAACAACTGTTCAACGTTTATCTTACAACAGACATAAGCACTCAAGAATAATACCCGAGTTGAACTGTCCGAGAATCATCTTATTTTTACATTTTGAAAAATTGGAAAACATCCAGTTTTTGTTTATATGACACAGTGATGTACAGAGTACAGAGCCGGATTATGCCATGAGATCCCTGAAATGAAATCGCTTATCAAATTGGAATTAATATAAATATGAAATTTTAATACAACATGCACTTGTGCATTGAAACATTCGACCAATGTGTACTACCAGTCATGACCTATGCATGCCAAACCTGGACACTTAAAATGGACATCATAAGGAAACTGTAGGCCGCACAACGGCCAATGGAACGAAATATGCTGGGAATAACCAAGATAGACTGTAAAAGAATAGAGTGGATATGACAAAACATCCAGGTAATAGATGTCATCCACAGATCCCTCAAATGGCAATGGGCAGGACACCTGGCTGTTCAAAAAACGGACAACATATGGACCACAAAAATTACAGAATATGGTACCCACGAGGAATTAAGAGACCTAGAAGAAGACCGACTCTGAGATGGAACCATGATATTAGGAAATTAGCAGGGATAAGTTGAACCCAAGCTTAGCCAACAATAGACAACAATGGGTCCAACTACAAAGAGAGTACTTAACTATGTGAGGGAGGCTACACCATAATAATTGGAAATGGTTGAATAAGCTGAAAATGATGATGATGATGATACACTACTAGTACTACTACTTTTTCTGTATTTTGAAACACATTTGTGATGGAAATTTATTATATTAGCATCCAAAAAACTCAAATAACATTGAATAATGGCTATTAGATAAATAGCTACATATTAACCATAGGTAGATCTTTTTAAACAGAAATATATGTTATGTAAAAATACTTACCATGATAAAAGAGAAAATTTCCGATTCTTAAATAATGATCTTTAATCATTTTTCCAAATTCCGCCCTAGTACCTATACATTGCTAAATGTCACAGTAAATACTAAACTTTAGTATATGAAAAACAAAGGTAAATTGAAGATTATTATCTTATCAATTACTAACAGAAATTACACCAAATAATAAAAAAAATGTCGCTATTTTCGTACCAAAATTAAATAAAATATACCTTGGAAATCTTGGAAATTATCAAAAATACAACATCTCCCGACAAGTTTTATGATTTTTTTCAAGTAATGACTAAATGCATAAATGCAACAAAAGGTTGCAGCTGATGATTGCATGACATTTACCTGGACTATAATTAAACATAATTAGCGCTCTTCTTATTTTAAAATGGTCATTACACGAAAACTAAAATAAACATTACAGGAAGGGTCATTGAGTTTTCCAAAAATAAACAAAAATATGCATATTCAACCTATATTTACTACTTCCTAGTTGAGGCTTGTTAAAAATGTATGGATACTAAATTTGTTTGCATTGTGACAACATTCGGTAATATTGATATAGATAAATCTAATGATAGTATAATAAGGCTAATTTAAAGTTTTATCTAATTAAAAATATCTAATATCTCTCACCTTGTATTAGTTTACCACTTTTCGTTGTTGAAGTCATTTTCCGAGTTCTTGTTATCGCATAAAACACAGAGTGAAATACATGTTTACGGATATTTCGGTGTCTCCGGGGTTATAAATTTAATATGAAATCGATTTAGACCAGCTATCGAAGTCATAATTAATTAGAAGTATTTTTATTTAGAAAATTTAGCGAATGTTGACCTAAACGGCAAATAAAAGTGACATTTGACACTTTAAAACTGAAGGATCGATTTTTGTTATTAAACAAACCAGTCGGTATTTCAGGAAAATCTTCACTTTCAATCAAGCTTAGTATGTCTATAGTTGAATAGATGGCCCTTTAGGCTTTAAGTCTTCGAAACAAACATTGGTGGCGCTTTTGGCAATACTTAATTTTTGCCCTATATTTTAAATAATGGTTCAAAAATACCCGTTTCATTAAATAATTTTTATATACCAAAATGATTATTGTATTTACCTGAAAAGAAATAAAAACTACGTTATAATATATTTTTAAATCTTTATTTTATATTGTCTGTATTCTATTACACACTTTCACAAATATATTAAAAATTGTATACATCTAAAAAAATATGCGAGAAAAATATATGTAAGTATAATATAGTTAAAATATAAAACTTAAATTGTAAGTATAGACCATATGATGACATAGGATAGGATGACAAGTATTCGGATTCCTGGATTATGTAATATTTTTTCGCCAGTTGGGAATGGCTCTAAAAAATATATAATTATATCAACTTTTTCTCCTATGCTTACAAGTTTAGCTACAAAAAAGTACAGTAACTATTGACATTTTTTGTGACAATTTCTAAAAACTTCCAGAGGCAACTGTGCACAATAATATACCAATACCGGGTGTTGCATCGTCGAGCGGTACATAGGAAATCCCATGTAAATTTTAATGGGGTCAGTTATTGGCTTCCCTAATTATTTTAGAGAATAATTCTATTTAGGTTTATTGAAGAGCACTAAAACCCACATTCAAAAGAATAACTTTAGATATTTTTGATTAGCTCGTTTACGAGTTATCGCCGATTTATTTTTAAATATTTCTCCTTTCTTATGGCCCTGTATTTACTTATGAGCACCAGTCAAGGTAAAAGATAACTGTCAAATGAAGTTGTCATTTAATAGTACGTAAATTAATAAGTTATTGAATATTGTAATAATACTATAATTAACCTTGTAATTGATTACTTTATTTTACTTTAATTCATATTAATTTGTATTTATAAATACATCTTTAAGATTTCCGATGTAAGAATGAGTTTTCAATAATAATAATAGAGCACTAAATAGGTAAATTTCTGAAATGACAACAGGAAAATTCAACCATATTTTCATGTTTTTCTTAATTGTCTCTAAAACGGTATGGAAATTTGTAAAAATATAAACAGGATTAACCAATGGGATTAACCATTTTAGAACAGCAAAATTTTTTATGAAGAATGCATTTCTCTCAAAATGTCAATAATAAAAAAGATTTTCCCCTTGTAAAGAAAGACAATCCGGGGATATAGGTACTGCTATAGCTATATTATGTTAGCTGTACTGTTATTAGCCTAAATTTGAATCACCCTGTAGATTTAAAAAATTAATAACCTATGTTTAATCTGCTCACAGTTATAAATCACATAGATAAGATAGGTGATAAGATAGATCTCACAAAGATACTAAATCATTTATCAAATAAAAATAACGAAAGTGTTGATTGAAATAATATACAGGGTGAGTCTTAAATAAGTACATATATTTTAAGGAGTATTATATTTGGGCCTCAGAAAAACGATTACGAGGTTTTTTTACGCGAAATTTTTTTTTTAAATTTGAAATTTTTTTAAAAATTTTTTGGAATGTTTTTTAGTTATTAGTTAAAAAACATACTTTGTTGATAATATGGCAACATAGGTAGTAGATTAAATGTACAAGAAAGAAAATCCAGAAAAGGTCCAGTGGTTCTCAAAATTTTAGCAAAAAATCATTTTTTTGTAAATTCTCAAAGTAAATAACTCGGTTATTTTAGATTTATTTGAAAAAAGGTAAAGAGAAAATATATTTCTTTTATCGAGATCTACCAGCCCTGAAAATATTTGCACTTATTTAAGGCTCACCCTGTATATTTCACTCAATGACGAATAATCTGTATTATAATGATGTCAGTCGAATTTACAAGCAACCTTTTTTTTATTTAATAATCTTTGTAATTTTTAAATTGATAATATATAAATGTGTGCAAAACATCTACATAATATATAAAATGCTAATGTTTATCTGTGTCGTCTCTACTGAAGTAACGACTTCTCTAGAAACTTGCTCTCTAACGACTTGCTCTAGAAAGTTGCTTTTGTTACTAAAAGATAGCTAATTGGCTCTTCTAAAAACTGTCGTCGAAGGATTTTTTGTTTTCCATTTAATTAAAAAAAAATAAAAAGTATTTTTTTCTTGTCGTGGCGGATGCGCTAGGCTTCAACTAGTATTAAATAAAAATCCAGAGTAAACTTCAAAGATAAGTTAGATTTTTTCAAAGATAAGGAAAACAGTTTTCTATATAATTATATCTTTGCAGCAATTTTTGATCGCCAGTCAATTGCCCCAGAAGTTTAAATAACATCGCATATTACAGACAGATACAAACATACAGCAGTTAACATTTTAAGAAACTTCGTATTTTATAAAGAAAATTTAAATATATTTTATAGTTAAATATTTTTTTTTCATAATTAAACCAAGTATTTTTTCAAACGCCCACACTGCGCTATTGGAAACAAATTACTTTAGTTATAACTTAAATATGAGTTTATATCTGGTTTATATGCATCCGTTATGCGTCATCCGTCGTCCGTCACTTCAATCATATTTAAGCATGGTACAAAGAAAACAAGGTATGATCGATAGCGGCTCCAATTTCGTTAAGTTTGCGCATACCACCTGTGACGTCATACGCCATACAAAAAATATTCATATTGTCCAATTGCCACTAATAAAAAAAGGCCTAAAATAGGGAAGAATTAGGACATAACCCCAAAAGTTATGTCAAATCATCGAACTTGACATTTGAAAAATTATTTTCACATTTATTATGTCATCTGTTTGACAATTTGAAATTGGCGCGCGGAGCTTGCCGACCAATGGTGCCGTTTATCACCTGTGACGTAGTGACCAACCTGCGCAATATCATACCTTGTATTCTTTGTATCATGATATTTAAGTATGGCCTGTCATTTTTGACTATGACTTTTGGCTATCTCTGAGAGACAAATTACCGAATATCAAAGTGCGAGACAGAACAAAAGTCATCGATGCCATCGAGAAAATAACTACTTTGAAATGGAATTGGGCAGGGCACATTGCAAGGCTAAACGATGACCGATGGACGAAGAAAATGATAGAATGGAGACCAAGACACGATGCACTCAGGAGCAGAGGCCGGCCTCCAACCAGATGGCATGACGACTTAAGGCGTATCCACAGTAACTGCATGCAAATGGCACAGGATAGGGAGTAGGGAGTTATGGAAGCAAACGAGGGAGGCCTACGTCCAGCAGTGGACTTTAGTGGCTGGTTGATGATGATGATCTCATTTTGGTATATGCACCAATAAAACTGCATAAAATCATCGACGAACGACGCATGACGGATATATGTAAAGTACCATACGATCGAGAAAAAAACTGCGTTATGTTGGCTTAGAAATGACGATCAATGGCATTCACCATATAGTTTTACATATAAAATGACAAAGATTTTCGCTTCTAAGCCAAACTCTTACTTGACTTACAGTTTAGATGTAGATAAAACAGATAGCGTAGTAACTGATGGTTCGTTGATAGATTTAACACGGTGAGCCCATACAACAGTGGGTTTTAGAAGCCTTTCTGGGTCCCTTAAGCTTGCTGGACCCGAACGAACCCTCTGAATAGTCTTAGCCGAGTTTTTTTGATGCGCTTGTCTCATTTTCAAAATATGGAGCTCGTCCATGGACTGAAATTGTTTAATTAGTTTATTTGCTTCCATTGCTCTGAAAAAAAAGAAAATGTGAAATGTAGTAATCATTAAGTTAACTACATTATTATGGTCTGTAATAAAACAAATATGTCCGGCAATAGTGCGTCGCACATCTGTAGCTCCTAAATTAAAAACTTAGGAATTTTGTTTAAATGCAAACCTAAAGTATGTAGTATTCTTGTTTATATATTGTTAGGGTAGTATGTACTAGGATTATTTCAGGAAAATATTTTAACTTCTATAGGGTGGTATAGTACTTCAAAAAAGTGTGAGTGGATCGGTATGATGTTTGTTAAATGGAACACCCTGTATGTTATTGCATTTTTGGCTTATTTTCAAATTCTTCTTCTCAGAGTGCCGTCTTCATTGTGCATTGAAAGTTGGCAACAATCTCGGCGAACTTCTCTTTAGCAAGCAAAAAAATCTTTGGCAGCTCGAAATAACGAGTATCCATACCCGTCCAATCTTTTCAACCATGAATGTTTCTTTCTTCCTATACCCCGCTTGCCCTCAATTTTTCCCTCCATTATCAATTTTAACAGCTCATATCTACTTCCACGCATTATATGACCCAGATAGACTGTCTTACGTTTCTTGGCTATTCGCACTTGGCTCACATCAGCACTCTTCGTTTGTGACATGTGCCGTCCAAGGTATTTTGAGAAGTCTACGAAGAATCCACATCTCAAGGGCTTCTATTATGTTAATGGTGTTAACCTTTAGAGTCCATGATTCACAGCCATACAACAAAACCGGGTGTACATAGCACTTCACAAACCGGTATCTAAGACTCAGACTTAGGGTGGTATTACACAGTAATGGCCGCATCAGGTTAAAAGTGGCTCTTGCTTGCTCGTTTCTGGATCTAATTTCTATTTCTGGATCTAGGTTGTTGCAAATCCAGGTCCCCAAATATTTGAATTTTTCTACCACTTCTATTCGTTTCCCATAATATACATATACTAATATCTATGGGCGGCTCTGGGGTTTTTGATATCATAAGTATTTTTGTTTTAGTGGTATTTATTTTAAGGCCGTAACTATCTCCGACTGCAATGAGTTGATTTATCAAGCGTTGCAAGGCCTCTGGACTATCTGCTAGTACCGCGGTATCATCAGCATATCTTAGGTTGTTAAGTGTTACACCATTGATCTTAATCCCATCACTCGTGTCTTTTATTGCCTCTTCAAAAATATGTTCGGAGTATAAATTAAATAACATTGGTGATAAAATGCAACCCTGTCGGACACCTTTTTGTATGTTTGCTGGTTCAGTTGTTATATTGTTATACTTTACTACAGAGATTGTATTGGGTGATCCCAATACAAGCTTTTGATGATTGCAATGTTAAAATTATATACTATTTTCAAATTACCCTACATAATCCTAATATATGATTAAATATATTTCGATAGTTTCAGAGTTATTAATAAATAAATAAAAAAAATATATTTTTCAGCATTTCTTAAAAAAAATATTAAAAATACAAGAACTGTCCTGAAATCCAAACTATATTAGATATTTACTTTAGATGGTCTGGTACTTACTTTGCCAAACTTTCTAAAATATAAAATAATTCTTCTTCGTTTTTTTAAAAGGAACACCCTGCATATTATTTTTTCAACAGCATTTTTTTTTGAATTTAGAGTTTTCAAAATTGTTAACGGTTTCGTAGATATTTGCGGTTTAATATTTCGTATGCCGTTTTCCACAGTCATTTTTTATCAAAGCCACCACAGATTTTTCCCTCGTATTTTACCGTTGAAAGAGCTATATGATATGATACTTCGTGTATCTGCAAAACCATTAAAAATGTTGAAATACTTTAAATACAAAAAATATTCCATTTTTAACTCTCCAATCTAATAAAAAAAAGTGTACAGGGTGTTCCATTTTGAAAAAAAAACAAAGAAAAATTATTTAATATTTTAGAAAGTTCGGCATAGAATTTTGAACACTCTGTGTGGTTTAATATTACGATATTTATAGCAAAGTAAGTATAGACCTCATTCGTGCCATGAATTTTGGTACGACTGATATTGGAGATGGAGAACTACCCTCTATAAAACCGTCCCAGATACTGGCTTTTGTCAAAGCCCTGGGACTGTATGATGAGTTATGATTCAAGAAAGGGGGACACAATGGATCTGTAAGGTCGAAGTGATTAACCCCCCTCCCACTCATTCTAAATTCTAAAATTCTAAGTATAGACCACCTAAAGTAAATAACTACGACTCGTAATATATAGTTTTGATTTCAGAACAGGCTCTTATATTTTTGTAACATTTTTTTAAGAAAGTTTGAAAAATATGTATTTTTTATTTATTTATTAATATCTCCGAAATAGTGGAAATATATTTACTCATACCTTAGGATTATGTAAAGTGATCTAAAAGAAAAGTCCCGGTTCTTTGATGGCTCACAAGAACCCGGAATTCCCGGTACTTTCGAGACCGATATTTCCCGGTTCTGAGCCCTAACTTTCATGAATTAATCGTAATACAAAAGTTCTCTGTAAAACATCTTAAGTAATCTATATAGTGTACCTTCTCTTTTTTTCCAACTCTTCATGATTTCTTTTAGATAATTCTTCCGTTTTCTTATAAGCTAGTTTTGATTCTTTCCATTCGTTTACAATTTGCTTTATCTCCAATTGTTTCAATCGTTCCAATCTTTCTTTTTCTATTTTTTCCGCCATTCGTCTCAGTTGAGCTTCTTTTTCTAATTGCAACTCTTGTTCTTTCTCTAACTAAAAAATCTATGAATTATAGAAAAACGTAATTTTATTTTGTATTACCTTCCACTGTTGTAATTTTTCTCTTAAGTTTTCACCCGTGTTTGCTGCAATATCTTCCTTTTCATTACATGAATTATGTTCAACGTTATTAACTATATTACTTTTCTTATTTTTACCTTGTTTCCATAAAGCAATTGCTCGTTTTTTCTTTAACTTTAAATCGACATATTCTTTATACCACTGATCGTGCAATTTAATATCATCAATACTAATATCTACAATTTAATTATATAGGTCTGTGATATAGGTACCTACCTACAGGTACCGTATGATCGAAAAAAAACGGCGTCCAGTTGGCTTAGGGTACAAACATAGTGAGGAATCTCGATGCGATGCTCGCCACGATGCTCACTTACTCGCCATTTTAAAACAGTAGTTAAAGCGTGCGCGCAGGATGCATCGCGGGGAGCATCGCATCGAGATGCCCCACTATGTTTGTACCCTTAGAAATGACGATCGATGACATTCCCTATATAATTTTACATATAAAATGACAGCGATCTTCATTTCATACTATTCGCTGACGCCGTTTTTTTCGATCATATTGTAAGACAAAAGATTTGTTTCTAAATTGTGCTAACTGGTCTGCACATGAGTCTGCACAGTCAAAGATCTGAGCGACTATGTATGTCTGAACATACAGTACAATAAAAAAAATCACGTTTCCTTAGAACTGATAATCAATGAGAATTTATACTTTATACTATTATGTCTGCTTTCGATAGGGCCCGAATTATCGCTTTGCATGAAGAAGGTCTCAGCAGGCATCAAATTGCTGATCGTTTAAATTTGATGCGAAAGCTGAATTATACAACGGTATATGAACACCAGAAATGTAAGATCTCGTCTTAGGTTGGACCGTACAAGGGTAACGACTGAACGACAGGATCGCTACTTGGCTCAATTTGCCAGAAGAAATCGGTCAGTTCCAATTCGAGAGCTACGATCTCAGTTTCAACAAACTTACCACCGAGTGATATCAAGCCGAACCATTTCCAGGCAACTTTCTAATGCTGGATTGCGGCGTAGACGTCCACTGCGAGTCCCTCTATTAACTTTACGCCATAGGCAAAGGAGGCTACAATGGGCTAGAGAACACCAGAACTGGTTATTACCTCAGTGGAGAAACGTATAATTTTTACTGACGAAACCAGAATAGGTTTGATCGGGTTTGATCAGTGATGACTATCGTTAGCGAGTGTGGAGGGAGGCAGGGAGACAGCATCGCTTGAATACAACTCTTGCTGTTGCTCCTTATCAAGGAGGGAGTGAGATGTTCTGAGGTGGCATCATGTACAATAGGCGAACAGAGGTCATTCATATTCCTGAGGTGATGAACGCCCATTTGTATGTGGAAACTGTAATCAGACCAATAATTTATCCACTGCGAGAATGGATGATAACACTCGTCCTCGCAGAGCTAGGATGGTCCAGGAAGCATTAAATGAAGGGGAAATAACTCGTTTGGACTGGCCTCCACTCTCCCCCGACATGAATCTTATTGAACATGTCTGGGACATCACCAGAGCTGTATTTCGCAAAAATAAAACCCACCAAGAAATCGCCGGGAGTTGATCATTGCCGCTCAAGAGGAATGGCAGAACTTACCTCAAGAAACCATAAACAACCTTATATAGTGGGGATGCCCCGACAACTAGATGCACTCATAACAAATCGAGGAGGCAATACTTTATGTTAGTAACCTTATTTTACCATAATTTATTATTTATTTATTTATTTTTTCTTTTTTGTCAAACACTTTTCTTTATGGAATTTGCATTTTTTTTTGCATTTGGCAAACTGGGTGAAAGTTTTTCCTTTTTTGTGATATTTTTTAACATAACTTTAGCATCTATTGATTTCCACGAAAAATTAGTTTGAAATGTATTTTTTTATTAAAAATGCGTGGGGTGCAAGACTTTTGCCGATGAGTGTAATATAATATAATTAAATGACATCAATCGCCATTTCTAACGTTAATCATACAGTATATGCTGCGGATAAAGATTAAAAAAAAGTACCAGGCAAAGTATCATGTAAATTCAAAGCAACGTCTTCTATATTTTTATACCGAGCTTTGTATTTCAAAAATAGCAAGTGATCTTCTTTTCTCCATCGATTCTCGTGACCTCCACTTTTATAAACAAAATCCAGAAATTTTTTTACCTCCTAAAAATATATTTTTTTAACATATCTAAGTAGTATTTTGTTTCTATTTTCTTACCTTGCATTGGCCTAATTTTTTATTCTTTATTTTTGCTGGTATGCATTCGTAATTTGAAGTTATATTTGAATTTTCATTCCATTCTACCAGTTTGCCATAGTAATACATTGTGAGTTCGTCATATAAATCTTCAGCTATGTCGTTTAAGCCATTATACGTTTCTTTGGCATTTTCTTTCATATTTATAATATTTTCATGTATTTGTACCATTACATTTTTGAATTTATTAAAATCTATTTTTAAACATAAGAAGAAGATAAAAATATTTTTCAGTATAGCCAGAATAAAATGTTTTTTTATATACTTACCGTTAATTTTTTGAATTTCTTTGTTTTTTAATAACGCTTGTTTAGCTTTTAGTAATTCAAGAGTCTCTCTAGTTTTCTTTCTTGACTCCAGTAACTCCTTTTGTCTGAAAAAAAAAACGTTTAGAAGCATCTGCACAGTATCTGACACTTATTTATTCAGGAACTTTGTGGATCGCCTAGGTAGCAATTTTAAAGTGCTCTATTACTTTTTAAACCGCCCTTATTAGTCCGGTCAAATTAGACCAAAAAATAAGAGTAAAGGTACATAAATTTATAACAAGCTGAAAATGCGTGTACCTAATAATTGTTTAAAACAATATTAAAAATAACATTTTTTTTCCAGATTTTTGACCTCGCATAAATTTTTTTCCAGGCACCGGAATGATTTGGAATATTAAAATGTTATTTTTAATTATGTTTTAAACAATTACACGCATTTTCAGCTTGTTGTAAATTTATGTACCTTCGAATGTCTAGATTACCGGACTACTTATTATAGTTTTTCAAATTCAATTTGAACTGAAATTTAACCTCAGTATGCCTAAAGAATATGCCGGAGATTTACCTTCTTAATTAAAAGTGTTCAATAATAATTTTGAATTGCAAAATTTAGCTACACGACAAAAAATTCAATAGATATCGACAGTATGTTCCCGGATTGTCTTTACAAGAGGAAAAACTTTGTTATTAATATTATTGACATTTCGAGATATTATTTATATTATATTATCTTCCATAAAAAATTTTGCTTGTTCTAAAATGGTTATCCAGTTTATACTTTTCCAAATTTCCATACCGTTTTAGAGAAAATAAAAAAAAACATGAAAATATTGGTGAATTTTTTCTTAAAAATCAAAACGCGTTTCTATGGTAACATAATCTTGTTTACATCCTTTATTTAATAGATTGTTTGGATTGTTATTGATAGAATTTTAATTAACGTCATCTTTTTTGCTGTTTTCGGCTGTTTTCAAAGTTAAAGAAAAACCAAATTTGGTAGAGTTCAACTCTCTATACGGAAAGGATGAAAATAGTTATCGGAAAATGCAACAACAGCAAGAAATATAACGTTAATTAATATTAATAACAGTTAATAATAACCATTTATCGAAAAATTAAGAAAAAAAATGGAAATTTGGAAAAGTATAAACGGGATTAATCATTTTATAGCAAACAAATTTTTTTTTGAAGAATGCATTTTTCTCAAAATGTCAATAATAAAATAGTTTTTCCTCTTGTTAAGACAATCCGGAGACATACTGTACATCATAGTATAACCAACTGTACATCAACTCTTAATAATTAAACAAAGTTTAAAGAACTAAAGTTTTTAACATACTCTCTTAAGAACATACAAGACTGTTGTAAATCTTACCTTAATTCATTACTTTGCTTAAAATTTTCTATGATATCTGCTGTAAAATTTTGCGTACTCTCGAATTTCCCGATAATGCTTTTAATACTTTTTTCTAGAGTTTCCTCTATTTGGTACAACTTATTTAAATCGGAATTACTTATTATATTCATATTAGCTTGATTGATAGTATAAATGGAATCGAATATTGACCAAACTTTTATTCTCTTGATAAATAAAATACCAGTGACAATGTATTGTCACAACTTCTCTGAACAAAACAAAACTATTTTCTAATAACAACAGAGAGAAATATCAAAAAATATATTTCAGCCATGTAATTTAATTACATATTTTGTAAAATGTAAAAGACAGGTGAAAGAGTTATTTTAAATATCTAGGATTAGCCAATCAAGAGCCAATCCAATAATATAGATTTGGCAACCTAGCAAAACTTTGTCAAATTTGCCGGTTGCCGGTGATATTTGACATTTGACAAAACTCCGTAACTTTTTTTTAGGTTAAGTGCATTTTCAAAAGTCTGAAAATAATATTTGAGAAAAAAATACAAATATAGATAATGCTATCTAGAAATATAACTAGGCTTGTTTTCCAGGTTTGTAATACTTGGATTGTATTAACATAGTGTTGCATTAAATACCAATTCTTTTAGGGAAAACATGTTTCCAATACATGGAAACAGGTATCTGTTAGAAGGAAATCTTATACCCCCTTGAATACAATAGTAATGTTTGTGCCCCAACAAGAGGTTTGTTTGTGAATCCGCGTGAAGTTTGGTTGATTTGTATAAATTTAAAATAATGACTATTTAGGCATGGATTGTTGAACGGATGGGTAAATTTCATAGAATATTAGATCCAGGATTAAATATATTAGTGCCAATAGCAGACAAAGTAAAGTATGTGCAGAGTTTAAAAGAAATAGCAGTTGATATTCCCAAACAAAGTGCTATTACATCAGACAATGTAACTTTAAGTATTGATGGTGTATTGTATTTAAGAATAGTCGATCCATATTTAGCTAGTTATGGGGTTGAAGACCCAGAATTTGCTATTACTCAATTAGCACAGGTATATTCTTGTACTATATTTACCTATGATTAAGTGCTTCTAAATTTTTAGACAACAATGAGATCAGAATTAGGAAAAATATCACTAGACAAAGTTTTCAGGGAAAGAGAAAGTCTAAACGTTTCAATGGTAGAATCAATAAACAAGGCTAGTGATGCATGGGGTATGACCTGTTTGAGATATGAAATTAGAGATATACGTCTACCACCAAGAGTTCAAGAAGCAATGCAAATGCAGGTATTTTAAGAATAAATACTATAGTTAGCTCACAGATATATCTTGTATTTTTGATCTAATTGGTAGGTGGAAGCTGAGAGAAAAAAGAGAGCTGCTGTGTTAGAATCAGAAGGTGTTAGAGCAGCTGATATTAATGTAGCTGAAGGTGATATTTTAAAATCCACAATTTTTCCACAATATTCCTGATCATTTCATGTTTCAGGTAAAAGACAAGCCAGAATATTAGCATCAGAAGCCCAGAAACAGGAGCAAATAAACAAGGCAGCTGGTGAAGCTGAAGCTATAAAAGTTGTGGCATCGGCAAGGGCAAAAGGACTGCAGGTAATTGCAATATTTTTATAAATATTAAGGTATGCTCTTTTTTTACGTATTTATAAATAGGTAATAGCAGAAGCGCTGCAAGGAGATTTTGGTCAGAATGCAGCAGCTTTGAGTGTAGCTGAACAATATGTTGAGGCCTTTGATAAACTGGCAAGAACAAATAATACTCTTATTCTGCCAGCAAATGCCGGAGATGTTTCTAATATTGTGACCCAGGTAAGTACATATGCAGGGTCCGGCAATAGTGCCTGCTCAAAAAGGTGTGAGTGGATTGGGATGATTTTTCTTAAATAGGACACCCTGTATATTATTGCATTTTTGGCTTCCTTTTTGATCACTTTACATAATCCTAATATATTAATAAATATATTTTTTATGGTTTCAGAGATAAGAATAAATAAAAGAAATATTTTTTTCAGCCTTTTATAAAAAAATTATTAAAAATACAAGAAATGTCGTGAAATCAAAACTATACTAGGTATTTACTTTAGGTCGTCTGTACTTGTATTGCAATCTTAAACCATACAGGGTGCTCAAAATGCTATGCCAAACTTTCTAAAATATAAAATAGCCCTTCTTTGTTTTTTTTTAAATAGGACTGTATATTATTCCTGTTAGATGGAGAATTAAAAAATGAACATTTTTTGTATTTAAAGTATTTCAAAATTTTTTAATAAATATATATAGGTTTTTAAACAGTATTTTTTTAACAAAGCCACCTAATGATTTTTGTCTGGTATTTTACCATTGAAAGAGCCATAATATGTATAAAAACGCGAATATTTGCGAAACCGCTAAACATTTTAAAATACTTTAATTAAAAAAATGTTCATTTGTTAATGCTCCAACTAACAAAGAAATAATAGATAGGGTGTTCCATTTAAGAAAACCAAGAAAAATTATTTTATATTTTAGAAAGTTTGGCATAGAATTTTGATCACCTTGTATGGTTTAAGATTACGATATTTATAGCAAATTAAGTACAGACCATCTATAGTAATTACCTAGTATAGTTTTCATTTCAGGACATTTCTTGTATTTTTAATATTTTTTTAAAAAAAAAGGGCTGAAAACATATTGGGTTTGCCGACGATACTGCCATATTTTATAGCGACAAAAATTGGGATAATCTCAGAACAAAAGTAGAAAATGACCTACCACACATTATTCATTTTCTAAGCAAAAAACGAATGACAGTAAATTTTGACAAAACCTGCTTTATACCATTCGGCATTTATAAAGACAGTTTACCATTTTTTGAAAATTTAGAGGTAAAAAACACATGTCAATGTGTGAATTACACGATAAGAAGAGCAGTGAAAGTTAAGTATCTGGGTATTTTTATCGACAGTCACTTACGTTGGGATCATCAAATTACTTATATATGCCAAAAAATAAGAAATTTATTAGCCATTTTTAAACACCTAAGAAATATTCTAAACATGAAAGATCTCCAGATATTGTACCATGCCTTGGTTGAATCGCATTTGACATATGGAATAGTGGCTTGGGGTGGGCCAGTAACACACACATACATAGACTACAGGTTCTACAAAAATGGATCTTAAAAATAATTCATGCTAGAGTGAGAACGTACCCAACAGAGACACTATTCAGGGAATCCAGTGTTCTGGACATTAAACAGCTCTTCTGTCGTGATTTACTTATCACACAGTACACTCATAGAGCAAGATTATCTCAAAGGAATCATCCCTATGAGACGCAATAAAAAAAATGTCCAGTTGCCTAAACCAGTAAGAACACATACACAACATAGCTTCTATTACCTTGGACCAAAATTATATAATATGATACCATTGGAGCTTAGAACTACATCCTCTATATATGTTTTTAAAAAACAAATCCGTTTGTGGGTAATTATGAAGGGCAGATCATTTGCTGATACTGTTCTCAATTCAAGGATTTATACGGTGAAATACGAAGTAATTCTTTTCTTTTTGTTTTAGTTGGGTTAGGTTGTATCTAAGGATCTGATTATTCCTTGTTAATATTGTTTATACTCTGTTTATGTTTTTAATTTAGATAATATTTATACGAACAAGTCTTTGACTTTATAACATATACTATTTATTTATTTATATGTATTTATGAATAAATTATTATTATTATTATTATATTTTTTTTATGTATTAATATCTCTGAAACTATCAAAACATACTTAATAATAGCTTAGGATTATGTAAAGTGATCAGGAAAGGAAGACAAAAATGCAATAATATACAGGGTATTCCGTTAAAAAATCATCTGGATCCACTAGGGTTCCCAACCGTCCCGGTTTGACCGGAATTAACCAGGAATCAGAAAGTTTGTCCTGGCGAAAATTTTGCCTTGGCCGGGACCACAAAAAATTACATTTACATATAATATATTTGAATTTCTAATATTTAATGTTTTGTTTCAATTATTTAAAAACTTAAAAATAATTGTCCCGGAATCGCCGATGCCCAAGTTGGGAACCCTAGGATCCACCCACATATTTTTCAGCCACCCTGTAGAAGTTAAAACATTTTCCTGAAATACATCCCAATCCTATAAATATAGGTTTGCACTTATACAAAATTTCCAAATTGTTTATTTATAAGAGCTACAGATACCCGACGCACTATTGCCGGACCCTGTATATGAGATCTATTTAATTTATAATCTAATTTTTTTAACTTATTTTGTTATTGTTAGGCATTATCAGTATATTCTGCTGTGACCAAAAATCAACAAGGACACACCAGAAAATCACATTATAAGAAGATTCTTCCTTTAAAGCCTCAAGATAATCTAGAAGAGTATTTTAGTGACGAGGAAGAGCTCAAAAAACATAGAGAAAAACTCGAACTGGATAATAAAATTCTACCTAAAAAGTAAATTCATTAATAATTTTCGTGTGCCTTGGTCAAACGAATGTAAGTTCTAATTTAATTATTAAATTTTTGCATTTAAACGAAATAAATTATTTAATTTTATTATACGCCTTTTTGCTGTAAAAATAAAGATGCAATCCTTGTTTTATTTTGTTTTTTATATTTAAAGTAGAAACATTAAAATCTTAATAAAAATTAATCAATATTATACTTCTGGAACTTTTTCTGGAAACTAGCGTCTAAGTCCCAGTAGTCTACTCGTGCACCCAACAATGTTGCCAAGTATTAGATCTTAATTTTTACTACATTTTATTCAAAGTGAATGTTAGTCAGATCATCTAGAAATATTTTTACTGTTTTTTTAATTCAAATATTATATTTTGTTTATAAAAATATAAGCTATATTAGTAATAATTAATTTTGATAAAGTACCGTATGATCGAGAAAAACGGCGTCAGCGATGGCTATGAAATGAAGATCACTGTCAATTTATATGGGAAATGTCATCGATCATCGTTTTCCAGCCAACTGGACGCCGTTTTTTTTTCGGTCATACGGTATTAGATTTACATTTTCACTGAATTTTATTCAGAGTGACATTAAACAAACCATCTAAAAATGAAAATCTGAAAGAATGCAAAATTTGAAAGATTCATTGACTCAATCGAAAATCATGAAATTAAGGAACAACAAACGGTAACATTGTTGGGTGCCCGAGTAGACTAGTGGGACGTAGGCGCTAGTGGGCGCTAGTCACAAAACATTGTTTCAATCATAAATACATTTAAAATGAGTGTCAAAAAAGTGTCATTATAGGCACAAATTATACAGAAGTAAATGGCAATTTTACGCCTTCTGTTCCAATCCCATAATCGTAATCAATATTCATAATCATTAAACAAATTTAAACTCATATTAGATTTGTTCGGGTTCTTGTTATTACCGATTCTGAACCGTCCTAGAACTCTGCAGCGCATGCGCAAATGAAATAATGTCTTCATATTTCCTTCTGCGCATACGCATCACAGTTCTAGGACGGTTCAGAATCGGTAATAAGAGAAACCCGAAGTTAGCTATTGTATGCTATAAAATATAAAATAAAGGTCGTAAACACGAATAAAAAACAAATTAAGTTATCTCAGGTTATGTTTTTTTTTGGTAACTTTCAGTGGAGCAAAAATGAAATGTCCCTAAAAATTCGCGACTGTATGAAATAGGTCCAAATTTTGCGAATATTTTTTGGCGAATCGCTTTCCGCAATTCGCAATTCGCGTCTACATGAAACAAGCTTTAGGTTTACAGCAGATGACGACTTAGCCCTTCTAAGAGAATTATTTGTTGTTTGTTGCTCTAAACCCACTGGCAGACGTTGAACAATAAAGCACTGGAAATAAGCACTTTAGCCCTTTAGTTTTAAAATACCTAGTAAACAAAACAATTTCAAAGTTAGGTTAAGTTTAAATAGCGGACGCGACGCGAACAGAATTCTTTCCAATCCGATAACTGTAAAAATAACACCTGGCCTTATTAACGTCCATGCACGCTATTCGGTTTAGCGATATCTCTCTTTTACGCTGTTTATTGTTATTTTACGCGAGTTTATTTTTGCGCACAGGAAATTTGACTCGTTTGCACATCGTCATAAAAAACAATTTTCGTACCATGAATTAGAGATAAGATTTTTATCTGTATACATATAGTATACTTAATCTGTGTTATAGGTATGTGAAAAAAACATCAAAACATCGTCCGTTTATTTTGCGCAGAGGTAGATGGTTGGTTATCATTATTCACTCTCGAATTCGTGAGCTCGGAGCTGTCATCATTGGTTTCCGAACCTGCCGGTGATAATTCCAGTCTCTGTGATTTGACGTAGCTCCAAGATGCCTTCCTTCTTTTTATTTGTCCCTTTAGACTCAGATGGATCGTCGCTATCCGAAAAAACTTTGTTCCTGAGTTTATTGAAAGAGGCTGGTTTGTATTCATCATCGTCATCACTTTTCTCGTAAAAATAAACGTCTTTAGTTTAGCTAACAATTGAAAATCATGAAATTAAGGGACAACAAACGGCAACATTGCTGGGTGCCTGAGTAGACTAGTGGGACGTAGGCGCTAGTCACAAAAATATTATTTCAATCAAATGTATTTAAAATAATAGGTGTCACTGTTCTCTGTGCACAATCTTCTGATTGTTATCGTGCATTTAGGTCATTGCTACAGCGGTTTTTGAATTCCCTATACAATAATTTTCCCGGTATCATCCACCTTGAAACAGAAATAACCTGGATTTTGGGCCAGAACAAAAAACAATAATTTTGCTGTTTATTTTCTGTATTTAATACTTAAACTTGAAACATGAAATAATAAAAATCTAAGCCATTCTGTTATATAAGACAAAAGACTATATTAAAAAATAAAATAATGAATATGGAACTACTCTGGAAAGAACTAAAAAAACACTTTAATCACAAATCGTTTGGAGTTAAAAAAATATATGTAGATGTATATTATTAACATTTTTATTACATTTCTAGGGGGCAGTTTTGCACTCACTAAAAATAAATAATAACAAAACTAATTAGAATAAACAGATGTATGAATTCGTTCTGGAAAATAATTTTAAGGTGCATTTAAAATATTATCCTCCTACATCTGGTATTTTGTCATACAGTTAAAAAAGAGTTTAAACAAAATATATGACTTATTCACCTTCTTTGGACTTAGGTAATATAACTAAGGTAAGAAACAAGTAAACAAATATAACGCGTTTTATATCATTTATCGATATCTTCCTAAACTATATGTACAAATATTTCCCACAACAAACTTTAAATTGAAGTTTTTAAAATCAGTTTTAAATTCGTATAAACCCGATTTTAAATTTTTACTAGTTTTATTTTTTTAACGTGGCAGTCTAATTGTGGGACAAATTAGTCTCGCCCTTTGGAGATCTTTTAGTCATTATTCGTAAAAAAACAACAACAAATTAAAATAAACTTTTGGTACTTATTACACATACCGATCGTTCTATGTACACAATCACGACGCCACAAAGTTGAAACGACATTAGTGTCTACAACATTTGCTACAGCGTTTTTTGAATTTGCCGATACAGTAACTCTCTCGGCATCATCCAACCTTTTTGTCCTTCTTCAAGAAGGCCGCAGCGCGTTCTGTTATTTTTCTAATCCGTCCTCTACTGCTAACACCAGCAAAGTATCCTTTACCGTTACTTTGCACCAATGGAATATCGTCATCGTCGGAATCATCGCTCCCGCTTTTCAAAACCTTCCTCCTCTTAGAAGCTAACCTAGAAAGAAGTTCATTGTCCGACTCGCTCGACTGATTCACTTTATTCCTCTTTAACTTCTGTCTCAAACCAGCTTTTCTTTTTCTTATTTTACTGGAACTACTAGAGGAATCAGACGTCTCTTCTGGGGAAGATTGATCTGAATCTTCAACGACAAAGGAAGGTCTTCGTTTTCTCCGTGTCGTCTTCTTTTTCGACCTAAAACTCCTGTTGTTGATTTCAAAGTCTTCGTCTAACTCTGAACTATGTTTTCTTCGTCTTCTTGAAGATAAAGCGGTTTTTTTCGCCCTGGAATTAGAACTGCTCTCTTCTAAGCAAAAATCTTCGTCACTACTTTGTCTTCTTTTTCTTCTCGCGCCGTTTCTTTTCAACTTGCTATCGCTTTCGAGTTCGTCCGAATCTTCACTCGGAGAATTTTCAATATTGCTTTGCGCAGAGGTAGATGGTTGGTTATCATTATTCACTCTCGAATTCGTGAGCTCGGAGCTGTCATCGTTGGTTTCCGAACCTGCCGGTGATAATTCCAGTCTCTGTAATTTGACGTAACTCGAAGATATGTCTTCCTTCTTTTTATTTGTCCCTTTAGACTCAGATGGATCGTCGCTATCTGAAAAGACTTTGTTCCTGAGTTTATTGAAAGTAGTTGGTTTGTATTCATCATCTTCTTCACTTTTCTCGACGTATGAATTATTTTTCTTCTCGTTCTTATTAGGTCGTACGTTCGGTTCCAGTCTTTTAGATGAGTAGTTGTGTTCGAAGTATTCAATACGATTTGATGTGGACGGGCCTGGAAGATACTCAAACTCGACGTGATCACCGTTTAGTTCAGGTCCGGACGAGTTGTTCTTATCCTCCATAGGCGTGTAAAAAGGTACTTTATCTAAAGTCGTATCTGACTCGGTGGCTGTGTTTGATCTGCTCATATTTCTCAACGTTTGTAAAGGAGTATTGTCGCTGTCACTATCTGAGTTAGTCGAAGCGTTAAACAGCACCGGTTTCTGTTTTCTTTTAAGGTTTCTGTTTTTAAACGAACTATTGTGCGAACCGACACTGATATCACTGTCTTCAGACTCGCTGTTGATGTGACGTTGACGTTTCTTGCATAAACGCCAGCTGGTCATAATCTTTTTAACGTGGTCTTCAAACATACTGCTCAGATGTACGGTCATAATGTATATCTAGAAACGAAGTAATTAATTTGATTTAGACAATTATACAGGGTTGTTCACCACATACGACACGGAGTATTGTTGTAGCTAAACGATTAGATTTTTACAAATTGTAAGTTTTGGGTTCATTGAAGGACTATTAGAGCTACAATTTAAAAATAATTTTACAAGATACAGAGTGGCCCAAATAAGTAAAAAATATTATAGTTGCATTTTTTTGGAACACTCTGTATATTATTATATTTTAGATTCTACGATTGAAATAAAGGTAAATTTGATTAAGGTTTATCACACTTAAACCTTACTTATCTCACTTAACCTTACCGTTTTCGAAGTAATTTCAATTTTGTGAAATTGCAGTAAAACATGGCTTCATTTCTCTAAGGGTATTAAATGTTTTAATACTAAATATTTACTGAATATTATTTATTGATCAGATATTGTGTTGCAATAATAAAAATTATACTACCTTATACAGAGAGTCCAAAAATTTATATTAAATAATTACTAGCTTTAAACGGCAATAACTTGTTTAATTTAAATAGAACACCCTATATATTTTACGTGAATCAGATGCACAATTTAATTGTCTATCAAATTGTATTATGCTCAAGTTTTCGTAGAAAATACATTTTATTATAATTTAGACCTCATTTATCACTATACCCTTGGAATATTCACATTTTAGATTTTGTTAAGGCAACATACGTATGTACAAAATGTACAGGTAATAATATTGCAAGCCCATTTGTTTCCAAAAAGAAAACTATTTAAATCTTTGTAGAAGAGTATACCAATTATTACTAATTATTAATATACCACCATTATTTCCGCCGAGAAATTAGTTAATTACATACTTAATTGTTTTAATTAATAAATTATTCTAAATAAAGGTGGATTTGACTCAGTAATCAATACAATAAGTTATGAAAATGAAAGTCTCTGTTGTTGTAAATAAGCATTCGTCAAAAATTTAATCAAATTTACAAGGTTTTAATTTTTACGACACTGTTTAATACACACACAAAATTCACTTTTTTAGTATTTGGAGCAATTATTATTAATCAACGTAAACAGTCAATTAATGTAGTTTGAATACTGGGATCATATTAATTGGTTGTCTTTGACAAAAAAATATTTAAAGTTTTTTATCTTTTAATGAAAGAGAACCATATCGACAATATTAGTATCTGGTACTCTTTGAAAATTTGTTAGATGCATATAAATAATCTAAAATGTCAATATTCCATGGGTATAGTGATAAATGAGGCCTAAATTGTAAGAAAATGCATTTTCTGAGAAAACTTGAAGAGATAGGTAAAAAATGGTATAATACAATTTGATAGACAATTAAATTGTGCATCGGATTCTCGTAAAATACACAGGGTGTTCCATTTAAATTAAAAAAGTTTTTTCCTTTTAAAGTTAGTAATTATTTAATATAAATTTTTAGACACTCTGTGTAACGTAGTATTTTGTTTACTATTGCAACACAATATCGGATCAATAAATAAACTTCAGTAAATATTTCGTATTAAAAACTTCGATACCCTTGGAGAAATAAAGCCTTAAATTTTTTTCTGCAATTGCATAAAATTGAAAATTTTTCAAAGACGGTAAGGTTTGGTTTGGTTATCACACTTATAAACCTTAATTAAATTTACATTTATTTCAATCGTAGAATCTAAAAATAGAATAATATTCATAGTGTTCCATTTAAAAAAATACAACTATAATATCTTTAACTTATTTGGGACACTATGTATCTTATCGTATTTTTAAATTGTAGCTCTAACAGTCCTTCAACGAACCCAGAACTTATAATTTGTAAAAATCTAATAGTTTAGCTATAATACTCCGTGTCGTATGTGGTGAACAACCCTGTATTTGTTAGGAAATGAAATGTGTTACCCTAGATCTCTTGTTAGTGTTAAACGTTCTGGAGTTTTGAAACATCAATTTCATATCAGCACAAAATTCTTGCGGTACTTGATAAGCGTTGTTGACCAATTTATCTTTGATTGTGCCCAAGTCCATTGGATTCTTGATAACCTATATAACAAGAATTATTGATTTGTAAATATTTCATATACATATTTATATAAAATTACCTTATGATAGTTTGGGTACTTAATTTTATTGACGGGAGTCCTAAATGGTCCTGACTCGTCTGTTTGCCACATCAGTTCTAAAAGTGTTCTGAAAATAATTTAATTTACGTTAGTAAAGGCTTATTTATGAACATCTATCTTTTTCTTACTGAGCTTCTAGTTTCCAGTCATCTGGAGATTTCCAGGCTCGGACTAACAGAGATCTCGATGCGCGACTAGTAGATGGTTGGGGTATTTCAATGTCATCTACAAATTAAGTTGTTTTTGACTCACTATATAGGGTGATTCGCGGCGATGGCATGTTAGATGTTTATGGGGTGATGGATTTTTTTTTTAAATTTGGGGTTTTACATAAAGACACCTGCTACATCTATTTAAAATATTTGCAGAGTTACAATGTTGTCGCATCATCTGAAAAGTCGTAGCATCTTTCTTAAATAGGACATCCGGTATATTATTACATTTTTGGAAACTACTTTCATATCTCATAATTTTTCTATGATATTAACTTATACCTATATTGCCTCCAACCTATCTCTAATAGTTTTTGAGATAAAAAAACGTGTAAAATTAGCAAAAAAAAAAATCTTGAATAAGCGTTGGTAAAATCATGAATTGGACATTTTGAAAGTTTTTTTGGACATTTTGGAAGAAATTTGGGTTATAAGTTAACGAAGGTCGATATATTCGAACTGTCTTGGATATTACACAGGGAGAGCTAAAAAAATATTTATTTCCGTTTGTTATAAAAATGCTCAAATCTTTGTTATTTTAAATTCAAGCCTAGTTCCCCTTTCTTGAGTTATAACGAGTTAAGGAAAAGCTGTTGAAACGTTCCCTGTTTTATTAAATTTACGAATTATTTTCGAAACGGTGCCTTTTAAAATGTTTAAATTTTTACTTATTTGAATTTGTTTATAACCGCTCTTGTATAATTCAACTATTTTATTTTTTAAATCCGTAGAGAAATATTTAGACTTGGGCATGATGTTTATATTTATCTGAAGCAAATCGTACCGTTTATCAGCTTAAACTAAATAATTTTAATGTATTTATTTATGGTTTCTATACTTTTAGCTACAAGAAATCTATTGTTCTCCTACAAAAACTGCTAAACAGATTTTTTTCGCTGTATAATTTTTGGAATACTTTTATTTGCTGATAAGCTGTTCATTTATATTCCTGAGAGTTTAAGCATAGCAATATTTTCTGTGATATTTTAAAAAGTAAAAAGTTTCCATACTTTTGGCCACCACTGTAGGTAAGTATAATAGTAAAATTATGAGATACGAAAGTAGTTTCGAAAAATGTAATAATATACCGGATGTTCCATTTAAAGTAACAAAGATGCTAGTACGTTTAGTATAGCGGCAATACCGTAATGCTGAAAATATTTTATATAGATGGAGCAAGCGCCTTTATGTAAAAACCCAAATTTAAAAAAAAATCACCGGTTCTCCATAAACGTCTAACATACCTTGGCCATGAATCACCCCGTATATCTTACTAATAAAATATTATATGTCAAAATTTGTTCATTACTTCAAAATTACTTCTAAAATTACCGGTACATTTGAACTACCGTATGATCTAGAAAAAACGGCGTCAACGATGGCTATGAAATGAAGATCGCTGTCATTTTATATGTAAATTTATATGGGAAATGTCATCGATCGTCATTTCCCAGCCAACTGGACGCCATCTTTTTTTCGATCATACGGTACTACCAGCGATAATTTTTCAGTTTTAGACTATAAATGGAGAATTAAGAGGTATAGACAACACGGAATTAATGAAACAGTTGCTTGTAATCTGAGATTATTCATAAATATTTATACAGTTTGTCTAAAGACTTTTCGGCTAAATACAGGAAAAAAAAAATGAGAAAAGTAATTTTTGATACAACTCTGCGTTTCAGCAAACTGATAATAAGGCAAAATTCAGCTTCAATAATGTAAAATGCGTTAAGTTAATTTACTCAAATTACCATACCTTCTGCATTGAATGAGTCATAACCATCTACTAATTGATGATAAATTGAAGCTACGTCTATGCCGTTATCACCACTCCTGCAAAATATTAAATTACATTAATAAATAAGGGTATAAACATAACTAAAATGATATCAATATAATTTAATCTTGAAGTGGGCAAAAACCTCTTTCTTAGTTTTTATTATAAATACTTACTTGAGAATTCTAAGGCACAACTCTGTTATTATTTTTGCGTGTTTTACTATCACACTACGTTTCTCATTGAATTTTTCGGCATTTATAGCTAAATAACGAATATCGAACTGAGCTGCGGATAAACGCCTAAAAGAAATTATTATAATTAAAAAATGTATCATACGATTAAAAACAAACGGCGTCAGATTTAAAATTAAAAGAGCAATGTCATGGATCGTCATTTGCAAGCTAACTTGACGCCTTTTTTGTTCATACCGTATATACAGGGTGTCTCAGATTTTAATAGGGAAAATTTAATAGACGATAGAACTTCAAACAAAAATAAAACAAAAAGTTCATATCAACTTGTAAGATTTAAAGCTTCCTTTTCGAGATACAGGGTGTTAAAGTTACTTAAAAAAGAAAAAAAAAATTAAGATATTTGAAAAACTATTTAATCGATTTTGATATAACTTGACCTGTTTATAATACTTACTATGGGACTTAATTTGATGTAATTAGATTTAAGTTTAATGGCCAGGGGCGGCGGTGGGGCATCACTGTTAAATTATTTTAAAGAAAAAAATAGGCGCGCCACTGCTTTTTTAGAAGTTTAATATTATTTTTGGATTTAGTAATTAAAAATATATTTTTTTTGTCTCCTGACTTTTTTGTCTATTATGCTTACTTCTTGCGAAAAAAATTAAATTCTAATTGGTAATTAATATTATAATTAGGATTCTAATGGTACCCTGTATCTCGAAAAGGAAGCTTTAAATCTTACAAGTTGATATGAACTTTTTGTTTTATTTTTGCAAGTTCTATCGTCTATTAAATTTTCCCGATTAAAATCTGAGACCCCTGTATAGAGCCATATGTGTGTTATTACAAGGAATAAATGACTAAGATTAGTAAGAGAACATAATATTTTTTAGTTTTCTTGCATTATTTTGACATTAGAAAAACTACTGAAGGTATTATACTCTGTCCAACGGGAGGATCCCTGACAGTGACAGTTGTGAGAAATTGTAATTTCTGACATCTTTTGGATGTCCTCTGTCGAAATCTTCCCTGAATAGTAGGATAGACTATAATTGTCCTGAATTTGATGCCAGATACACTAAATTATTAAGTTCTTCACTGTTGTAGTAGCTAAAGAGCTAATTATAGTAAACTTTTAGCGAGTTATTCCTTGTGGTAATAAATTTGATTTTACTTTTTCATACCTATAAAAATTATTTTCAAATCTCGCCTTAATAGTAGATAAGTCTATCGGATATTCTATGATGCGGGCGTAGGAAGGATATACATTAACATCTACAGGCACTAGAAATGGTTCTGCTATTGCCAATTCCATCACCTAAAAACATAGATAGAAGATTGTTTAAATTTCTCTAAAAATAGAACATAGAACAGACGGTTTCGACAGGCAACGTCCAATATACAACTTTTTATTTATACAGGGTGTTTCAAAAAACATGTGTCATCTCTCGTAGGGAGATTCCTCACGTAAAAATAAGATTTATTTTTCATATCAACATAGGTCCGATTCTGCTTTGTTTCGTAGCTACAGGGTGTTAAAATCTAAATATTTTTTCGATTTATTATAATTTTCTTCCAAGTATGAAATTTTTAAGGTAAAAGTTACTATAAATGCGACATATTTTAAGACTAAAAAAGTGTCGACATATTCACCAGGGACGTGCATATGGGTTATAATTGGAATATTTTTTTAAAAAAAGCATGCACGCCACTTTTTTTTTTCTGTTGTTAGCGAAATAGTGTAAGAAGTTTAATGCCAATTTAAAGTTGTCTCTTGATATTTTGTCGATTTCGGCCTCCTTAATGAGATAAACTCAATTTTATTAATTTGCCTTGATCCAAGTCTAAAAGCAACCTTTAAAAAAATTAATATCACTAACTTGCGAAAGTTTTAAACAAGTGAATTAATTCTATTGATTCCTCATCAAAAAATATAAATAAAAAGTTCCTATAAACATGGGTATGGAAATGCATAGTTTTAGAGTTGGTCTTAGAAAAGTCATAATAACTAATAGTAATAATACTTAATAATAAATTAGGTAAAATACATTAATTTAAATTTTATTTTTATTTTAATTTAATTAAATGTGATTAATAAAATAGCGTTCATCTCATCAAGAAGGCCGAATTCGACAAAATATCAAGAGACAGCTTTTAATTGGCATTAAACGGCCTACACAATTTTGATATCAAAAGAAAAAAAGTCAGTGGCGCACATGTTTTTTTTTTGAAAAATATTCTAGTGATAACCCATATGCACGTCCCTGGTGAATTTATCTCCGCTTTTTTAGCATTAAAATATGTCGCATTTATAGTAACTTTTACCCTCAAAATTTCATTCAAATCGCTAGTACTTGGAAGAAAATTATAATAAATCGAAAAAATATTAAGACTTTAACACCCTGTAGCTACGAAACAAAGCAGGATCGGACCTATGTTGACATAATAAATAAATATTATTTTTACGAAAGGAATCTCCCCACGAGAGATGGCACATGTTTTTTGACACACCCTGTTTATATTTTAACAAATTGCGATATACCTGAGTTATACCAATAGTGATGGCCCTACAAGCACTATCCCTTTCAAAGTTAGGCCAGTCTTCTGGAACAGGCTTGTACAGAATTGATTTTAGTTCACTACTAGATACTGGCATTGCAGCTTTATCATCTTCTGGTATACCTAAAAAAAATATATAATTTAACCTGTATTACAGTTTTTTAGAAGACGTTCTTACGGCTTTCGTCGATAGGTTCCATATCCCATGGACTCATTCTTTCGCTTTCGCCGTTTGTCCAACATATTTCATAGTACATGAAAATGGATTCTGGATACGCCTCATTCACCGCACTTTTTCCTTTAACTACTCCGATCCACCAGTTATCATCTATCATACATCGAAATCTATAAAAAATATAGCGGTGGAATAAAATTTTATGATTATGAACCTTTGAATAAAAAAATTAAAGGAGTATAATGATATCCATGTATTCATGCATGGTAGACGGATCCTTGACAGTTCTGTATGACGATTCATTTGAAATTTTGTGGATTTGTCAGTCTTTACTGAGCTTATTTTATGTTATTTATTATTTATTCTACTACTAATAGTTGTTTAAAGGTAGTAAATCTAAAAGGAAATTGTGGCAGAACTAAAATTAACAGTGACAGTATTGCGATTTATCGAAAAAGACTGTAAAATAGTGGGTTGTGTAGCGTGCGGTAGATCTTGGTCAAAAATCGAGGGAAATAATGGAATAACTTTTCGCTAGTAAATGACTATAAAATAAGATGACTACATGTAGTAAACCGATCATTTACGAAATTCACTTAAAATTAACTAATAATATATTTTTACTTGCATTTTTGCTTTTATTTACTACTTGTTAAAGATTACATGTCGAAGAGTTTAGATACGTCAATTTGACTTTCCTGCTTCAGTAGCGTATCGGATGTTTGTGTTAACGGTCTTAATTAGAACGGCACTGATAAACCCGAAATTTAAGTCGGCCATGATAGGACCACGTCGCGTTCGATCTAAGATTTTTGATTCTTTTCCTTAATCTTTTTATTCAAAGTTATGAACCAATACATTTGAACTATTGGCAGCGATATTTTTTCAGTATAAAATTTCAATTTTTTTTGTTATTGGTTGAATTTAAAGACTTCGATTGGTTAGAAAATTATGCAGTTTTTAAATTTGTTGCAATCGTATATATCCGATGAACGGATGCATGAACCGTTCATCGGATATATACGATTTGCTTGTGATTGGTGTCATTTTATATTTTCATTTTCATAACGATTTCGCTGTATTTATAGTCTAGCAACGTTTTCGAGAGAGAATTTTAAGAAAGCTGGTTCTTTAATACATCTTTTGCTATGCTCTCCTGAACAGAGTGTGGACTGTCTGGCTGCTGGTAGACGTTGCGTTCACTACTGCGCATCATATCTGTATTCAACATCTGTTCACTACTCCGCATCACAAATTCTACCCTCTCTTTCAGGAACTAAGGAGGCTAAGACAAACCCATGTGTAGCATATTCAGTTTCATAAAAAAAAGTAGCAATGATAATATATTAAAGAACCTGCTTTCTTAAAATTCTCGTTTTCCCGACGGTGCTCGCTTTTGTACTATTATATGTTTATTAAGGCTAGATTAAATTTGTCAAAAAAATGTCAAAACGCTCGTTATTGTACGATCTTTCTCCGTTGACGGGCTGACAAATTACAGATGAAAAGTGGCGCGAAAACGCTATAACCAATCAGAGCGCCGTCGGACTATCGTATCAACGGATAACGGACGCATGAAAATCAAGCTTTATTTATAATATTTTTCCAAACGTTAGAGAAATAGTAACCTCTGATGTTTGGGAAAATGTTATAAATTTAAAAAAATGTGAATATACCAAGTGGCATTACAAAGATTTTCAGGGAGTTAATCAAATTCTACAGACAATGGTTCAATTATTAATTAAATAATACCAATATACCTAAATCACACTGTACAGGGTGGCTCGAATTCGACGCTCATCATTGGGATTTCGGAAACCGTAAGAGATACAGGATCGGTTAAATGGAGGCAAAGTTGCGCAATTTGATGCTCAATAAAATGCCGCATTGCATTTTGAATTACTTCCGAATATATTCGAAAAAAAAAACGGAATTTTCAATTTGGTTTTCTATTGTTTCCCGGCTTTATATGTTAAGATAACTTAAAATGAAAAACACATTTTCATGGCCACTTTTTCTTCTCTATAACTCTATGTGATTAAATATTGACGTTTCAGTTTCTGGCGACCATCATCAACTTAATTTTTTTAAATACGGACCTGATTTTTTTTTCAATTTAATTAAATCCTGTCATCACTCTTAAAACACTATATATAGTCACTTTGATATTTGCCGACGTTTCGTACAGAAAATTCCATCACCAGAATATTTTATGCAAAAAAAAATAAAAAAAATAAAAATGCAATACGGCATTTTATTGAGCATCAAATTGCGCAACTTTGCCTCCATTTAACCGATCCTGTATCTCTTTCGGTTTCCGAAATCCCAATGATGAGCGTCGAATTCGAGCCGCCCTGTACACACCGTTGTCAGAACACTAAACCAACCTCTATGAATACTAATAAAAAAAAATTGCTCACTTATCGCCGACATCCCAATCTCTAGATAACGCCGTCAAATAACACTGTTTTAAAACGAAAAAATCAAGTACGTCGGGCATATCGTGATATTTCACTGTTAATGAGCGCCCTGTAAAGCAGCCGTCTTCATCTTGAATGGCTAAATTCAAACAGCACAACCTCGGCGGTTTAATTTCGTAATGTATGTCGACCACCTTACAAAACTCCCTATCTTTCAATTGCATTTTTACCCATGGGAGATCCTTATTTAGCGGTTCGTATATATTCTTTAATTTTACCGCTTCTACGTACAGTTGGTGACCTTGAAGAGAGAAGAAGGAACAATGTATATATGAATACAAACACATTTAAAAGACTATACTGCGGTCTTCCCATATACAGAGTGTCCCAATATTCCCTGGACATAGAACTACAGCGTATTTTTGGAATCAAAATAAGTTCATTGGACTCAATTTACCTTTATATAAAAGTGCTTCGTTTGTCCGTTAGAGGGCATCAAACTTTAAAAAAATAAAACACATTTTTTCAGATATTTTAAGAACCATTATTCCGATTTGAATGAGCTTTTGGGTGACTATGTTTTGCTGAGTGCTTTAACATTTGACTTTCAAAAAAATCAAGAAACAGTACGAGAAGGGTAAAAACTACCCTCATCCCTACATAAATTTTAGTATAAATATTTTTGAACTCTAACGATGACCGATTTTATTTCGTACTTTTAGTATTTACTATATTTTTGTCTCTTGTAAAAAAACGCCACCGCGCATACTTTTTGAGGAATATTTTTCCGAAGCTGATTTCCAAAAAATGTTTATTTATCACATCAAGCTATGGAGACGCATAAAATCTATTATGCTCTAATAATCTAATTGGCGAAAATATGGAATTTTATGTCAGTATCACAAATTATATTTGAGAATAAACTTCTTAAAAAGCTTAAAAAAATTAATAAATTTTAAATTAATTAACGTTCGGGTTTATTTTTTATTGATACCATCTAACGGACAAATGAAGCACTTTTGTATAAAGGTAAATAATGTGCAATGCACTTATTTTGATTCAAAAAATGCGTAGTTGTTCTATGTCCACGGAATATTGGAACTCTCTGTATATTTCGTAGGTTTGCTTTGGAAAAATAAGTTCTCCAAAAGTTTTTCTCAAAACCTATGTGATCTAGCGTTTTTTTTACAAGAGACAAAAAATGTAGTAAACACTAGAGGGACCATTTTACGAAAAGAAAATATGTCGTCGGTCGAGTTGGAAAATGTTTACACTAAAATCCATCACCCTGCCACATCCCATACTTTCTTGATTTTTGTGAAAGTCAAATGTTAAAGCACTCGGCAAAACATACAACCCAAAAGCTCATTCAAATCGGAATAACGGTTGTTAAAATATCTGAAAAAATGTGTTTATTTCTTTAAAGTCTAATGCCCTCTAGCGGACTAACGAAGCACTTTTGTATAGCACTAATTAATAAATAATTTGATTCACTTTCACAAAGTTTGTATCAACATTTTTGATAAACACGTGGACTGCTCACAAATACACGTCGTGTCACTACGTATTTCTAAGCCGTAGGCTGTCCTTACCATTTTTCGTTTTGCTAGCTTGTGTGTTGCCTTGAATTTTTACTCACAGCGCATAGAAGTTTCAGCGTAAAGCAGTGTAAAAGAAGTTTCACTTCAAAAATTGAGTTTGTAGTTGATATAAACAAAATAATTCAAAAATCAATAAATCGAAGTTATATGCCAACTTTTGATTAAGAAAGCTTTGCATAGAACATATTGGATATGATTAAAATACCTCAGTTGATAAATATAAGCATAATGTTAAACTGGATTTATAAACTCGGCAGTTGAAGTTCAGTTGAAGTTCACAATGTTAAACACTATGAAATGAACGCGCGCATTTATAAAGTCAGTCGGTCGAAAAGTTGGCAGTTCGTTTTACGTTCAGCGGAGTTCAAAGATGGTCAATGTTTATGTCGGCAGTTGGCGACGTTCGGCGACAGCCAATGAATAAGCGCCTGTCAATCACGTGAAGCACGGTAAAGAGAGGCGACGTCGATGCATTGGAAAATGATCCTTATTGTTGTTTCATTATTTCTGTTAATGTAAAGTTTATATTTTGCGTAATCTTGGATTACTTGGTGTTTGAACTTTGACAAATATCAAAAGTATTTTTAAATCGAAAGAAAAACGTTCGAAATTTTCACAGTTCCAAACCTAACCTACAACTGAAATTGACAGCTTGTAAATGCAAAAATATTGAACCTCAACTGCTTCAACTGCGGCGAACGCCCAACTGCAACTGAATGCCAACTTCCGAGTTTATAAATCCAGCTTTACATTCTTAAAATTAATTGACTTCAAAATATTCAACAAAGAGTTACGTCTTTAACCTCAATTTCAAAAATAAAATAAAACATATGATTTGGAAGGACAGCTTTATACACCGGCTTGGGAAATGCATCAAAATTCTATATTCATCCTTCAATATTGCGACAAAAATTTAAGCAGTACCCGCGGTATAGTCTTTTAAACGCATTTAATATCTGATCAATTTGAATTTAACTTGGTTATTATTCACTAACCTTGAACGAAGTAAACAAGTTCGTCACTAATTTGTGGATAATAGGGCGACTTTCTTGGTCTTGTCTCCGAGAGCCATTCACTTAATTTGTAATGCTCCGAAATCTAAAGTAAACTTTATTTTATGAGCATATTGTGAAACAAAATTGGCCTTTATTTTATGAGCATATTGTGAAACAAAAAACGTACCTTAATTTTTGGTCCCTTAGTTGTCCCATTTGTTGGAGAAGAAACAGAAGCTGTTTGTTTATTCACGGTGACTTTAGCAGCATTATTATTTTTAGATGTTGAAGGCTTAGGAGACACTTTTCGTGCCTTTTCCTGAAAAATAAAGCCACATTATTACATAATACTAAAAAAGTATTATTATATCTCTTATGTCCCAGATTTAGTTCAGTTCTGCGCCGCTGCGCGCTGATAGTCGTTTACAGCGGAGCGGATAAAGAATACTGTACCACAGATTATACAGATTATAAACTTTGTTTTTTATTTATTGTTTTTCGTGGTTCCAATTTTCGGAATCGGGCACTAGTTAGGTTACTAGTTTGCGCACATAGCACGCCCACTTATGGCCTCTAAAATTGTGTACAAAATAACGTTTAAAAATTGCTTAAATGGGCATGTGCGGGTATTTGACAGGTCGGCGAGATCTTTTATTTTAGGTTATGTTTGAATTGTTTTGAATTATTACTTTAGTTTTATTAGGTAATTTGATATTTAAGTCGCTGGAATTAGTTTTAATTAAATAAATATAGCCGCAAATATGGATTCCACTTCTTCCAATATCAAAGAACCTATAAATAGGCTTAGGTTTACAGCAGATGACGACTTAGCCCTTCTAAGAGAATTTGTTGCTTGTTGTCCTAAACCCACTGGCAGACGTTGAACAATAAAGCACTGGAAATAAGCAATTTAGCCCTTTAGTTTTAAAGTACCTAGTAAACAAAACAATTTCAAAGTTTTAAATTCAAAGTTAGGTTAAGTTTAAATAGCGGACGCGACGCGAACAGAATTCTTTCCGATCCGATAACTATAAATGAAGAGAGTTAATACCACCTCACGTAAAGGAAATAACTCCTGGCCTTATTAACGTCCATGCACGCTATTCGGTTTAGGGATATCTCTCTATTACGCTGTTTATTGTTATTTTACGTGAGTTTATTTTTGCGCACAGGAAATTAGGGATAAGATTTTTATCTGTATACATATAGTATACCTAATCTGTGACTGTACCATAGTTCTGCTTTCAGTTGACAGAGCGGGTGGTTGCCGGAGACAGTGTTGCCAGAACTACGGATTAATCCGTAGATTTACGGATTTTGGGTACAGTACGTTAATAATACGGATTTTCTATCATTAAACAATTTAATATAATATGATGAAACAAAGAATGACGTCAGAGTTAACTTAAAAATGAAGATCGCTGTTATTTCATAAGTAAAATATTATGGTAAATGTCAATAGACGTCATTTCCATACCAACTAAACGACTTTCTTCGATCATACAAAATAAAAAGAATTTTTATTTTTGTTGTTTATTCTATATTTAACAAGAATTAATTTTCAATATATAAACGCGGATTTTTCATCCAAAGATCTTTTCGTCAAAAGTATTACAGATATTACACATTTTAATATGGCAACACTGTCGCTTTCAGTTCCACACCGTCTTCGATATGTCTTCGCTAGCCGATTCTTCCCAATTCTTTCCTGCGATATTATATCATTTTTCGTAGAAAATATCCAAAATTCAGACGCATGAAAACAAAGTTTATTCAACAAAAAAATATATATTTCATGTTATTTTTTCGATATCATCTGTCAAAATATTCCCCGAGTTGTTGGACAGACTTTACTATTTATTACCAGTTTTTGAGAAAAGATAATGTATAACATCATTACTCTATTGTAAGACATACTTTTATTCCAGATTACCTTATTGTTTCTAGTTGTTTCCTTGTTATTCCTCGTCTTTCGTTCTTCTTTTTCTTCTTCCGACGATTCTTCATCTTCATCTGTTTGATCTGAGTCTTCAGACGATTCGTCGTCGTCCTCGTCATTATCCGAAGATGACTTGCGGTAAACCTTTCTTCTTCTAGTTCTGATATTCAATTCAGAGCATTAATATTTTACAAAAAATAAAAATAATTAAAAAAAATTAAAATATAAAAAAGAAATTATAAAAAAATACTTAAATCTTATTACCTTCTTTTTCGAGTTTCAGAAACTTCTTCCTCCCAATCTGATATTGAAGAGTCGTCAGTTGCGTTATCGCTTAATGGAACTATATCATACCTTTCCAACAGTTCTTCCTAAAATTTAATATTTGTGTAAGTCCAATATTGTACAAATTACACAAAAATATATATTCTCAGCAGTTGTACATGCAAACCATCAAATATAATGTAAAATATTTTGTCAAAATATGTTTAAAATGTACGCTATCGCTACGTTTACGGTTTGAAAATAATTTTGAATTTAATATTTTTAATTATGTTTTTGTGAAAATACAGTACCAATTTTAATGCTTAATTTCTCTAAGCGTATTTAAGTTTTTAAAATCAAATATTGTACTAAAGTTTTTCTACTTACTAAATTTTGTGTTGCAATAATAAAAATAATACTACCTTACACAGAGTATCTAAAAAATTATTTAAATAATTACTAGCTATAAACGGTAATAACTTGTTTAATTTAAATGGAACACCCGGTATATTTTACGAGAATCAGATGCACAATTTAATTGTTTATCAAATTGTATTATATCATTTTTTTACCCATCTCTTCAAGTTTTCGTTGAAAATGCATTTTCTTATAATTTTGACCACATTTTTACTATACCCATGGAATATTGAGATTTTAGATTATTTTTAAAAATATAACTTATTATATATATAATATAACTTAATATCTGTATTGTTGATATAGTTCACTTATTTCATAAAAAAAAATAAAAAAAAACTGTTTAAATATTTGTAAGAGGACCAATTACTACAATCCAGTATTCGAACTACATTAATTGGCTGTCTGCGTTGATTAATAATTGCTCCAAATACTAAAAAAACCTGAATTTTGATGTGTATTAGGCAGTGTGGTAAAAAGTAATACTAGTAGAAAAAATAATTTTTTGGAATAAATTTGTGTGTCTGGAAACGTTCGATCCTTTTTGATTTTTTCTACGTCGTTTACGCCAATTTTTAGTAAATGACGTTTAGATATTTACCTCGCCAAAATTATAACCGATTGTCATTCCCCAGCTGTCTTTGACGCTGCTTTTTTTCGATCATACTGTATTATTTCTTTTTTGTACAAACAAGTGGGTGTCGCGAAAGATACATTGTAACAATATTTTTATTTTGAGTGTGGTACAGTAAGATCAAAAAGAGAAATGTCTTTTGAAATAGAGGACGGTTGGCAATATTATATAACTTACACGCAAAATATAAAGACATTATTGATACTTACTGTTACTGGTTCGTAATTTCTGCGAGTTTTAGGCTTTTTAGACCCCGATGCGCGTTTTTTCTTGTCTTTTAATTTAGCTTTTAAATTACTGGGACCTGCGGTCGATATCATATGTGGTCTCTGACGTAATTGCTTTTGATATTCTTTCATTTCCGCATCTTCAGTTAGTTTTCTAAAAAAATATCAATATAATCTCTAGAAGTTATATAAAAGTAAGTAGGAAAAAAGTAAATAGGAAAGTTACTGATTTTGTTAATTTTTATACTTACCTAACTTCATTTAATCTTTTTAAAACTGAAGGAAGCAAAGGCTGTATCAGGACAGTCTTTTTCCATTCAATATTGTGGTCTGTCTGCCAATCTCCAGTGCTCTGCCTAATTCTATAATGCAATAATTCAGTAATATTTATAAGCGAATTACCAACAAAAAAATTACCTCTGACTTCTATATGAACCTCCAGCATTTCCTCTAACATCTTCATCTTCAGAGTCCTCAAGAAACCGTCTTGGAACATCTTGAATCACTTCTTGTGTTCCTAAATTAATAAACAAGTAAATATTTATCCAACTAAATCATTAAATACAATTTAATTACCTTCTGCTTACATGTGGAAAGCAAGGAAGAAAAAATATTACTTTAATTCAATTTCTTTTTTATATCAAACTTACCTTCATTGCCAATAACTATATTTGGTACTAATTGGTCGACGTTACAATTTTCACGGCCTGGTACCAGTCTTTGCAACATTGGAGGGTAAGGATTTCCATCTATGTCAACTAAGAAAGGTGGAGGCATCAAATGTGGAGGAACTTGGGTTTGTTCGTCGATAACCCAGTTGTTTGGATCGCGGCCCAATGGGCGATAGTCAGTATGAAAAAATAATTCTTTAGGTAGCTAAAAAATAAATATTTAATTAACTTACTGAAATTAACAATGATTTTAATATATATTATACCTGTTCATGAAAGTTACCACTACCAAACCCAAAAGTTAAAATATTGCCATAAGAATCGCTTGCAGCAATGACAGATCCTTCGGGATCCCACTTTGCATCATATATACCACCATTTTCTTGCCCTAAATTAAAGGAAAAATTTAAGAGTTGAAAATAATACAGGACTAAAAATTACCTTGAATAGCATTTAAGTATTTTGATACAATTTCTCCTTTGTTTAAATCCCAAACTAATAGTTGTCCATCATGTCCTGTTGATAAAATAACATCATTGTCATGTGGATGAGGCTCTAATACATATACTTCATCTGTATGACCTAAAGAGACAGACAATTATGCTCAAATGCTCTATTAAACCATACCATATTGTAATATACCTGGTAAGACTTTTAGTAATTCTCCATTTAAAGAATTCCATACTTTTAAAGTATGATCACTAACAGCTGTTATAACTAGTAAATCTGATCTATCCCAGGCCACCATTGTAACTCTTATTTTCTTAGAATCACATTCTACTACTTTTTGGTCACTAAAAATACATAACTCATCACCATAGTTTTATAATACTTATCTAAACGAATCACTTACTTTGATAATTTTGTTGTCATATCCAAATGAATATTTTTCCACTGTTGTTGCTCAAACCACCAAATAATTGCTGTACCATCTTTACTACCTGAAAGGAACTTGAGACCAGAATGAGCCCACTGAATTGAATCAACACGATCGGTATGAGCCTCAGTTTCCAGAATCCTTTGAGGGCCTTCATCTCCTAATTAATATTAAGTTAATAAATTAGAAATGTGTAATTAATGTGAGAATTTACCTTTCATGTAATAAACTCTAACATTATGATCAGCTGATCCAGTGGCTAAAAATGTTCCTCCAGGACTGAATGATGAACAGATCATTTGAGCCTGTCCAGGTCTTATTTTTTCCTGGTATAATATGGGTACATTTCTATTAAATAAATACAAACAATCAGAAAGGCAAAGACAAACAATAACAAAGGCAAAGTTTCCTACTACTGAAATTTAAAACTTATTATTTTCTAACTATGCATGTGGCAAAAACAAAATATTTTGAATTTATAAATATAAAACAATATGTCCTTATTGTTAAAAAACAGGATTAAATTTATTCTTATTAAAAAAAAAACAACAGAAGATAAAGGACCAACCTGAAATCGATAGTTCCTCCAGAGTCTGAAGTGTAAGTCCAAAAGGCAATTGAACCATCTGTACTAGTACTGATTAAATATTTTAAACCCCAGCAATCGGTTGGACAAAAATTTACTGAGGTGATCATACCAGTGTGCCCGGATAATACAGCTATCGGTGCGCCAGTTTGCAGATTCCAAACCTACACGTTTAAACATCTTATAATGAATAGTACTTAATACTAAAAACTACTTACTCTCAAAATTCTATCTATTGATCCAGCAGCTAAAAACGCATTTTGAGAATCGATAGCAATATCTGTAATTTCCGAAGAGGCCCCTCTAAAAGTTGCAATTAAGCGACCTGTATGGGTAGACCACAATTTTATTAACAGGTCATCAGCTCCAGTTATAATATATCTAAAATAAATAATTATATACCTCTAAAACAATTTCTCGTAATTCATTAGAGCCTACCTCCCAGAATGATCAAAAAGTAAACAATATACAGCTGATAAATGACCAAGTGTAATTCTTTGATTCTGAATACCATTATACAATTTTGGTGTTATAGCTCTATGCCTTGAAAATGGTCCTGCGATTTCTCTACCTCTTATACTATTGACTAAAATTTGAATTAGTTAAATTTGATTAAAACTGTAAATATATCAAACTAACTAATATTGAATGAACTTTTTAATTCCTGTATTGGTGCACCATGCAGTCTTGTAACATAGTTGTAAAACTGTTTATAGTTTGTATAAACTCCGACTTTATTTCTAACCTTTGGACGAAAACTTAGGAGTGAAGATGTATCTGGACAATTTGGGTTCAAATATTTAGAAGCTTGACAAGACAAATAATACAAAAAGTCCTGTCCAATATAGGGATATTGATTTTCCTAAAAAACAAACAATATAAATTATAGTTATATACTTAGTAAGTGAAAAAGACTACCATATCTTCCACTGATCTATCGTACTCATGACCCTCCCAATCAATTCGCTTAGGTAAAATCTGAAATTAGACTCATAGTAAAGTGAATGTTTTCATTTTAAATTTCTGATTATTACCTTTTTCTCTTCGAGTTCCTCATTTAAAGTCTGTAAAATCGCAATAATATTAACAAAGTGAAATAGAATTAAGTTAAATTAATTAAGAACTGATTGTTACACACCTGCAAAGTCCTTTTTAATGTTCCATTAGATAAAAATCGTTGAATGAGGAAGTAAACATCTAAAACAAAAACTTGTTAATGACATATGTATGTAAAGAGTTTTATTTATACCTGAATTTAGTCTTGAATTTAAGGAGGTAATTGTGTTATTTCTATTAACATTTATATTATCCATGTCAGTTAAAATTATTGTTTTAAAAGTAAATAAATAAAACAGCCCAATGGACTACTTTCCTAGGTTAGATACTAGTTTGACACTTAGTCTTCTTCAAGATTAAAACTGAGTCAATAGGAAACTGAGTCTATGATTTTTAAGTCTACAAAAATCTCTCTTTTTTATTGACTTAAAGGCTTTTTCAATACTAGGACTATCCGGCCTGTTAATAGGATACGGTTGTTGAGTCGTTGAGTGATAATCAATGCTGAAACAGGATCCGCCTCAAGCAGGTCTGAAATTAACTCATACCCTGTAATCTCTTTTTTGTTCTAATATCTAATCTGGACGAACCTATTTTGTTTATGCTAGGTTTACGCGGAATACGAACCGGAGGCCAGATAGTCCTAGTAGCTTAGGCCTTACTGATCTTGCTCTGAAGCTCTCTGTCTTTAATAAAAAATTTTGTTTGACAATATGCCGTTAGATGTCGCAATATGAAATCTCGGATTCAAATGAACCAACCAAATTTAAGCAAACTAAGTTTGACGTTTTCATTTTCCTCTGAACGTTAACGGTTGTGTTAAGAATTCAAAACATTGTAGAATCCGTGGAATTTAGAAATAAATAAAAGTATTTCTAGTTTGTGTATTTATTTGGACGACTTTAATAACGGTTATATAAATATATCAAAATGGAAGATCAGCTGCATATACCTCAAGTGAAAATTTCGTATTTACAGTCCAGGGATCCGAGTATTATAAGTTGGAATAGGCTCGAAAAAGTTAGAGCTAATTTACATTTTTCTAGTGACGAAAGTACAGTGCCTTCACTGCCTCTACCTGATAAAGTAAAGGTAAATAATGTTTGTTTCGTTTTGTTTTTTCAATATCTTCACAAAAACAACAATTTGTTGGTTCAATTTTTTATTGCAATAAGTCCTAGGGTTTTTGCACAGACTTAATTATATTTAGTCCTTGCCATAGGTAGATATAACATTCAAGTTATTTTCAATTATTTGTTTTACTATTTTAAATTATAATGAATTCCTATTCAGATTCATTTACAACGATTGATTTAACACAGTCATTTGAAGAAGAGGTAGTAGTTAATCAAGCAGTTTTTTTTATATTTTTCGGACTTTTTATTCAAATATATTTTACAGGAAAAACACGTTGATGTATATTTACGCATCAAAGGTGGTGTAGAATGCAGTGATATATATGCAATCGAGGAAGAAGACACATTTGTTTGTGAACTTCCCGAAACTTCAACCACAATTTCTGGCAATAAAAATGGTGTTCAAACAGCTGAAAAATACAAGTTTACAAAAATATTCAATTCAGGCTGTACACAAGAAGAAATATTTCATGCCACAGTCAAGGAAAAGATATTAAATTTCATCAATGGTGAAAATAGCACTTTAATGGCCTATGGCACTTCGGGATCAGGTAATATTTGTTTAAAATTTTTAGTTATAGGTACTTACTGTTCTAATTATAATTTTCCTTTAGGTAAAACGTTCACTTTAGTTGGTACAACTGAAGAACCGGGAATTATTCCCAGAGCTTTAAAATATTTATTTCATTCCCTTCCTACATTGGAACAATTTCCTCAAGCTAAGCCACTGCCAAATGGAAATGCAGTAATATTGGATAATACACAGAAACTGATTGAAAAACAGCAGTCTCAAAGCATTTTGAAAGACTTACATGCATACAAAGACCATCTGTTACACGAAAAAGCCTTTAGGTAAGCTTTATAGTAATTAAGAATATTTGTTTACGCCTTGCTATACAGGATGGCGCGCCTCATTCGTCTCGGTTGATTATACAAATACGGAAAGATGTAGAAACAAAATATTTTATGCGTATATGTGGAAAGAAAATGTGCAAAATTTAAAATTATTTTGAAATATACAGGGCATGTCAGAACTAAGATCCACACCAAAGTTATATTTTTTTTATGGAACACCTGGTATTTTATTTCATTTTTGGATCCATGGACACAAAATAAGGCATTTATTATAAGGGTTAAATAAATATGTTTACAAGCTTTGGTTTTTGAGGTATTTAAAGATATTTAAATATGCATGCTATAATAACAAGGATTGTCAACACCCTGTACAGGGTGAGTCAACGATAGAGTAAAGTCCATTATCTCATTTGTTTCAAGGTTTATAAATACAAAAGTTATAGGGATTGTTAAGATACACATTTTAAAATTATTATAGAGTATATAAGGTGCTTCAAAAAAGTGAGGCGGCTATAACATGTTTTTTTAAATGCAACACATATTTTTTATTTTATTTTTAGATTCTGCGTAAAATTCCATAACTTTTTTATATATAATGTTATATACCTAAAATTAATAGTTTTTGTAATATTTCAATTTATTTAAACAAATGTTAAATTGCAGTGTGGTAAAAAATTGTCAGTGGTGCCATTGTTTCTGAAGTTGGAGTATCAAAATTTGGTAGGAGAGTTTTATAGAGATGAAAAAAAAATATGTAAAGATATTTTAGTTAAATGATACAGGGTGTTCAAAATATATTTATGAATTTCAACTACTTAAAATTAAAATATCTCAAATGTTTTAAATAGGACACCCTATATATTATCATTTTTTCTGATATATTTTACAAAACTCTTCAACTTTTATTAAGTATGTCATATACCTATTTTTATTCCCATTTTTTCTATTTTTACCGATATTTTTAATACAATTACCCTATAAAATCATAGTTGCCATGACAAAACAAAACTATTTATTGCTTACCTTTAACAAGTAGCTTCATAATTAGTTACAATTGCTGGTATTAGTTAAAATTAATTAAGTTTACTCAAATAAACTAATTCGCAGTAGTTAATTTCTTGGTGTATTTCTATATTATGAAAGATGACACTTCGGATTTTTCGTCGGGGCGAATAGCCACAGATTAGGGTAATACTAGACTACCTAATTGCTGAAGACTGCTGATATAGGAATTTTCTTTGACATACAGTAAAGTTTTTTCTCGTAGTAATTCTGGTTTATAATTCATTTGATAAAGTCAATATTACTACTGCCGCGAAACCGTCCCATTACACACTGAAAATGTTTTCTAGATAATATACACCTATTCTTATAGTAGTTACCAAAGTACTACATAATATATAGTACTGAACCAAAAAACGTGGTTTTCTAGGCTTGTCCGTGTATATCAGTCACATTGACTAATTCATTTCAAGAAAATCTGTAACTATTATCTCTACCGTTTATACTTATTACAACAAAAATTGCAAACTAATAAAAATAGGTATATGACATACTTAATAAATGTTGAAGAGTTTTGTAAAATCTCTCAGAAAAAATGATAATATATAGGGTGTACCATTTAAAAAAATTGAAATTTCTTGATTTTAAGTAGTTGAAATTCATAAATATATTTTGAACACCCTGTAACATCTAACTAAAATATCTTTACGTAGGTCTTTTTCTATATCTCTATAAAATTCTCCTACCAAATTTTAGTTGTCCAACTTCAGAATCAACAATTTTTTATCACACTACAATCTAACATTTGTTTAAACAAATTTAAATATAACAAAAACTATTAATTTTTGGTATATAACATTATATATAAAAAAGTTATGAGATTTTACGCAGAATCTAAAAATGAAATAAAAAATGAGGTGTTGCATTTAAAAAAAAACATATGTTATATTCGCCACTCTTTTTTGAAGCACCCTGTATACTGTATAATAATTTTAAAATGTGTATCTTAACCATCTCTACAACTTTTGTATTTAATATTTTTTTGTAAACCTCGAAACAAATAAGATTCTTCTTTCTTCTGAGAGACTTTCCTCTATCGTTGACTCACCCTGTACATTATTTTTCAGAATTCATTTTTGTGCTGACTTTTAAGCCAGAGAAATAAACTTTACTGAAAAATTTGATTGCTTCGCTTAATGTATACAGGGGTATCAAAAATTGCTGGTCCATTTTGAATATTTATTTTAGAAAATAACTTTGTTATTTCAAATGCAATACTCTGTATTTTTTTTAAATAACTCGAAGCAGATTTAAATTCTCTTTCAAACTATTTTTTCAAACAGCAATTTTTTTAATAAAATGGCAATCAAGAGGGTTGGTAACACTCATGGTAACACCAGCCTGCTTGGTTGCCATTTTATTGAAAAATTGCTGTTTATTTAAAATATGAGCTAGATAGGTATAGGAAACACTAATATAGTTTGAAAGAGCATTTTAATCTGTTTTGATTTATTTTAAAAAATAGAGGGTGTTGCATTTGAGTTAACGAAGTTTTTATGTAAAATAAATATTTATAATAGATCAGCAGTTTTTGATACCTCTGTATAAATGGAGGCAATAGAATTTTAGTAAAGTATGTTTCTCTGCCTTTGAACTCAGCACAAGAATTAATTCTGAAAAGTAATATACAGGGTGTTGCTAATTTTTTTCTATTATAGCATGTATATTTAAATATCTTTAAATATCGTAAAAACCAAATATTTGAAATACCGGGGGTGTTCCATAAGTTCGGTATGGATCTTAGTTCTGGAACACCCTGTATTATTCAAAATATTTTTAAATTGTGCACATTGCCTTCCCACATATACCTATAAAATATTTTCTTTCTACATCTTTTCGTTCTTGTATAATTCGAGACAATAAGGTGCGCCACCCTGTATAAATCATATACAACAAAAAAGCAATTAAATACATCTTTTCCAACTTATTTATTTGTGTATTCTTTTTAAAAGACATAGAAAACCCCTGTAGATAATTTTTTTATAAATAAATATTTTTTTTACTTCAGTGCTATGCAACAAAGACTGAGTAGAGATCCTGTAGCCATAGTGGAAAATTTAACTCCTATTATAAATATCTGGGTGTCACTTGCTGAGATCTACAACGAACAAATATTCGATCTACTTAATACACCAATAAAAGGCCAACAAAGACCCAGATTAAAAATAGGGGGACTACACAATAATACCTACATTAAAGACTTGAAATTTATAAATGTTCGATCTGGTACAGTGGATTTTAAACAATACCTTACCGTTATTCTAGAATATTATTGAATATTTTAGGTCTAGAAGCTTACGAAGTGTTACAGTACGGCCTGCAAAATAGAAATAGGGCGTCTACAGTTGTTAATATGCAATCTAGTCGTTCTCACTGTATATTTTCTATAAAACTGGTCCAGGGTTACGATGCAGACAATCTCCTAGTTTCTAGTTTCAATTTTTGTGATTTGGCTGGCTCCGAACGATTGAAGAAAACAATGAATGTGGGAGATAGGCTGAAAGAATCGAACAGTATTAATAATTCTCTAATGGTTTTAGGAAGGTTAGTTAGAAATTTAATTTTAATTATTTTATTTATACTGTTACTATTTTTTTACTATTATTTATGATTTTTTTATTGTCCTACTTAGATCTTGATTTTACTCAATTTTTATTACTTCTTAAAGTACCTTTATTACTATTTCAGATATTTTTCTCGCGACTGCGAGAGCCTATTGTGGCTTTTTCCACATATATGTTACGGTTAAGGTCCGATATTCGGTTAATATCGATATTACCCGGTTAATCTCGAGAATAACTCAAAACAAAACAACCAAAAACAAAACCAAACCCAAACATTAACCTAATGTCGACATTAACCGGAGATTGGACTTTAACCGTAACATATACACGTAGGACCTAGCGGGTTTTAGCTATAAACTAATAGCTAATAATAAATATTCTGATCTCTTAAATAGCTTGACCAGGGCTCGCTCAGAATCCCCCTTAGGTTAACATCTGACAATCTAACATCTGACATTTTTACGCATTTCTTTATTTAAGGTACCTACATCGTGTGGCATCTCGATGTTTCGAGCGAGCGTCGCATCGAGATGCCTCACTATGTACGTACTCTTATAAAGGTGCCTTCAATCCAGCTGCGCCGCTCCGCGCCGTGGCGCGTAACATTTTTTTAACATGTACTTTTGAAGTGTATTTTTTTAACGCGCACAAAAGTATATGTTAAAATGACTTGCGCGCAGCGGCGCAGCCGGTGTGAACGTACCTTAATGCTATTAAATCAAGGCATACCAGATATATTTAAAACTTATTTTTTATTTCATTTAAAATATGTAACATTCATAAATATAAATACAAGATGAAATGGTATTTTTTATCAGTAATGAAATATACAGGGTGTCCCAATATTACGTGGACATAGAAATACTACGTATTTTTGGAATCAAAAAGTTCATTGGATACAATTTACCTCTATACAAAAGTGTTTCGTTTATCGTTAAATAAACATATTTTTTCAGATATTGTAAGAACCATTAGATATTCCGATTTGACTGAAATTTTGGGTGTCTATGTTTTGCTAAGTGCTTTAACATTTGACTTTCACAAAAGTCAAGAGAATGTACGGGAAGGGTGAAAACTACCCCCATCCCTACATAAATTTTAGTATAAATATTTTTCAACTCAACTGACGACCGATTTTTTTCAGTAAAATGGTCCTTCTGGTATTTACTACATTTTTTGTCTCTTGTAAAAAAAACCCACCGCGCATATTTTTTGAGGAAAAAAATTATTTTTCCGAAACTGATTTTCAAAAAATGTTTTTTGTCACATCAAGCTATAGAGGCGCATAAAATCTATTATGCTCTAATAATCTAGTTGGCAAAAATATGGAATTTTATGTTAGTATCACAAACTATATTTGACATTAAGCTTCATAAAAAGCTTAAAAAAATTAATAAATTTTAAATTAATTAACGTTCGAGTTTATTTTTTGTTGATGCTCTCTAACGGACAAACGAAACACTTTTGTATAAAGGCAAATTATGTGCAATTAACTTATTTTGATTCAAAAAATACGTAGTTCTTTTATGTCCACGGAATATTGGGATACCCTGTATATCTGTTTGAGCATTTTTGGGTTTGAGTTTTGTTTTATTTTGCGGTATGGCGGGCGCATGTTAAGGTGTGTTCACACTGGTTGCGGCACGGAGCGGGAGTGAGCCGCATCTTTAGGGAGCCAGGAGCGTCATCAATATTTTGCTGGTGAACGCCTCCTCAGCGTGATAAATATATATGGCATATCAAAATATTATTTTATAGCGTTAGAGTAAAAATATCTAATGTCGCACTTATATACTTACTTACAACTTGGTTTTTGGACAAGAAAAAACTAACAATGTTACCTAAGTTCGCCTGTCTAATAATTAAACCATTCCATTTAATGCGGACATTTTTGTGGACACTGTATAGATTAATTTAGGTATATAATTTTCTAGATGCATAACAATGGTAAGAGATGGTCAATATAAAAAAGAAAATAAGATGCCTCCTTTTAGAGAATCCAAACTCACGCAACTTTTCCAGAGGGCGCTCATTGGCAAAGAAGATATTCAACTCATGGTTAGAATTTTTTCTTAATGTCTTTTAGAAAAATCCTTATTATTAATGTATCCTTACTTATGTTTTAGGTCAATGTAAATCTATCAAAGGATATGTTTCCAGAAACGCAACATACATTGAACTTCTCTGCGATGGCCAAAGAAGTGATTATTGATCAGGCACCAGTAAAAGTGTTGAATTCTAGCAGATTTTTGGACAAAGACTTTGATGAAGAAGATACTAGGTAAGATCTAAAAATAGTTAAAATTAATTAGTGTAAAAATAAATATAGTATTTGTTGGTATTCTATTTAATTATTCAGAAACCTGTATTAGATAACTACTATAACAATAGTGGATATTCTCCATTTTCTTCATCTTTTACCGTGAAAGAACAACCTGTGGAACAACTATAAGCATGTTGATCTGCATATTTTGTTGTATCACTGTTGTAGTTAGTGAAGTCGGAAACTTTTAGAATGCCCCTGTCTACAGTATAAAGTTGAAATTGTTACATGCTTTTAGGGATGAAGAACTTGATGAATTAAGAGACCGTCTTGCAGAGGTAGTCTTGCAACTATCTGAAGAAAGACAACAGAACCAACAGAGGCAAGAAGAAGCAATAGAAAGAGAAAGACAGCATTTAATTAATGTAAGTAATTTGTTAATAACAATTTATTATTGTTGTAATAAATTTTAATACAATATTTTTTTATTGATCTATTGCCTCAAAAAGCTTTGTATCAATTTCTTTTTAAGATTCTTATTTATTTTTAAATTTAGTCTTTGGATATATTTTAAAATTTTTATTTTTAGTTTTTTAATTTTTTTATTTTCTTTTGTTTTAAAAGTTTATTCGTTAATTTTCTCTTTCACAATGATCATTTTTAGCTACATCAATGACAATCACCCTTACTTTTTAATCATTTCGCACATTTTGTTATAGACATACAAAGAAATAATCAACATCAAAGACAAGCAAATTGAAACATTGAAAAGAGAAAACGAAATACTTTTGAAGGAAAAACGTGAGAGAGAGAAAGCGCATTTACAATCATTTTTTGTGGTTAGCAGTGGGTCTGAGAGTGACTTTGAAGATGAACTGGGAGTGACTGAGAGTGACTCATAATGACGCTAACGGCGATGGCATAGATAAAGATGACTTGTAAGCACTTTGTTTTTAAGATTAAATTATGTATATTCAGTTTTATTTGTTGTTGTGTTATGTACAAAGTCAATGGCGGTTCGTCAGGGCCGTATTTTCCTACAAATTTATTTTTTAGATTAAATTATATTTTATTTTATTTGTTTTATTAAATTCAAAGCCAGTGGCGGTTCGTCAGTGCCATACCTTACTTAGTAACTGCTTTCTTGTTTGTTGTCTGATAGGTTATAAAAATTTAATTTAGAAGGAGGGGTTAGAAATCGCCAAAGCGGTATAAATACTCCTACGGTCAAAATTATTGTTTCCTATCTCAGCGCCGCAGTCAGCGTACTCTAGCGGATTAACATATTAAGCCCCATTAAAAACAGAATGTAAAAAAAGTCTCGCAACACGGTTCTTTCTAGTTTGACCTACTTTTGCTATTTTTGCGAGCAGTGTACGGCGTTTAAAAACTAAAGGTGGGTATTCACTTGCCACAAAACACTCCGAACGAACCAAACGCGCCGCGCGCCCTGTAACAAGTTTGTGTAGTCAGTACGTTATGCCGAACCGAACCGAACGCGCCAAACATTTTCCGAAGCTTGTCGATAAACGGGATTTGCTCAAAAGAATTTATTTGTTGGCCGGTGTTCAGTGGATACGGCAGTTCTGAACGTTCGTTGAGTTTGTGGTGTTTTTAAACTCTGCCTAGCTATGGAGTGGAACAGAGAAAAGTTTTTGGAGTTAATTGAGTTTTCCCGGCAGTTAATTGAGTTTTCCCAGTTTAATGAGTTTGAAAGGCAGCCTATTTTATGGGATCCGACAAATGGGATTTTTCATATGCATATAATCTAGATCCTTAAGTAAGGTCATATTTTGACGGCGCAAAAAGAGGCGTCTAGCCCACATTTTTCGTCCTTTCCTTTTTTTCTGTTTTTTTTTGTTATCCGCTAATGCCTCTATAATTAAAAAATCACCAGCGGCTATGGTAATATCAGATGCATCCATGTCGACAAACACACTAACACTGATTACTAGTGGGAACGCAGCGAACACCGCAAACAGGCGGAACACTCCGCGCAAAATGTTTTGTTGCAGGTCGTTCAGAGCGCGCTCGGAAAATATTTTCTTGCAGATTGTTTGGAGTGCGCTGCGCGTTTGGTTGGTTTGGGGTGTTTTGTTGCAAGTGAATACGCACCTTAATATCTGATTTTTATTTTTGAAATATTGATCTGCATTTTTTTTGTTTAACAGGACACCGTGGCACCGTTTTTTATTTGATTTATAATATGCTAAATAGCGAGTATGTATATATACGTATGTATGTGTATATTTGATTGAATAATTAACTGAATTCTGAATGACTCGAGTATAGATCATACCAAATAAACTTTTAGTCACGGGATGAAGCTTGACCGGCACAGCGTTGCCTACTTTTACATATTTTCTTTTAGTCATAATATTTTAGGAAACAAAAATAAATGAATTATAAATATATAAACAGTTACTATTTAAATCAACAAAACTCGCCTCCTTAACAGCACTTAAGGAACATAAAGGGCCATTACTACCGCTTTCTCGTTCAAAATATTCTAATAAGGTTACGATGATTTTTTTGCAACGGCTATTAAGCTTTTTGCACACTTCGCACTAAAAGTGGTTCTAAAAAGATCAATAGAGAACAACGGCATACGGTCGAGTCGGCCTACAAACACGTAAACGTTTACGTACGCAGGCGCATTTCTTATATTTTTTTATTTTTTATACACGTAAAAGATTCTTTACGTCTACGTCTACGTGCCAGCAGCGGCCGATTCGACCGTATGCCGTTGTTCTCTAATGTTCGACTGCTAGGTTTGCTAGCAAAAATTTTTAAGCCTAAAGTATCACAACACAATTCATTTAAACCAAAAACTCGTAATATAAAACTAAAGTGTCAAAACGACTGACAATGTCAGGAAATAAATAAATAAATGTGGCAACTTGGCATTTTTTACAGCAGATCTACCACCTGAATCTTCAGCGGGATATTTAAATTCCAGTTAGTCAGCTCGGCGCCGAATATGTCCATGGTTGGCAACAATGTATTTAAACTTAACTAAGAGTTTAATTGCTATGGTTTATATAGTAAACGCTACGAATGTTTGGGAGTGATTCTTCGCTTGATGAAGAATCAACACGCGCGCTATCGTTTTTACATTAAAAACGTAAATTTTTACCGCAGACGTAGGTTTTTAAAGGCCCGGTCTAATCATCTGCCTGCGCTCCTCCTACTTATTCTAAAATGTTAGCGTGATTGACAATTACGATACTATATCGCGTTTCTTTGATTGATTCGTTTTTTTGCGTCAGTCCATTGGTGTGCTTGCAGTGCGACCAATGGGGCATTCCATTTTATATTTATAACCAAATATATGTTTTGACAAGACTTTGACAGTTAAAACAACAAATTACAACAGATTATATATTGATTATTATATGACTTGAAACACCACTGCACTGGAATTTAGTTTCATGTGACCTTGAACAGATTAGTTCACATGGTAGCGACCGATGAATCACTCCCAAACATTCGTGGCGTTTACTATAGCTGTGTATTGTATGAACTAATGGTCATACAGATTCAAAAAAAAAACAATAATAAACTATTTTAATTGGTTTTAATATTTATTTACAATATTTACATATTTTCTGTTTGATCATCATATTTCAATAAACTAATATTTTATACACAACGACAAGGCAAGAATATATTCAAAAAAAAATTCTGTCTTTAGTTTAATCGTATTTTTACGGGTATGTTAAACAAAAACAAAGGTGACAAAAACATAAGATAAATAATATACGAGATCTATATGATGGTGACATTTAACTACACGTGAATTACTTTAAAGTGTTACAACAATTTAAAGAACTATCATTATAATTGTTGCAACACCCTGTATAATACATATTTCGAAGGAGAACACATTACGTTTGGTCCAGTTTCATTAGTTTAGAAGTAGATTTTAGCGCGATTTTCGATCATTTCATTATTAAGAATGTCTTAGAGGAAGCATATTTTTTATAGATATTATATTTTACTACAATATGTAGTTTAAAACCGATCAGATCTTCATATTAGATACCAAATATGCCGCCTGAAATCAAGAGAAAAAAGTATTTTGAAGATCATAACTTATTTTACTCATGTATTCGCATTTATTCAAACACACAAACTGACGCACTCAATATTAAAATTCATACTGTTCTAACTTTGTTTTGGATGATGTGGAACTACCTGCGTTGTTGGTGTTTTGAAACATTGTAACAAGAACGCCGTGTATATGACAAAAGCTATGCCGATCGCCAAGAGGGCGTACATGAAGATGTTTAGCTCTGGTTGTCGATATCTGAAAAATAAAAAGGTTTTCTTTATATTGTTATGGAAAACAAAACTAAAAACAGTGTTTGTTCTTAAATAAAAGACAACTTGATTTTTCTTTACCGTTTTTCCAATAGGTCCAAAATATCTAATATCCTACCGAGATATTTTACTATAAAAAATAAAAAAAAAATTTTTTTGCTTACAATTTTAGAACTATTGGATCATTTCTGGGTTTTCTTTCTTGTAAATTTAATCTACTACCTATGACCTATGTTGCCATATTATGAAGAAATTATGTTTTTTAACTAAAAGCTAAAAAAATTTCCAAATTTTTTTTTAAAAAATAACAAATTTTTGATTTTCTTTCGCGAAAAAAAACCTCATTTCTGTTATTGAAATATACTACCACTAAAAACATTTGCACTTTTATTTAATTTAAGACTCACCCTGTATAATACCAAAAAATACTCAATATAAATTAGTAGTGGGAACTATCGAATGAATACTATCGAAACATTCGATAGTTGCAATTCATTCGAATAATTCGATAGTTAGTAAAAAACATTCGTTGAAAACTATTCGAATAAAAATTATCGAATAGATGCGTCATCTGCCTTGAAATATTGTATTCTAGTAATTCGGCAGCAAAAACCATTCATTTATAAAATTCATTCATTTATGAAATTCATTTATTCGTCAGGATCGATTATAATAAAATATTAACTGAATTTTAGTTGTCGCCCGGCGACGTAGGTTTCTTTCCGAGAAACCCGACAGCGAGCGGTCGGTGGCAATGCTATGAAAGAAGCCGGCATCTTTGATTTTTTGCGGAGTCAGATATAGATAAGGACACATTATTTTTTTTATTGAGGTGCTAGTATTTACACAGAAAATACATTATGAAGGGCGCTGTTGCCATATTTTGGTATTAGTTGATATTAGCAAAGAATATTATTGTTTAGCTTTAGTTAGTTAGGGATAGTATGTCTATATATTCTGCATTTTTTTTATTAATATTCTGTTGTTACACTGCAATAATACTTGTTATTTTGGATGTAAGAAAATGATTTTTAATGTTTTTAAGCAAAGACTGGTTTAATAAATAATAATAACAATAATAATTTGTTATACCTATTAACAACGAAATTTAAAATGATTTAATATAAATATTTTTTTAAGTAGTAGCAAAATATAAACAACAAATTAGATGTCAAAATTATTTATATTAGATCCTATTTAAAAGTAATATAGTCTCTAAATTTTTTGGCAACGTTGGTTTATTAAATAATAATAATTACAGAACTAATTTGTTATATTAACAACAAATTTTAAAATCATGAAATATAAACATTTATTAATTTTCTAAGCATGCAGTGTAATGGAACGAAAATATAAATAAAAAATTAGAAATCAAAATTATTTATATTAGGTGCTTTATATTACTATTTAAAAATTATATTTACTTTTACTGGCATTTACTTTAAAAAATAAATGAAATATTTCTTCGCAAAAACTACATGTAAGAGAATTAGCATAAACAAAATACAAACATCGTTAACTTTTTTTTTAAATTGGCACGTGTAAAACTTTCATTTTAATTTTCTCACCCCATAGTTTGAGTTCGATAACCATTTACTTAACCACATTACTTTAATATGATTATTAAGTTCAACTAATTCATATTATTAAAACATCTAAAATACAAATATGTACTTTTAAAATTAATTTAAGTTCATCTCATCTCTCTTAAAAATTGCTACTTCTCAAAATTTCCCATTAAAAAATAGACCATATACCATATAAAATTAAATAATTGAAAGATCGGACTACGGAAAACCACACAACTTTTCGGAAAAATTTTGACCACCTGCACATGCACACAATCGTCAATAAATAAAATTAAAAAATAACTACTATTTTAGTATTTTAACTATTTTAGTAAACGCAAAAATAGCACAGTATTTATACGGTGAAGTTATAAAAATTTGGAAGAACTAATAATGCACTGACGCATACAAAAATCAAACGAATACTAAATTTCATTTTCAAAAGCATTCGATAGTCGTGGCTCAACGATAACCATTTAGTCGCACGGCGAGGTTGTCACATATGCTTTAGTATACAAATGAATGAATGATTTTATTCGAATAAAACCATTCGATAGTTGAAATCATTCATTCATTAACCATTCGATAGTCTAATTCATTCGATAGTTCCCATCGCTAATATAAATCGTTTTGCCATAAAAATGTGCCTATTTTAAAAATACTAACTTTACTAAGTTTATATGGTTTTAATCCACTCTTTTGTCTATACAAAGAACTAAATAATATTTTAAGAATGAATAATTTTAAATTATATTACATAGGTATTAAATATAAAAAAATAAATTAGTCCTAATTAAAATCATTAATAATTTGCTACTTTACCGTTTGCAGAATCCTCGTTTTAAAGTGTAATGTAGAAAGATTAATCTACTAATAATATTTCAAAAACCACTCAGTATTTTAAGACATCATTGTATACTTAAAATAAAATTGACAATTATGGCAAATGCCATAATCCAAAAAATTTGCAGATTTCAATTTTATTAAACTTCTTGTAAACTTCAGTGAAGAATGAATTTAAATCACCCTATATTTTTACAACATTGTTGCTCTTATAATTTGTAATAAAAGTAAAGTTAAACTCAGAAACAGAACCTATTACTCAACAATTTTGGCACTGTGTGTTATCCGGTAAAAAATACCGGGTGCGTCTCGAAAGTGGCTCACCCCCTATAACTTTTTTATTTTTTCAGATAAAAAAAAACGAGATTTGGTATGTTAGTATATGACATAAATTAGGATTGAGTGGCGTATTCAATTATTTTTGGTTACTTCCTGTTCCTCAGGAAATGACTACAACTTTTGATTTTTAAATTGCACTCTTGGCATATTTTTACTTTTCGATTGGAAATGACACTCTGAATAGAAAGACATCTCATATGTCAACTTTTGACATTTTCGTTAAAAAAAATCATATTTTAAATTTCAATCTAGAGTGCCATGGCTGTGTTAAAAACACTAATTTTTAATCAAGGAGCCTTGGATAAATGTATTTGATCGTCTAACGTTTTTCGTGTCTTGTCCTGACCAGTTAAAAGATGCCCAAATCGTATTTTTAATCATATCTCAATTTTTTCAAACGGAACAAGGGTGTCTCATTAGCATATTATCAAAAAGGATTTTTTACAAATAATTTGTTACCACACACTTGGTATTTTGAGTCAAATTGTCGTTATGAATGAACCGCATGTTACAATATCAAATAAACCATATGCGAAAATGTCAAAAGTTGACATATGATATGTCATTCTATTCAGAGTGTCATTTTCTATCGAATAAAGTAGAAATATACAGAGTGTGCCATTTAAAAATCAAAAGTTGTAGTCATTTCCGGTGAAAGAGGAACTGACTAAAAACAATTGAATACGTCAATCAATCCTAATTTATGTTATTCTCGTTTTTATCTGAAAAAAAATAAAAAGTTATAGAGTTGAGCCACTTTTGAGACGCACCCGATACAGTAAATATAGTATAAAATTAAAGTAAATTTAATCCAAATTTTAGAAAATACTATGTAAATTCAACAAGAAAAACTATAGTGATGGGTTTGAAAAGTTTTTGATCAGATTATCACAGATCGTTATCAGGTTTATATTTGATAACTTCAGTGATACGTCATTATCTTCAATTTTGAAATTTTACACAACAATTATCAAAATATCACTGATCGCTATCAAGTTTACACTTTGTACGCGTAACGTTATGTAAAATTTCAAAATTATAAGGACAATGTCCAGCCCATGACGATATTTTATTTCACAGAGGTTATGCCTTACCGATTTTTTCTCAGCCATTCAAGAACGTCTTTTTCGGAATGTAAATCGCCTCGATAAATGCTTGGGAATCTGCGCCGGAAGTAGACGATGGCGGGCAAATTTGTCACGCCCCACTTCCGGGCGTACCGCGCGTCGGCCATCTTGACGAACGTTATGTCAAAGTTGTCAGTTTCGCTGTCAATATTCTCCAACTTCTCCATTATGATGTTAGATTCCAGCGAGTTAATTTCATCTAGACATTGAAAGAATTGTTTAGACACTAGAAGTATATTAAAGAATAAGGAATAAGTATAGTCTCTCTACCAATGAAATATATGACATTCTATCAACATTATATATTCTTTTGATGAACAAATCGTAAGATACATTTAGATAAGATTATTTTATATTAAGTACTTACAGAAGAATACAGTGACAAATTCATTTTCTTCCAATAGTTTCTCCAACATCTTTTTGTTGACCTCTTCTATCTCGTTTTTGATTTCGAAAACGTCTTGAGACGTCAACCAATCCAGTACACGATCTGCTTGCGTTAAATCGCCGTCGTACACCTAAAATTTCAATAATTAATACGAAGAAGAATATATAAATTTGGAACAACTAATACACAGCTCGGGATCTCTGCTACCAGAAATCAACAGAAGAATTAAGTTAGCATGGCGAGTATTTATGGAAGAAACTCAAATCATTTTCAAATCTAGAATGCCACTTTATCTAAAGAAGAAAACATTCGACCAATGTGTACTACCAGTTATGACATATGCATGCAAAACCTGGACACTTAAAACGGACATCATAAGGAAACTGCAGATCGCACAACGCTCAATGGAACGAAATATGCTGGGAATAACCAAGAAAGATCGTAAAAGAATAGAGTGGATACGACAAAAGACCCAGGTAATAGATGTCATTCAGAGAATCCAATCCCTCAAGTCGCAATAGGCAGGACACTTGGCAGGAAGGACGGATAACACATGGACCACAAAAATTATAGCATGGTTTGGTTTGGGAATTAAAAGACCTAGAAGAAGACCGAACCTGAGATGGGATCATGGTATTAGGAAATTAGCAGGGATAACTTGGGCTCGCATAGCTCACAATAGACAATAATGGGCCCAACTACAAAGAGAGTATCGAAATATCTGAGGGAGGCTACACCATAATTGGAAATGGTTGAATAAGCTGAGAATGATGATGATGAATGATGAAATATTAATACTATATTAATTAAATAAGTAAAGAATTGGTGAATGGTAATGAAAGTGATGATATGTATGATCTGTTCAGTATATTCTATTATGATTTACGTGACTGACGAAATTTAAAAAAAAATATAAAAAAAACGGCCTACTGTTGAATTAAAATGACAATTTTTATTGTGGTCGTTGTCAAATATTTACACAATAATAAATATTCTTGCGCTGGATGTATGATTGAAAAACGGCGTCCAGATGGCATAAAAATTACGATCAATGATGTTCCCCTTTTAATTTTACATATAAAATGTATATTTAAATGTAATATTTTATTACACATATATTATGAGAAATCTTACCATGGGTTTCTTTTTCCTAAAGTACATTAGAGCTGGCAAGGTGTGCAGTCCTTGTTCAGCTGCAGCTTTGGCGCTGCAGATCTTTACGAAATCGATGCCGAAAAGATCAGCCTCACCGTCAATTTGTTCGAGGTTCTCTAGAATGTCATCACATTCGGGACAGTCTTCGTCATCTTAAAAAAGTGGAATTTGATAATGTTACACACAAGAAAGTTTATTAATGTATACAGGGTGTTTCAAAAAACATGTGCCATCTTTCGTGGGGAGATTCCTCACGATTTATTTTTCATATCAACATAGGTCCGATTCTGTTTTGTTTTGTAGCTACAGGGTGTTAAAGTATTAATACTCTTTCGATTTATTATAATTTTCTTCCAAGTACTTTTAGTGATTTGAATAGAATTTTGAGAATAAAAGTTACTATAAGTGCTATATATTTTAATGCTAAAAAAGTGTCGATAAATTCATCAGGGACAGGCAAATGGATTACTGGAATATTTTTCAAAAAAAAAACATGTGCGCCACTGACTTTCTTTTGATATCAAAATCGTGTAGGCCGTTTAATGCCAATTAAAATTTTATCTCTTGAATTCGGCCTTCTTGATGAGATAAACGCAATTTTATTAATCACAATAATTAATAAAATAAAAATAAAATTAATAAATTATATATTTTACCTAATTTTTATTAAATATTACTACTATTAGATATTATTACTATTACTCCAATATACAGCAATTTTAAATAAAAAAATAATGGTATTTAAGATAAGTACAAAAGACCTAATTTTAAAAATCTTTAACATCCTGTAACTCTAAAACTATGCATTTCCATACAATATGTTTATAGGAACTTTTTCATATTTTTTTTATGAGGAATAAATGAGTACTTATTTAAAACTTTTGCAAGTTAATAATATTAAACATTTTTAAAGGTTACTATTAGACTTTGGATCAAGGCAAATTAATAAAATTGCAATTATCTCATCAAGGAGGCCGAAATCGACAAAATATGAAGAGACAAGTTTTAATCGGCATTAAACTGCTTACACTATTTCGCTAACGAGATAAAAAAAGTCAGTGATGTACATGCTTTTTTTAGAAAAATATTCCAGTGTTAACCCATATGCACGTCCCTGGTGAATATGTCGACCCTTTTTTAGCTTTAAAATATATCGCATTTATAGTAACTTTTAACCACAAAATTTTATTCGAAACGCTAAAAGTACTTGGAAGGAAATTATAATAAATCGAAAAAATATTAAGATTTTAAGACCCTGTATCTACGAAACAAAGCAGAATCGGACCTATGTTGATATAAAAAATAAATCTTATTTTTACGTGAGGTATCTCCCCACGAGAAATGGCACATGTTTTTTGAAACACCCTGTATATTCTGTGATTTTGAAATTAAAAGTCTGAAAATTTCGGATTGTAGTAATACCATTTACCGCATTTTGACAGAGACAATTATTGTCACTGTCAGGAATTCGGTTGGAGACTATAATGAGAAGAGGAACTACTTCTAAACTACTCACAGAAGAACACCGCTAAAAATGGAGACTCGCTCAAGAGCCGCGTGAGCATTCTCTCGTTCACTGCCTCGATCTCGTCTGCCAGCTCTCTGTTGTCATCGTCAATCAGCCATTCGAGGACGCTCTGCTCGTTTTGTAAGTCGCCCTCGAAAAGTAGGGGGTTGCCGTTGCGGAAGTAAACCAAGGCGGGGAATGTTTTAATACTGTATCTGGAATAGAAATTAAATTAAATAATTTGTAAGTGATTTATCATAGGTTTGGTGCATTTCAGTTGATTTTAAAAATTCCGACCGCAGCGGTCTGTATTTCACGCAATTCCGATGTTGATCGTATTGAGATAATATTAAAGTCGTGTCTTTGTCATAGTATTTAAGTATTTTAGTTTTTAATAGTGTAGTTACTGAAACCACGGATTAGGTATCCTATAAGTATACAGATAAAAATCTTGTCCCTAATTCGTGTTACGAAAATAGTTTTTTATGACGATGAGCAAACGCGTAAATTTTCTTGTGCGCAAAAATAAACTCCCGTTTAAACAGCGTAATAACTGGGCTGGTCACAAGGCCGGTCAGGCGCGGTGCACAATTTTAGAGGCCATAAGGGGGCGTGCTTGTGCGCAAACTAGTAACCTAACTAGTGCGCGATTCCGAAAATTGGAACCACGAAAAACAAGGCTTTTGACGATAAGTTTATAGTCTGTATAATCTGTGCTGAAACTATAAAACACTCAGGTACACTTGTGTCTAGCCCCAGCAGGCAACTGTTAAGCCCGAACAATCACGTTAGAGTTTTTGACAAAAACCAATGAATTGACACACTCCAAATAACCAAGCGAACCAACCTGATTAGTCAAGCTTAATAGTTGCCTGCTGGGGCTAGACACTTCTCTCAGGTACGAGGTTTGTGTGATGTAACACTGTTTCGGGTAGTAAAAATTAAGTGAAAAAGAACACGAACTGGGCGTCGCTTTGTGTTGCGATAATTTCAAATGTTAATAAAATCGTGGAAAAAAATGTTATCTAACACGTTAAGGAGGAAGTAATTACGTGGTTGTTGGGTGCAATAACATTCAATAACTCAACTTTCCCGGATAGTCAACTCTCTCGAAATAACATTTTATAGCTTCACAATTTCTCACACCGATTTGATCAAAATCAGAAATTTATTCAAGCAGCTCGACGAAACAACTAAGTAAACAAAGTACCTATTACATAATCAAAAAATTAAATAGGCATACTAGGACTGGCACGCTTAGCGAAATAAGATGTACTGAATAAAGACAGAAGGCAAATATTTTCCCGAGCGCATGGAATCTAGCTTCAGATTAAGTGGTTATGTAATAAATACTTTGTTATTTTTGCTCTCTCCGACTTACTAAATTGCCATAGCGATTCACTCCTATTACATGTAAACGTCGACCCAAGGTTTCGCTTGCCAGCAGGGTATACTATGCGATGATAAATTATAATTTGGCTATATTAATGCTGTTTTAACCAACTAGTGCTTAATTTTTTATTTCATCTTTTAAAATTATAATTATGTGCCTTTAGAAAAAATCGTTATAACCGAAATAGCCCCAGTTATGTCTCCGCTAACAAAATCGGTGCATAAAACTATGCTAGCTACCGCAGTTGAATTAATCTAAAAAGTTATATTAGCTTGAAGAATAAATTATAATACTAGACCTGAAGATATCAAAATATTTACTTTTTTATTTTTAGAAATTTCACAAGTTATACTTCTTAACACATTTAGAATAATTATATAATAAATTTTTCGTATACTCGCTATTAAAACCGGTTGTTTACGATATTCTCCGATGGTGGCAGCACCGGCGGAGAATGCACCAAGCCAATTATGGGCATACTACAGAGACTCGGGTTTTACTAAATCAGTTTAAAAAACCGTTTGATGCTACTAAAACACAATGCAGGTAATTTTCAATGTTTTCTTTATGGGTTCTGCTTTCCATTTCAAATTTTGACAGGCGTATGTTTATAGACTCAGCACATTCGCGTTCAAGTCTGTACACGGTTTAGGACAAGTAAGTTGGCTTCTTTTTCTTTGAAATTTGTAGGGTTTCTTTTGAATATAATGAAATATAATTTGACTCTAATTTATTTCTTTACCTTTTTGCCAATTGTGGGTCTATTATCCTAACCAACTGTATACCGTAGACATCGCATTCATCGTCGATTTGTTCTAGTTCTTCGAGAATTTGTTCGCAAATGTGACAGTTCTGCTTATAGAAATACACAGCAAGATACTGAGTATCCTCGACCATCCTCTCTAACATAACTCTGGTAATAAGCTCAATTCTGTCTTCCGTTCGTTGTTGTATTAGCCACTGAAGCACTTCTTCCTCTTCCTCCAGATCACCTTAAACATCATTATTATGGATACAGGTGAGGTTGGAACTTTTAGCCATACTTGAAATGTTTCACTATACAGGGTGATCCAAACTGTATTCCTAAAACTTCGGTAGCATATTCTGCAGAGAAAAATAAGTAAAAAGTTCGTATAAATATATGTCCTAAAATGCGTTTCGGAGATACAGGGTGTAGAAGTTTCATTTTTATTTCGATTTTTTTCCAAATAATTTCTGAAGTAACATCAATATTTGGATGAATATTGGTGTCTGGCAGTGTTTTGATGTTAGAAATTTGATTTTGATGGCAATATGACTCCTAGTTGCAGGGGGCGCCACCTACATGTGTTTTAACTGTTTCGAAGAGTAATAACTTTTCGTCCGTACCTGTATAAAACTAATGAGCAAAAAAATACACATTTCCGTGATTTTTTACGTAAAAAATGTCTTCTTAATAATCGCTACTAGCAGCCGTTCTCAAGATATTTAGGATGGAAATAGTCAATACATGTCATTATTGACAAAAAATAAACATGCTAAGTAGATAGTTATTTGAGTGAACTTTAAATTAATCATAAATTTTTCTTCGAAAAAATGATGATAAAACAGTTTCTGTTGAACTTTTGGCACAAAAACATTTCAAATTTATTATTTCAGTCTGATAACTATTCAGTCAACATGTTTAATTTATGTCAATGATGACAGCCATGACAGAGGTATTGATAATTTCGATTCCAAATATCCCAAAAACCATTACTCGTATCGATTTTTACCAAGAGACTTTTTTACGTAAAAAACGTCGTAAATACTGCAAAATAAAAACACTAAATCACCATAATACACCAAAACCCTTTTACTTTTACACTGGACGCGCGTTTCGCTAACCATGTTAGAATCATCAGCAGATGATTATAAACTAAAATACAATCTACAAGTTGAGCGTTTATATACTTGCTCAGTGGGCACCGAGTGGGCGTAGCAAGATCTAGCCAACCGAGTCAGAGCCCACCGAGCGTAACAGTTAAATTTCCGCCACTAGAGTAGTAGGAACAAAGAACTTGAAGGAATTGGACCGTTGTCTCTGTTCATACTATCTTTACATTTGTTATTTAATTATTTTTTTAATTTTATTATTTAATTATTTTATCTTTACATTTATTTTTTAATAAATGTAAAGATAGTATGAACAGAGACAACGGTCCAATTCCTTCAAGTTCTTTGTTCCTACTACTCTAGTGGCGGAAATTTAACTGTTACGCTCGGTGGGCTCTGATTCGGTTGGCTAGATCTTGCCAAGCCCACTCGGAGCCCACTGAGCGAGTATATAAACGCTCAACTTGTAGATTGTATTTTAGTTTATAATCATCTGCTGATAATGCTAACATGGTTAGCGAAACGCGCGTCCAGTGTAAAAGTGTTTTGGTGTATTGTGGTGATTTAGTGTTTTTATTTTACTGTGTAACACCAAAGGTTCCAACCCTCAACTGTAATAGTCGTAAATACTCTTAAAATCAGTTTAAAAAATACGTAGTTGGTGCCCTCTACAAGTAGAAGCCATATTGACATCCAATTCAAATGTCTCATGCCAAAAAGTTCCCAGACGCCAATTTTCATCAAAATTATTGACGTTACTTCAGAAATTATTTGGAAAAAATCGAAATAAAAATGAAACTTCTACACCCTGTATCTCCGAAACTAAGCGTTTTAGGACATACATTTATACGAACTTTTTTACGTATTTTTATCTGCAGAATATGCTACCGAAGTTCGGACCACCCTGTGTTATTCTATTATACAGGGAGTCTTAAATAAGTGCAAATATTTTCAGGGGTGGTATATTTCGACCCCAGGAACACGTCTTCGAGGTTTTTTTTTCCAAAACAAAGATGTTGAAAATCATGCACTTTCTTTTAAATTTCCCTGTATATTTTTCGAAAACTTTTTAGAACTGCCTGTTCACCGCAAATTTTCTCACGGTATAATTTCTTAATCTCTGATATTACCATATAGTTATGGCTTTACTCTAACGTTACTCTTCTACTCGTTACGGCACTAAAAGGGATGCAATTACAGAAAATATCCGGTGGCTCTCAAATTTTTTTCCAAAAAATAATTTTTTTTAAATTTTCAAACTTAAATAACTCGGTTATTTTGGACTTATCTGAAAAGTGGCAAAGAGAAAATATGTTTCTTTTATCGAGATCTACCAGCGCTGAAAATATTTGCACTTATTTAAGACTCACCCTGTACAGTTGTTAAGGAATTTAATTAGTGGGTATATGGAAAAAGGGGTGATCCCACAGTGATCCCAGAAATATAAGTTTTACCTAGGAGTTACCTCCACTTAACCTATGGGAAAAAGCTTTAAGTCCACTAATACCGAAAATGGTTGACTTCCCTTTTCCTGCCAATACCCGGCAATTATTTGATCTTTAAAAGGAAATACTTTGAGCATAAAATCGTACCTTCAAACACGCCACCCACACCATTTTCAAAATACATCAACAAAGGGAAGTCGGTAGCTCCGTATTGTTCTGCTATTCTCAAATCGTTGGTTTTGACAAATTTGATGCCGTGTCTTTCACAATCGTCGTCGATGTTTTCCAGTTCTTCCAGAATATTGGAACACTGGTCACACTCGTCGCTATCTGTCAATATTAAGAAAAAACTAATCAACTTTTTGATAATAGTAAAAAACGAGATTTATATTTCTAGTAAAGTAATTATGGTAACAAATGTAATGAAAGGGAATATGTACAAGGTATAAAAACAAAAATATTACTAACAAACGGGTGTTCTAAAAACTTTAAAACCCTAAGAGAAATAAGTCGTTTCTAAAAAAAATTGTCAAAGGGTGTGTTTAAAAAATTACGTTTTCCAAAGTAGATGTCTTAATTCTATTTTTTGTATTTAAATGGGAGTTGTTTATTTCAATTTTTTTTTAAATTATTTGTCAAGATAGTTGTCTATGTATCCCAGCATCAAAATTACTAATGCATTAGTGAAATTCAAGTATATTAATATTAATATAAAATATATAATATAAAAAGGTATTTTTTATTGTGAAAAGTAGGTGTAACATTTAAATTCACCGTCCATTATGATTTTGTATTTAAAATACTACCGAAAAACAAATAAAACTATATCAAATTTCGTAAAAATACCCATCCATACAAAATTAATTTAAACTATTAATGCGTGAGAAACTAAATTAATATACATACAGGGTGTTTGAAAAAACGTGCCATGTCTCGTAGGGAGATTTCTCACGTAAAAATAAGATTTATTTTTCATATCAACATAGGTCCGATTCTGCTTTGTTTCGTAACTACAGGGTGTTAAAGTCTTGAGAATTTTTCGATATATTATAATTTTCTTCCACGTGTTTTTAGTGATTCGAATGAAATTTTGAGCGTAAAAGTTACTATAAGTGCTATTTTAATGCTAAAAAAATGTCGACAAATTCATCAGGGAATTTGGAAATTTAGAATAACATAGGAATATTTTTCAGAAAATAAAACATGTGCGCCACTGACTTTTTTTTTCTTTTTGTGAGGATCGGTTAATGCCAATTAAAAGTTATCTCTCGATATTTTGTCGAATTCGGCCTCCTTGATGAAATAAACGCAATTTTATTAATCACAATAATTAATAAAATTAAAATAAAAATAAAATTAATAAATTATATTTTTTACCTAATTTATTATTAAATATTATTACTATTAGTTATTATTACTATTAGTCCAACCTACAGCAATTTCAAATAAAAAATAATGGGATTTTGAGATAATTACAAAAAAAACTAATTTTAAAAAGTTTTAACATCCTGTAACTCTAAAACTATGCATTTCCATACCCATGTTTATAAGAACTTTTTTTCATATTTTTTGATGAGGAATCAATGAGTACTTATTTAACGCTTTCGCAAGTTAATTATATTAAATTTTTTTAAAGGGTCTTATTAGACTTGGATCAAGGCAAATTAATAAAATTGCGTTTATCAAGAGACAGCTTTTAATCAGCATTAAACTAAGATTAAACTGCATACACTATTTCGCTAACAAGAGAAAAAAAGGCAGTGGCGTACATGCTTTTTTTAGAAAAATATTCTAGTGATAACCCATATGTACGTCACTGGTGAATATGTCGACACTTTTTTATTGCTTTAAAATATGTCGCATTTATAGTAACTTTTACCCTCAAAATTTCATTCGAAACGGTAAAAGTACTTGGAAGAAAATTATAATAAATCGAAAAAAAAATATTAAGATTTTAACACTCTGTAGTTACGAAACAAAGCATAATCGGACCCAAGAACAGTTAACCTAATAGGACTGCTCATTCAGCCAAAAGTGTCCGCCAGGTGCATGCGAAAACTACTCGCTTTGTGACGTCATTGTAGCCCTTGTCATGGTTATTAGTCCTTATCCGGCAACCAATAATACACACACGTGCATTATTGGTTACCGAATGCAAAACGTTCATTATTTAACGTTTATTTATTTAAACACCTTATATGTATGCAGTATAGAAAATTAACTGTATAAATCGTATTAAATACTCGGATAAAGCATTTTTAAGAACAGCAGTTCCCAGCATCACCTTTTGCAAGCATTCTTTTTAGAGTACTTCCATATTTTGCTTTAAAATAATTAATAAACAAAATCGTGGGCATTTAGTATGCACTTTGTCACAATCCACAACACAAAATGAACGTATTTATACACTCTATAGCTCTAAAAACTTTAAAGACACCTTTTTCACATTTAAAATTGACAAAATAATTAACTCAAAATTTCTCAGCTATTATTTTTATAAGTTTACCATAGGCAACTAATAATACACACTAGCATGACAAAGCCACGAAGGCTTTGACAAGGGCTACAATGACGTCACAACTGTCAGCTGAAGCGCGGGAAGAGGCGAACGTACGTCTTATGAGGATGAGCAATCCTATTAGTTTACCGTTCTTGAATCGGACCTATGTTGATATGAAAAGGAAAAGTGAGGAATCTCTTCACGAGAGATGACACATATTTTTTGAAACACCCTGTATAAAATAATGCTAAAATACCGTACGATCAATAAGTTTCACAATTAAGTTAGCTTTGATTTTGATAATATTCAAACATATTCCGAATTTGTCCTAAATTTCTTGAACACACTGTAAATTTTATTCATCTGTATTTTAAATGTCAAAAATGGGATTTGTAACTTATAACAACTCAAATTAATAATATATAACCTATTTAAATTCTAGATAAAACGATAAAGATAGTTTTCTTCTAGGTTAGTAAAAAATCTAACTCAAAAATAAACCAAAGCGAAAACCTAAACCAAACCTAGGATAATTGCAACGCAGCTTGCATGTAATAAATATGTTTCTATAAAAAAAGTTGGGGTAGAGGGTTTGTCCAAAATACTGAAAATTTTGGTACCGTGATTCGAGTTTTCCTGAGCGTCTCCGCCTGTATTTTCCCCTTTCGAACGTTGTTTTTTGCTGGATTTCCTGCCTTTCTGTTGTTCAGCCTCCTCCGAGCATATTTCACATAACGTTTTGTTCCCTGTAAGTTTATTATTAATGCAAAAAAGCAAGAAGCGCTTAAAATGCTCCAGAAAAAAACGTAACTTGTCCAAATTTATATCGAGCTCTATCAAAAACTACATTAACATTTTATTACTTAGTTACAATAAACATGGCCTCATAATAGAAGTAGAATGAAATGTTATCCGGTTTGAACAATAAAATAAGAAATCTGTGGAAGAAGAAAATTAGAAACAGAAATGAACTCATTGAAACCCCAATTTTACACTCGTGTTTGACTTTTCCTTTTAAAACTTTTGAAATTAAGAATTACCTATTAAACAGCCTCTACACTATGCGGAGAACTCTTCGAAGCAGGTCAAGGTCGCGTTTCGTCGCCCAACTTTGTCGCAATCTAACCTACTTTCGATTCTTAAAAGCACCTGAAAACTACTCGTGAGGAGGGTGTTGGGGATTTTTTTGGTGTTTCCTGTTGCCTTGTTCAATTTTATTTTGTTTTGAGCTATCTCCAAAACGTGGCGGTATTTGTAACCGAGGCAAAGGACTTTTTTTCATAAATCTCAGTGAAATAAGTAAACCTAGATGTTTCTAAAATAGCTGTTGTTACGATGATATATCGTTAATTACATCTCGTATTATGTTGATATACACTTGCGTGCATAGAAATCGGCCCAAGGCAAACTTTTGAAGTTAACTATATATTTTTTAGAATCTATTTGTCAGATTAAGAAAAAATACATGCTGTTTGAAAGACAATTTCATATTCTTTGAAAAGAGTTTAGAGATATTAATTTGTATTTTCGTTTCTTTGGAATAAAATTATTAAATTAATGCATGAAACAAATTATCGTTTTTTATCACTAAGAGGTATGTTATTATTTATTTATTTATGGACAATTAACTAAACTAAATTTTCAATAATGGGTACGACCCCCTCTTGCTCTAACAGCATCTCTCATACGATTTGGTATAGATTCGATCAAATTTGACATTGTTTCTTCTTCTTTCGGGATGTTAAGCCACTCTTCCTCTACTGCAACAATGAGCTCTGGGATAGAAGTTGGGGCTCTTCGTCTAGTACGAATTCTTCGTTTTAGCTCATCCCATAAATGTTCTATCGGGTTTAAGTCTGGACTGCATGCTGGCCATTCTATAACTCGATATCCGACTTCTGATTCTTGATATGTGTGCCCTCCCATTGTCATGCATAAAAGTGAATTCGTTTCCAATGTAGTCGACGTAAGGTACCACATGAACTGCTAAAAACTCCTCAATATACCTAGCACCAGTTAAATCTCCTCTCCCGTGCCGACGGTCGCCCCAACGGACGAAAACTGGGTCAGTTTGCGCAGTCATAGAAATTGCATCCCAGATCATGCAGGAACCACCTCCATAAGCAATCCGCTCCTCAATGCAGCATTCTGCAAATCGCTCACTTGGCCTCCGGTACACTTTTCTTCTTCGGTCGCTACCATAGAGGCATATCCTGTCCCATCTGAGAATAAAACAGATTCCCATTGTTCTAGTGTCCAATTTAGATGTTCCAGTGCAAAACGCAAGCGTGCTTGACGATGAGCTGGGGTAAGTTTTGGACCAATTGCGGGTGTTTTGGGGGTCATGTTACTTTCCTTCAATCTTCGTCTTACTGTCCACTGACTAATAGTCACTTCTCGTGTTTCACGGAGCTGTTGTTGCACCTGAATAGCATTAAGACGCCGATTTCTTAACATTGTTGACACAATAAAGCGGCCATCACGATCCGTTGTATATCTCTTTCTACAAGTTCCAGGTCGACTACGAAAGGATCGACTCATATCGTTCACACACTCCTCATATCGTTCACACACTCTTCGAACCGCTCCCCGTATCATATGTAGTTGCCGAGCTACAGCTCTCTGTTTAAGTCCAGTTTCGATTAAAGCGATTACTTGGGCGGCTTTTTCCGGTGATGCATGTATTAAATTGAAACACTAATCAAACAATGAAACACAACGAATCAAAAAATAAAAGAACAATGTGAAAATTTCGATTACAAAGGTAGTAATTGCAATATTTGACAATTTTGTTATTCTTATTGTCACAACACAAATACCTTTTATTTGTTTACCCGTTGGTACGCATATAAACGATAAGTACCCTGGATAAATTTATGCTCATATTAAAGCATGTTAAATTGTCTTTGAAACAGCTCATATTTTTTACTTGCTCTGATACATAGATTCTAAAAGACACAGTTAAAACCAAAAGTTCACAGTGGGCCGATTTCTATGCACGTAAGTTTATATTCCACAAGATTAATATTTGAACACGCATTTATAATATGTAGAGTAGATATTTAAGAACAAAACTTTTCACTCAATCTGCCGGAATAAAATTACAATATGTTTATTATTTAATTTTATTATAATGGAATTAGTATATAAAATTGTATATGTTATATGTTTGTTTACGCGGCCTTAATTGATTAATATAACAGTTGTGTTGCTTGATGAGTAATACTGGCAATATCATCAATATATCGAGCTGATTGAGAAAATTATGGATTATCTTTTATATATAATAACAACATTGTTTGATATAAATTCATTCAAAAATAAGAAATAACTAGACAATTTTTTAAATAGTTTACGGTGTTAAATTAGGATTATAACCTATAAAAGGCGGACCGCCAAAATAGTTAGTCACTGCGTGTTGCCCTGCAGTTTTACGATTTTAAGTTTTGGAAATATATTTTTTTTACTATATTGTAGTTAATAATGTTAGACAATGATTAAAACTAAACATTCTTGTGTAACCTTAGAGGAATAGCCAATTTAATCTACCGTCGGTAACTGTTTTCTAAATGCACTATTTTTGATTTTTCATATCAGTTTAATATAAGTAGTGGTATTACATTACACAACATTACAATTAATGGGATATTTATTCATACTCTATGTTTATTTATTTTTCTGAAACCACCACAACGTCGTTTGACCTTGATTGCTTTGTGCTATTTCTCAAATTAGTACGATAAATATAAGCCCGTGTTATAAAAATTAGTTCCCACATTTCCTGAAATTGATCGAGGCGCGCCGTGATTGTTTGTTTTTTTATTTTAACCCAGATTAACAATATTTAAGTTTACTTCTGAAAGTATTTCCAGATATGTTTTGCGAAATGTCCTACGAAATATTTCGTAAAACATTTCGGGGATAATGTAGAGGCTGTTTTACAATTAACCAGAGAGAACATTTCATAATATAAAAATGTATAAAATCATATTTATTTATTGAAAAAGACATTTTCTTTCATTATTTTTTCAGTTTATTAACTTATTTAATCAAGATATAAACTTGGATGTCATAAAATTATTTGTTATGAACTCAAGAAGTAGTAAAAGCACTTTTTTCTAGCCAACTTGAGATAAAACAATCTTTAGAACATGCTTATTTCTAGGCTTTTATTTTTTCAACTCACATTGTATACGTATTGCTTAAAACTTTTACAATTATTACTTTTGAGATACAACTAGATGGTTTATGCTAGGTTTATTGATTTTTTATGTTAAATATTAAAAAAAATATTTATTTTTGACTGTACTAAATTATCACGAATTAAAATAATTTGTAGTAATTTGTTTTTGATAAATTTGGTGAATAATTTTTGAACTCAAAAATATCATACAAATATTTTTTAAAAATATCATATCTCTCTTATTATTATTTTTAAAATTTTAAACATAATTGAATTTATTCTTTTAAAATATTAATTAATTAACAACTTTGTGATAAAGAAATGACGAAATAACTAAATCTAGTTTAGTAATCACCATGTTAATATTTTTATAAACTCTCTGACATTTCTTATTAAAAAAAATACTGTCGATTTACCACACAATGAAGAAGTTATAAAACTTACAAAAGTACACTGCAAGGGCTTCTTCGTTGTCGATCATTGTGATCAACTCGCTACCTTCTGCCGCTTCTATTATGTCGCCCGATGGATCTTTTTGGGTCATCAGCCATTGAAGTATTTGTTGTTCGTCATAGAGGTCGCCAGCGTATATCACCGGCTCTCTGGATCCGGTTTTGAAGAACAAGATTGCAGGCAAAGCAAAGACACCTAAATAAAATAAATGTAATTTTTTTAGAATTGTTTATATCTGTATAAAACTATATTTGATATCATTTAAACTTTTAGTTACGTAATCGAGGGCGCGATTTTTAAATTCATTGTTACCAACCATGGACATATTCTGTGCCGGGCTGACTAATTGGAATTTAAATTTCGCGCTGGGGATTCAGGTGGTAGCTCTGCTGTAAAAAATGTCAAGTTGCCGCATTTATTTATTTAGTTCCTGAAATTGTCATTCGTTTTGACACTTTAGTTTTGTATTACGAGTTTTTGGTTTAAATAAATAGTGTTGTGATACTTTAAGCTTAAAAATGTTTACTAGCAGACCTTGCAGTCGAACATTGTTCTTTTTCGAACCTAGTGCGAAGTGTACAAGATAGCTTAATATCCGAATATTAGAATATTTTGAACGGAAAAGCGGTAGTAATAGCCCTTTATGTCCCTTCAGTGCTGTTAACGAGGTGAGTTTTGTTAATGTAAATAATAACTGTTAATATATTTATAATTAATTTATTTTTGTTTCCTAAAATATTTTGATTAAAACAAAATATATAAAAGTGGGCAACGCTGTGCCAGTCAAGCTTAATCACGTGACTACAAGTTTATTTGGTATGAACCTTTGAATAAGAAGACTAAGGAAGGAGCATAATGCTATCCATGTATTCATGCATGGTGGGCGGAAAAAGCACCATAAAAGCTCTCTAGGGTGGGGATCCTTGACAGTTCTGTTTGACGATTCATTTGACACATTTGAATTTGATTTGAAATTTTGTGGATTTTTCAGTCTTTACGGAGCTTATTTTATGTTATTTATTATTTATTCTACTACTGATAGTTGTATGAGGGTAGTAAATCTAGATGGAAATTGTGGCAGCACTTAAATTAACAGTGACACTATCGCGATTTATGGAAAAAGACTCTTAAAATAGTTGGTTGTGTAGCGTGCGGTAGATCTCGGCAAAAATTGAGTGAAATAATGGAACAACTTTTCGCTAGTAAGTGACTATATACTATACATACGTGTAGTAAACCGATCATTTATGAAATTCACTTAAATTAACTAAATTATATATTTTTCTTGCATTTTAGCTTTTATTTATTAGTTGTCAAAGATTAGATGTCAAAGAATTTAGATACGTTAATTTGACTTACCTGCTTCAGTAGCGTATCGGATGTTTGTGGTAATAAATACTTATTATAACTTATCTATTTTTATTAGAATTATATATTTTTATAACAATTTTAATAACTACCAACATTTATTCACAACGTAAAATAAAACAACAAATTATTGAGTCTACCCCACGCCTATCCTACATCATAGTTTTACATTTTTTAAATAAAATTAGAACGACACTGATAAACCGGAATTTAAGTCGGCCATATTTGAGGCCCATCGCGGTGTACCTAAGATTTTTGATATGCTCCTTCCTTAGTCTTCTTATTCAAAGGTATGAACTGTATATTGAAAGGTTCCTTAAAAGAAACTGTATATAACTTACCATATTCTTTAGCGAGACTTTTGTCATCGATTTTGACAAAGTTGATTCCAGCAGCGTCAGCTTCATCGTCTATATGTTCTACTTCAGATAATACTCTTGGACATTGCTTGCAATCTGCACTATCTATGAAATTAATTAGAAATTTATCAGATCACTTTAAAGGAATAAGATACTAGGTGAACTTACATAAAAATACCGCCACATAGTCCGATCTCTGTCTGATTTTTTCGAACATTTTTCTGTTGACTCGTTCTATGTGATCGGTTAATTCCATATTCTCTGGTTCAGTCAACCAGTCAAGTAACTCTTCTTCATCGTCTATGTCACCGTCATAATTTATAGGTTTTCCTGAAATTAGATAGAACATATCATTGAAGAACAAATCTTATGAAATTATGAATATCAGTTGCAACCCGGAAGTCTAATGTGATAATAATAAGGCTCTTGTACTTGCTGTTTAAATATCTTCTTCTACTGTGATGGATATAGAATTTAATAATAATAAATTCTATATAATATATTCATATAAATTCTATATATTGCAATAATTTTTGTATAAACACTAGCCTGAAAACCAAAACCGCAATGCAGTCATGTTTAATTGTTTCTGCAACTTTGAGACGCGATTATTCGGAAACCTCTGGCAAAAAAACAACAAAGTAGGATACCACTGAAAAGAGAATTAAACGCCGTTTGACCCCCATTCCCATTTAAGATTGTAAAGGTGACATCTACCCCTCCTAGAGGGTTGAAAGAAAAGGCCAAAAATATTCATTTAAAATGCCTCCCTTACAAATGAATTTGACGTCTTTCCGATTTTTCATTTTTCATCATTTCATTTTTAACTGCAAGAAAGATATTAAGGGTGGGAAGTTTTAAAACTGACACGGTGTATGGAAATCTAGTTTACATTATGAGGTAGAAATATGAATATGGTTTTAAGTACTTAACTTTCTCAATAGATCAGTTTTTCTATGGTGAATAATATGATTCAAAGTCGATCTAGGTTACCAATACAGAAGACAGAAACAAAGCAAAAAATAAATGTAGATCATGTACAAATGTATTATGAAAAGTTGCAATTTTTATATTGTATACATACAGAGAAGACCAGGCTACTAGTAACATAGCAAGTTGCCGGACGAATTTACGTTTACCCGTTTTGCGTTCGTACTCGAGAGTCACTGCCGGCTAGTCGGCTGGTCAGGCAGTACGCAGTGGCAGTTGTGCTTGGACGGGTCGGTCGTGACAGACTAGGAATATGACGCGAGGAGTGCCGAGTATTTATTATTTTCATTTTAAGTGTTTACCTTCACTTAAGGTAACATTGAAAATAAAAATACTTAAATATTTATTATTTGAGTGTGTTTACAAGCCAAAACTAAAAATAAATAAATTCTCTAAACCCAAAAAAAAAAACTATAATATTACTCTAAATAAAAAAAGTTATAACAAGTGTTCAAAAAGACCACCTTCTTGTGCTAGACAGAAGCCTAGGCGGTCGTAAAATCCCCGTCTGACATTGGCTAACATATTAGGGCTAATAGTTTGGAAAGCCTCTCGTATTTTTACTTGAAGCTCATCCAGATTATTAGCCCTATTATGACCATACACTTTGGATTTTACATAACCCCACGAAAAGAAATCATTGGGAGAATGATCTGGTGATCTAGCGGGCAACAAAATAGTTCCATATCCACTAATTAAACGGTTGGGAAAAGTATTGTTCAAATATTCTTGAACAATAAGGGCATTGTGGGCAGGGCAACCACCTCAGCAATTTGATTACTTGAAAACGTGGGATTTTGATCCACGGTAGCACAAACAAACACTTGCTTTAACCCCTGTTCTTCATTAATCAACACATCAGGCTTTTTGTGTTTTTGTGGGGACGCGCACCCATGTGTTTCAAAATTATTAATAACTCCTGATATAGTAGATAAAGATGGAATTGGCCTGTTTACATAAGTTTGTGGAAAAATTGTTTGTATATCCCGATAAGACCTATTTTGGAAATACCATTTTACAATTTGAATTTTCTCACGAACTTCGTAAACATCCATTATTTTACTTAAAAAATAAATTTTACACGAGAACTGTCACGAGAATCTACGTATTCGTTTTGGCTATTAAAACACGAATAAATACAAATTCTGAAACATTCTTATCACATATCGACCTATTTTTATTTTATCGCATTTTTTCGCCTGCTTTTTATCCGGCGGACTGGTATACGCTAATTCGTCCGGTTCTGCCTATGTTACTACTACGGTGGTCCGGTCTGTATATGAAAGTATCAAGAAACTTTATATTTTTTAAGGTTGCTTTATAAAAATAAATTTTAATAAAAAAGGGGTATATAAATGAGAAAATTATTAATGTCATTTTAACAGAACGTCAACGGTTTTTGTAGACGTATCTGTTTTAAAAACTAAAGTGTTCTCGAATAGTTGAATTTAAATGTTTTAAATAGTTTTTTTCTTTATTCTTTGTATTTTTTTTTGCTTCCGACGATGGAAAGAATGAACTTTCCGAAACATTAAGCATTTTTTTGTTCGTTAGGCAAATTTGTATATCTGTAAACCTAACTTCTGACAAGTTTCCGTTTGTGTTAACGCAGAAGTGTTTACAAAAAATAACTAATTTATTTTGTAGATTTTCTTGCAGTGGAGAAATACCCATATTGGATTTTTTGCAGTGATAAATAAGAAAGTTAATAATAAAAACCTATAAAAATAGTTAAAAATATTCAAATTACAAAATCATTGGAGTTAATATACAGGGTGTTCCCTAATGTCATGCTAATATTTAAGGGGGTTATTCCTGGACCTATTTTAAGAAAAAAATGACATATGAATGTATGTCCTAAACATATTAACTTTTGAGATACAGGGTGGTAAAATTTTCGAAAAAATAACTTTTTTCGTAGAAACTTGTTATTACGATAATATTATCGTTATCTCGATGAAACTTGATACACGTTTTCTATGCATCAAGATGAATTTTTGATGCATAAAAATATTTATTTATTTCAATCAGTGCCGTCCATACGAGTTTTATAATAAATATTTTGGAGAAAATAATGGTCGCAAGTGACTTGTTTTAAAATAAATATTATTCTCAAAATCTTAATCTGGATTTCTTAATCTAAAATTTAATCTGGGAAGAAATTAAGAGATACAACAAAAACAATACAATTTTTTTGTATATCAAAAATGCATTTTGATACATAGAAGACCTGTATCAAATATCATAAAACATACCTATAATAACATCAGAGTTAACATGAAAAAAGTTTATTTTAGAAAATTTTATCATCTTGTAACCCAAATGTTAAAATCTTTAGGACATAAACATTCATATGAAGTTTTTTTCTTAGAATAGGTCCAAGATCCCTTAAAATATTAGCATGATATTAAGAAACACCCTGTATAAAGGTAAAAATATACCAGTCAGTTATAGCATACTAGCGTGTACCAGCGACTTCGTTCGCGTCGAATTAATCATTTGTAATGTTGATGATAAAGCAAAGCAAGAATTTCCATTAACATACAAGCTGGATAAAATTTTCTGACATTTATGTCAGCATGAGAAAAAAACAATATGGCGATATTATTATATAACTTGGTAATATTTGAGGGGTAGTTTCATCTCGTTGGAACTTGACTTTCGAAAAATCCGTTTGCCAAAAATAAGCTTTTTACGTCAAGCAGTTTAAGCAGAATCGTGGTTAAGAAATTACCCAACTTTTTGGAACACCCTGTATGATTTTTTAAAAATTTCAAAATATGTAAAAAAACAAATAAATTATGCGTGGTCAAGCGTTTTCCCGAAAGACTAACCGTTTTTTAAATAACAAATATTGTAATATTTGAGGGGCGTTTTCACCCTCTTGGAATTTGAGATTCGAGAAACCCCTCCTTATCGAACCTCTACACCCCACAATCCGTTTGCCAAAAATCAGCTTTAAACCTCAAGCAGTTTAAGCAGAATCGTGATTACTCAATGGTCATGTTTTATGAAACACCCTGTATAAATTTATAAAAAATCTTAAAATATGTAAAACAATAAAATATACGTGTTTAAGAGTTTTTCCGAAAAACTCACCGGTTTTTAAATAAAAAATATTTTAATATTTGAGGGATAGTTTCAGCCCCTTAGAATTCGAGTTTCGAAAAATCCCTTCTTATCGAACCTCTACACCCTAAAGTCAATCTGTTTTCCAAAAATCAGCTTTTTACGTCCAGCGCTTTAAGCAGGATCGTGATTAATCAATGACCAGATTTTTCGAAACACTCTGTATACATTTTTAAAAAATCTTAAAACTTGTAAAAAAACAAAATAAAATATACGTGTTTAAGCGTTTTTTTCGGAAACGTGACTGTTTTTTAAATAAAAAATATTGTAATATTTGAGGGGTGGTTTCACCCTCTTGGAACTGGAATTTCGAAAAATCCCTTCTTATCGAACCTCTACACCCTAGAATCAACCTGTATGCCAAAATTGAGCTTCTTACGTTGAGTGGTTTGAGCAGGATCGTGATTAATCAGTATGTCAGTCACTTAAGGATTTTATATATTAGTATAGATTAGCATTATTAAAACAAATAAATAAAATAAAATGTGAATCAGGTACAATGCTGTTATGAAAAACTGAATTGAAGGATTGTTTTAAGGCGGCTTTATAGAAAAAAAATATTTAAATAAGTTTTTAGACGAAAAACGATATATTGATTTTTGATAGCTTATACAACTTTCAATGAGTGCTCGAACAAGTCTAGTCTTTTTTAACGTACCTTTTCTAAAGTAAGTTACACCTGGAGGGTTTCTGTAACCGTATTTCTTCGCCATAAGCCTGTCTTTCATTTTAACAATCTTGATACCATATTCTGCAGCTTCATCATCGATTAACTCAATGTGACGTAGCACTCTCGGACTATCTGGATCCTCTTCTTTATCTGGAAAAATAATAAAAGTAATATTTTAAGTAAAGCGAGAGATTGGGCAGTAATATGAGATATTCAGATATTCAGTAAATACTCAGATATTCTTGAACTCTTAAAATAGATTATACGAATTTCTATTTAATGTAGGAAGTGTAGTCTGAATATGTAAATTGTATTGAGTTGATATAACTAACCACTTACAAAAAACCACGGCTAAAAATTCTTTTGACTCTATGTACTTAAATAGAGTTTGCCTGTCTATTCCTTCTATACTTTCGTCGTTTTTCTGGTCCATCATCCAGTCTAAAACTTCGTTGACGTCTGAAAGTTGTCCTAAAACATAAACCAGGAAATGTTTTGTTTCAGTTTTTTGGAAAATTAATTGATATAGAGATGCTGCAATTATGATTGAGATAGATTGTTTAAAGATAATGTTCAATACATGCTTGTAGAAATTACTATGGAAAGCATAATTATACATTTTTAAGACTTTGCTATGCTGTACTATACTTCTTGAAATATAGTTTACTACAAATCTATGTGAATACTTTAGGTAAATTATAAGAAGTTTTTTATTTATATTTTTAATTGGCCCACGAATAAATAATTTTTGTGCTTTAATGATAATTTTAAATACAGGGTGGCCCATCGAAAACGTTCCGCAAGGCATAACGGCCAGGGTAATTTTTTTTACAGAAAATGCAAAAACACGTCGATTTTGTTTGTGAGGGGGACAACTTTTGCCCCAAAAATGATTGCAAAATCTTCAACCCTCTAAGCGGGGGTGTCATCACCCAATTTTGTTCAAATGGAAAGGGGGGTCAAGTGGTACCTCAGCGAAAAGGGCTTTTTATTCTCTATACTTTCCGGCTTCGCTTTTAAAAATCGGTCGAGTCATTGAGAAAATATGAAGGATTGAAATTTGACAAATTTATTTAAACATTTATCAGAGTAAATGATAAGGATAGATTCCTTCGACCAATTTGCTGTTTTTTCTTATTATTTCTAGATGTTTATGCATTTTTTCACTTGCCACAAGGTTGAACGATCAGGTGCGGTAGTTGCTAGATAGCTGTTCTGTGACTTATGCGTTGAAGTTCTTCTCAATATCGTTAAACTTTTTAACAATTATGGTGTACTCACTTGCAGAAAAAGTGGAAATAATCGAACTTTATTTTGAAAATATTGAATGTGGCAATCGGGTTGCGCAGATATTCAATGAACGCCATCCTGACAAACACTATTATGGCAAAATTGTTCACGAGTTAGTAGCAAAATTTCACGAAACTGGTTCCGTTATGAATAAAAAGAGGCAGAGGGAAAATCCTGTAGTAAATGAAGCTATGGAGGTATTCGTATCGGGCCAAGTTGCCATGATAGTACGCTGAGTACAAGAAACTTAGCCAATGAGACCGGCGTGAATCGCACAAGTGTCCAAAGGATATTAAAAAAACACAAGTTCCACCCGTACAAAATTCAGTTGGTACAAGAACTCAACGAAGACAATTTTGATCGTTGCCTGCAATTTTGTGAAACTAGGAGTGCACGAGTGGCGAATGATAATAATTTCCTATTTAATGTGTGTTTTTCGGATGAGTGTACTTTCTTTTTGAACAGTGTAGTTAATCGGCACAACCGTCGGTACTGGGCTGAGGACAACCCCAGGGTTTTTCACGAGGTGCACACACAAAACCCTCAGAAATTGGACGTGTGGGCTGATATTTTTGGAAATTCTATTGTAGGTCAGTTTAACGATATTGAGAAGAACTTCAACGCACAAGTCACAGAACAGCTATCTAGCAACTACCGCACCTGATCGTTCAACCTTGTGGTAAGTGAAAAAATGTGTAACCATCTAGAAATAATAAGGAAAAACCTCAAATTGGTCGAAGGAATTTATCTTTATCATTTACTCTGAAAAATGTTTAAATAAACTTTTCAAATTTCAATCCTTTATATTTTCTCAATGACTCGACCGATTTTCAAAAACGAGGCGGGAAAATATAGAGAATAATAAGCTCTTTCATTGCGGTGCCACTTGACCCCCCTTCACATTTGAAAAAAGTTGGGGGATGGCACCCCCGCTTAGAGGGTTGAAGATTTTGCAATCATTTTTGGAGCAAAAGTTGTCCCCCTCACAAACAAAATTGACGTGTTTTTGGATTTTTTGAAAAAAGGAATACCCTAGCCGTTATGCCTTGCGGAACGTTTTCGGTGGGCCACCCTGTATAACTGAAATACACAGATTCCACACTTATAAGTGTTATTATAAGTGTTTTAGTGTATTGTGGATGATTTATATAACTTTCTGTTATAATATCACAGGTTGTAACCTTAGTTGTATTTTTTATACAGGGTGCTACAAATTCGAGGTACGAGCATTGGTATCTCGGTAACCGTAATAGATACGAACATGGTTAAATTGGAGCAAAGTTGCGCTTTAGGATGTTTACCAAGATGCCATCAAAAAAGTTTTTAAAATTTCAAGGATTGTTGAGTTTTTTGTAAAAAACGGATTTTTTTGAAAATCAATTTTATTTTTTCCTGAAGTCACTTTTTAGAAAATCAAAAAACTAATTGCACATTCTCATAGCCACTTTATTAGGAGTATCTGATAGTACTTTTAGATTTTCAAATTAGCTGATAATTTGCGAGATACAGAGATCAACTTAATTTTATTAAATACGGACCTGCATTTTTTATTTTAGGTTTTGAAAGAACAGGGTCTCCTGAGTACAATGATATGCCACACGTTATACTTTTTTTTTTGTTTCGGATATTTGAACCACAATTTATTTAAACTAATTTCAAGTCCGGCTCTGTTTTTTAAATATTTAATCTATTCATCGTTACAATATTGATAAGCTTTCAAACTTAATAATGACGTGGGGTAAAACATTGAATACGGAAAATCAAATGCAATAAAATAATAAAAAATAATATTAAATAAAACATCTTAAAATTTACAATAAAGCGTACAAAATGCATTCGGAAGTATAAGACGAAAGTTCAAAGAGAGAGTATAAATAAAATTGAACAAAAAATAAATTTGGGCAATAGGGAGGGTGATAATCCTTTCGAACATGTAGAGCATTAGAAACTAGTTTGTAGAAGTTGATATATTTATAATAAAATTAAATAATTTAAAAAACCAGAGTCGGACTTATATTAATTAAATAGTTTTGTTGTTGTTAAGATACCCAAAACAAAAAAAAGTATGATGTGTGGCATATCATTATACTCAGGAGACCGAGTTCTTTCAAAACCTAAAATAAAAAATGCAGGTCCGTATTTAAAAAAATTAAGCTGGCCTCTGTATCTCACAAAGTATCAGCTAATTTGAAAATCGAAAAATAGTGTCAGATAGGCATAATAAAATGGCTATGAGAATGTGCAATTAATTTTTTGATTTTCTAAAAAGTAACGACAGGAAAAAATAAAATAGATTTTCAAAAAATCAGTTTTTTCCAAAAAACTCAGCAATCTTTTTTTTAAAAATTTTAAAAAAATTTTTGATGGTATTTTGGTGAACATCCCAAAGCGCAACTTTGCCCCAATTTAACCATGTTTGTATCTATTACGGTTACCGAGATAGCAATGTTCGTAGCAGCCTGTATAGCAAACTATCAAATGTAACCATAAAATATATTTATTAATATGATGTTTAAAACCTTGGCACTCCTAAATAACTGATTTGCTTTAAACACAATATCTTAAATCCACCAAATAAATTTACATTTAAATTCTGATTTTAAATTAAGTTTCTATTTGCAATTAAGTTACTTTCTATATATAAGATTTGGAATACCCCCTTAATAGAAGTAACATTAATAAGTAGATTTATTTGGTAATTAGCATTATATTTAAACAATTTGAAAAATCCTATTGAAAACGAGAAATTTATATTTTACAAAATAAGTAATCACAGCAGAAAAGTAAGACTTACCTTATTGTTCCTACCTTAAATACTTGATATACATTGTATTCTGCTTCTTAGTTTTCTTGAAAATATTCAGTTTTCTATTTCTATTTTTGTCCTGATATATTTTTTATAATTTCTTCATAATATATTAATACTAATAATAATAAGACTCGGATAACAGTAATAGAAAACAATTTATTGACTTTAGTTTCATTATTATGATTTATAATAATAAATAACATTAATTATGATGTTAAATTATGCGAGGTGCACTTCTTAGCGGCAGTGATAGCAACTGACAATGATTTTTTTAATTATTTTAGAGAAAAAGTCTATCAAATTCTTACATCCAGTCGTCAAAACCAAAAATATTAAGAATATAAACGATACGAATATAAAAAATTGATCGACTTTCAATTTTCTGTATGACAGAACAATAAAAGCAACCCTTGATAGTGTTTTGACGGATGTTTATATTTTGAGAGCCATTTGAGAGCCAGAACAGATTATTAAGGGCTGTTTTTTATACTTTTTGAAATAATATATATGGCTAAAATTTGCTACTGATTCGAAGTAGAGCTAATCGAATATTTTTTCTACTATGATGATCTAAAACTTATCAATCAAGAGCAAATTTCATTCACTTACATGCTTTTAAAACTACTCTACAGCATTTTATACACATACATAACAATATATACATGTTTAAAGTACTATTTACGTTAACACTTACACATGTAATAACTATAATAGTTACACAAACTCAAAAATTATTATATTGAGAAAATTATTCTCATACGTTTATTAAAAAATACAAAATATTATGTGCATATGTTAAAAATTTTAGGATTTTTGTTTCTTGTATTTTTTAATACATTATATTATGAAAAACAGATAACTAAAATATTACAACACATAATTTATGGTTGTGAAAATTAAATAAAATATAAGCAAAACTTATAATATCATAAATATTTAATGATAAATATAAATAATTATTGTTGTGGTTTATAGACTTATTTTTTAAATGCATTTTTAAGAAAAAGCAAAAAAATAAATTAAGATCTAGATTATTTTTAAGTTTTGCACCTAATAGTCTAAGAGTTTTCGAGAAAGTATTTTAAGAAAGCTGGCTATTTAATAGATCTTTTGATATGCTCTCTGGAACAGCGTGCGAGTCGTCTGGCTGCCGATAGACGTAGAAAGAAGGTCCTATTTTTATTTATTTAGTCCGTTAAATTCTAGTGTTGAATATAAATCGAACAAGTCTATATAGCGCGGCGCGAAAAACGTACCGCCTATAAAGCCAGAAGTCTCGAGTTTGAAACCAGCTCGGGGTATTTTTTTTTATTTTATTTTCGTTTATATTCTGATAGTAAAGTATTAAATAATTATTTTTTTAATCACCAGA